AAATAGTCTGGTCTAAAGATGGGACAGTCACAGCTTGGTGTAAAATTGGTGTTATTTTGATTAAAATCTTTGACTTGAAATAATAACTCATAACTTGGATTTTATTATAAACAATTTCATTGTAAACTCCTCAATATCTTTATTGACATATTTATTGATCTTGAATTACTTTTTACGACAGCAATATTAATTTGCCTGTGCGTCGTAGAATGTCATTTAGAAATTAAAACAATTAATCATCGGAAAACATCCACATTCAATATTATCTAATTTAAGGTAGTGATTTTTACATACAAAATGTTGAATGAGCATTCTTTTACAGTCAAATTATGGACATCATTAAGGACTGATAACATATACCAATGATGCTTCAAAACCTTGCAATAATGCTAAAAATGGAATACAATATTGATAAGCTTAAGATTTTGCTTATAATTTAATTCTGATCTCCAAAATAACACCAAATATAACCAAACTCTACCAGTTACATAGACATGAAGCCAAACTCTGAACTAATGATAAGTATATTATATATTGAGAAATCAAGGACCATTATACATCTAACCTTAATTGATCATTATCCCAGGAAGGCTACAGAAACATTCGCTCACAAGAAACGTGAATTTTCCTGTTGGTGAACATTTTGGATAAATGAGGCAAAGGACATTTTTGGATATTACCTCTTTTATAAAATGTCAGAGCTTACAAGAAAATGAAGCAGCTAAGAAGAATTGACTGTCAAACATCTTACTCCTAAATGCACTCTAAAGTTAATGTCAGGAAGCCAATGTTATTCAATCGCCTTATATCTGAAAACCATTGTTATAATGTAGGTTATTACAAACCCGTATCATTAATGTCATCGTCTGGAGAAGGCCACAAGGCCTGAAAAAGTTAAAGATTTGGAACTTCATTTGCCATAGTAATGTTTTGTATTTCTATATACCAGTATTATTTTCAAACACAAGCTTGAGATATTATTTTTGCTCCTTATTATAAGGGGCCTTTTGAGTCCATCGGCCAAAAGGATAATTAGGGCACTTTACCATTCTCAATTATAGTATGTAACTTTTTTTCTTGTTCTATGTATGTGATGTAACTGTTATAATATTTATTGTCTTAATAAGGCGTCAGAATGTCAGAAAAATTACAGCAACATGTGCCAGCATGAATCAGAGAAATATTTCATTAACACTCTGATCTGGAACATATTCCAAATTTTTCCCTCAGTTTGGAATACATTTCATTTTATGGTAAGTGAAACCATTCACAAAATAACAGATAGCTTCACAATCATTAGCTCTAGTTCTTCAACAATGTTTTAAAATTGGCAAAGTTATGTCTCAAAATGCCTAAATTTAAAAGTGAAATTGGTGTTACTAACAATCAAAATTATATCAAAAAACAAAAACACATTCTTGAGTTTTTATTCAAGATCTATTTAGATTCTAAAGCTATAGTTTATAAGTTTTGAAGCTGATCAAGATCAACAGGTACCCAATACAAATGGCAGTGTCTTTTTACCTTACGATGTCCTACCCTTTACAACAGTCGGACTAAAAACAGATTCCCCGTGTATAAATCGTTATTGACAACAAGGACGTTTACTCCTCCCGTTCAATGGGCACCAACAATAGTCACGTTGACGACCAACAAAAGACATTTCCTACTTCACAGACGACACAAAATTGTACATGTCACAAATACCCATGGTAGGCCTTGTTACCTGTACCTAGTGAAGCCCTTGTTACCTATCCAATTAAAGAATAGTTAGCTTAGACCGCGGAAATAGTACAAAATTTGTTTCTAAGGGTACATTATATACATAAATGTATGTCTAATAGCATTTCATCATCATGCAGTACATATATATAAATAGTGACTATTACATTTCAAGGTTAATATTCAAAAAATTTGCAAACATGAATGAATTGACTCGTATATAAATCTGTATCTAAATAAATTTTACTGCTTTCATTAAAAAATATCATTAATCACTTATGGTAAATATTCACATTATATTTAACACATCAGGAAATAGAAAAATGGTTGAATCATTACAAGAAAAACAAACTGTATTTAACGTCCAAATGATGTAACAGAACAAGTGATTTATACAATGTTTCTAAACAAAATCATTTTATTTCCTGTATATTGTTTTATTAGATAAATTTCTCGAGTTTTAATATTCTTACCTTAATATTTGTAAATTTTGCATTAATTTGATATAAAATTGTTAACGTACACGATGTCTGTAAATTATAGCAGAATGGTATTACTTGACAGTAGTTGTACATTTAAAATGCTAATAAAAAATATTTTTTGGTTACACAGTCCATTAATTTAGGATAACCATGCTAATTTACATTGTAGAAACTTATTATAATTGGTATATAAAGACATATTACATAAATTTTGCATGAAAAATTTACCTACAGAATTTTCACTGTTATGATAATGCTAACCAGTCTTCAGCAGCTCTCTGTATAGAGCTAAAGATGTTGAAATGTAAACAGAGGTTTCTTTGTCAGGAAATTAAATGTCCATCCCATCCACTAACTTTATATATAAAACTAATGTCCATGTCCCAAATCATCTGTAATCAAATAACTTCAATAAATATTTTAGGGTAGGATTTAAACGTATAAAGGAATTAACACCGGTGGATTTTTTAAAACTAAATATACAATATGTACGTTGTACAAAATCGGATAAAACATATTTTCATTTAAAATCACTCTGAAAACTGATAAAAAAAGTAATCTTTATGATATAAATAGCAGGCCAATACACTTCAATATAAATTTGGGATTGTTATGGTTTAATACAGAAATCTGGGAATACTATCCATTGTGGAAAAAGGGGAATTTCGGGGCCATTTTGAATATTGAATATTGGAGAAATGTCCGACAGCCCTCTAGATAAGAATTCGTAAGAGGGATATGATAAAGGACATAAATTGCTCTATATAAAAAAAATTACATGAATAATATTATGACAAATGAATAGATAAAAATGAGCCAACACTGCTTCAATGTACGTATGCTTTTTAGATGGCACCGTCGCTGGATAATGGATAGAATAGGGCACGCAGGGAGTCACCCAACAGTTATAATACCAAAGATATAGGATAGGACTCAACACTAACCAGCTAAACCAATAAGTAGGTGTTTAACTTTTATTGTTTGCTGAACAGTTTCTCCAGTTACAGCTCATCAGGGCATATAAAAATATGTTAAGTAAAACATACTGATTAGCTCATAAAACTCACTGGATCTAAAGTCTGAAAAATTAACTGAAACATGTACAGTGTTTACTGATTATTGGTCCCGTCAGATTTGAGACAGTTATTAGACTGAGGATACATTTCATGTATTTTTCCTGTATCAAAGCACACACCAGTCAAATTCTTTGCTTTCTGATGAACAACACAAACTGCCCTGAGTTGTCAAACCACACACTTAGGATCTCTACCAGAGATCACAACATCCGACCGACTGATCAAGGTCTCATACTGGTCCCTATGCTATCACATGAATCGTCATTAAATGTACATATTTGGGCATAATACAGTGCTCCAGATAGCCTGCGTGAATGCGTTTTCACGCACAATATTTCTAATTTCACGCTAGGAAAAAAATAAGATTTGCGTCATTAATCCGTCAATGTCCGGCTCCAATATTACGTAGTTAGAAAACTCAATAATCTAAGTCAAACAGACACTTATCGAGTAAACGAAACTCGTAACAAGCGCTTTCTTGATCGTGATTATAAACCAGTCGCATAGCAAATATGGCGCTGTCAAAAATGTTTACAAATTCAGTGTTACCCTAATATGGAAAAACCCATACACTTGATGAAGGCAGGGGTGAAAAAACCCCTCAATTTATAAAGGTAGGAGTGAAAACCCCACATGTCAAAAAGTTATCTGGAGCACTGATAATAGTAAATGTATATGAACCATAAGGAAACTTAAGTGTCTGTATGTAATGTACATCTTTTGTATAATGAGAAAATACAACCCTATATTTTTCAAAATTTATAAACATACACACTCAGATCCTTGCTGTAGACTTTATGAAAGAACTGATCTGTCTTCATAAGGAATTTATAAAGGTTATAAACATCATTGCTCTGTTTATGTGTCATTTCATACTTTCTCACAAATTTTTATCGTTATTCAAAATGTTTATTACCAAAGTGAATTCAATTGATAGAACAACTCAACACCAGTGTTACTGTTGACCTCTTCATGGTCATAATTATGATATAATAAGGGTCACACAAGTGATGTATTTACGGTCTGGTAAATGTCACTCTTGTGTGATAGCTTTATAGTATAATGTAAATGCCATGCAAATGTGAATAATATACCTATCTATTCTTCAATAAGCCTAAGGGCCAACACATTACTTCTAACACAAAGTCGGGGGGTGGGCTTATTACATGACACCTGGAGGTCAACACATTACTTCTAACACAAAGTCAGGGGGTGGGCTTATTACATGACACCTGGAGGTCAACACATTACTTCTAACACAAAGTCAGGGGGTGGGCTTATTACATGACACCTGGAGGTCAACACATTACTTCTAACACAAAGTCAGGGGGTGGGCTTATTACATGACACCTGGAGGTCAACACATTACTTCTAACACAAAGTTGGGGGGTGGGCTTATTACATGACACCTGGAGGTCAACACATTACTTCTAACACAAAGTCGGGGGGTGGGCTTATTACATGACACCTGGAGGCCAACACATTACTTCTAACACAAAGTCGGGGGGTGGGCTTATTACATGACACCTGGAGGTCAACACATTACTTCTAACACAAAGTCGGGGGGGGTGGCTTATTACATGACACCTGGAGGTCAACACATTACTTCTAACACAAAGTCAGGGGGTGGGCTTATTACATGACACCTGGAGGTCAACACATTACTTCTAACACAAAGTCGGGGGGTGGCTTATTACATGACCTTGTAATTTGTACTTACCAAACATTCTGTGTCTGCTGTAAAGATGTCCTGGGAACAACTTAGAAAGTCTGGCCAGCCCTGGACTTCCTCCACCAACTTGCAGGCTTCGTGCGCTCTCTGACAAGCATCCTTACTGGGTCGTTCTACTAATCCTTCGGTATTATCACACTTTGGTACGTACACAGAACACAAGAATGGCTGGACGACCAGCCAACACTCTGGTGCACCCTGAAGTCCTTTCCATAATTTCAATTTTTGTTCAACTTCTTCATGATTTGAAGAATCACCAACAAATGCCAGTGTTGTGTAATTGAATGGGATATTTCCCCCTAAACATTGCGTAAAATTTTTCGGAATGCAATTATTTACAGTATTTGAAACATTGCGTTTACAAGCTGCACAGTTGACTTTTTCTATACAAATGATATAGATTAAAACAAAACTGCACACTAAGTAAGTTGTAAGATGAAATTTTTTAGAAGGCATGATTCACTTTTAATAAAATCATCCCTCCCACAATAATTATGTCCTTTGTGTTTTCTTTTCTTCATTCAAGCAAAGAAATTCTTCCAAGTTTTTTGGTTGGTGTTAAAATTTAACACTATCCATAAAATTCTTACAGTATGATCCTAATTTTTCACATGTGAAACTCTGAAGCATGAATTAGGAACCAGAGGTAACATTACAACAATAACAAATTACATGTATAATTTGCAGCACTTTTGGGTAAAACACTATTCCACTACAAGTTGGAAACAGATTATATTTAAAGTTAATAGCAGCACCAATTGAAAATAATAATTACGAAAAAGATGAAATGTAATTGTCTTTCAATCTGATCACATAGAATTCCAGCTACTATGAAACTGCTCCATCACCATGGTTACTAGTCATTGTGGAATCGCAGTATAGTACAGTTTACATTCATTCCATTCCGCAAAAATAACGTCTTAATTGTGGCCGGGTTGTCTATGTTTTCATATCGACTGTGGATAACTTGCTCCGGCCAGTCTCTATCAATCATAATGATAGCTGGACAAATGACCAACACCTGAAATGAAATTTATGGGTTACAATGTAAACAAAGACTTATCTTTACAAGTCAATATGTGATGTCATAAAGTAATGTCAGTACATGGTTAAAAGGACTACACCAGTCAATAACATGACGATGTCAATAAATTTTCACAGATTGGCGTTTGTTTCGTGCTCACATATTTTTTTGACGATTTAACCTGTGAAAATTACATGTACTTACCATGTAGTAAATATTATACATACTATGATACATAACATCCTAGCATTCCCAACAACCCCCTCCCTAATTTTGTCTGATTTAAACACACCAAATTAATCTTTTCACTAACCAAAATAACACACAAAATAATGAGAGCAAAACTGATACAATTACACAATTCTGATGAATTTCAGAACTTTTTTCTTTAAAATGATTCCAATTTTCTCACCAAGTTTTCCTGAAAATGATTACTTAGGTCCCAATTTAGATCACAGGACTCAAATAAATTGTATTGGAGTCTGTACTCCTGATTTTCCTGTGGGACTTCCCTCAAATTTTGAGAACTCACTATACATATATCTATCTCTTAATACTGACACTCGTCAAAATTTTAGAAACAATGTTCTGGATTTGTCTGATAAAATTCTACAAAATACATGAGTATCAGCAAACATGGTAATTAAGGAGGTTCTAGAGGATTCTGAAAGTGACCAAACTTAAAAATATTGTACTTAATATGTTGAAGTTTCTTATCATTCTTAAAGTTTTATAATCATCAACAATATGACTGACAACATAAAATGAGGGGAGATAAATCTACAACAAAGTCATAAAATGAAGCAAATTAAACTCATAATAAAACTATCACTATAGAACAAATAAACCTATATCATACTTATAAACATGTAGCCTTACTAAAGTCCCAATCTACACATAACCTTTAATAAAAAAAGAGATAAAAACTAATATATATAGATAGGGTAAATCTAAGCTAATCTGAGATATACTCAAGACAATCTTATCCTTTGGTATTGATACAAATGTAGTTGAAATACATGCCTCCATCTACTGTTGTTGCTGAACGATTATACACCTGCATTCTACCTGTGATGTGACATCACAAAATGCACACAGCGATATTTAACTTTACCTACCAAGTATGTAGATTGGTCACAACTTTTTGTGGTCGCCTTCTCGACTTTGTATGTCATTGTTTTACATTTTCAGTGGGGCCCAATCTTAATAATTTCTATTTGTTTTGATATTTCAGTTTAAAGATGTTTTAATATTATCTTTGCAAAATGATCACATGCAAATTTTCTGGGAGAACTTTCTGAATCACATAAATTTGTCAAAAAATTTAAATGATGCATACACGTATGTTAGGACTTTAATCCGAGCCACAATCGATATATAGATGTATCACAATGTAAAAGGTTGTATACATTTTGGGGGGTGTGGACAGAGCTTCATTTTATTTTTGTTTAATTATTTTCAGTTTTTATCAATCTAAAAGAAAAAATCCTTAATCCCATCATTTGAATTACTTACAGTTAGTATTGAGAGAATATTTTTAATATACAACTTTATTTTTCAAATTTTGGGTATCATTATAACTTAAGTACTCTGAGTACTGTATATTTTTATAATATAGGCAAAAAAAGTGTTTTAGATATAACCTTTAAAGTGTACTAAACTTTTATTACTGTGATGTTTTACATAGAGAGTTTTTAGACTTAAAATACCTGTGTTCCCACTACAAACCAAACTGATCCTATATGTTAAACTGGAGATGTATAATACAGTAAAATTAGAAATAGACTATATCTCTTTGTAACGGTGTAGCAAAGAAATTCAAGTTACATGTAACCCTACCTACTATATTCGTGAACCATTTGCCTCAAAAGTACACAACTAAACTTTTCAAAATAACAGTAAGCTTAATAATTTTCAAATTGATTGTGCTAATTTTTGTGACAAATAGTGCATGTTTAAGCTATTTACCATTGAAATACCATCCTACATTATATACCACTTCCGGCCCAAAAAGCTGAGCAATTTTCAGATTGACTCTTGTAACTTGTAAGTGTTACTTTACCAGAACTATTTTTTCGCCAGGAAAATGAGCATTATTTCTCACCGGCCAACAAAATGACTCTGGTCTAGGTTAGGCCGGTCAGTGCCAAGTCGACTACATCTTAGAGGCGTAAGTAAATAATGTAAGATAACAGCAGTAAGAAGAGGGGACTTCACGGCTCAGTGAACAAACACAACAGCTAACGTCAGAGAAGTCTCAAGTGGGCCTAGTTTCTTATCCCTCTGTGTTATATGTATGTTTCTTCAAACTTATCCTTAATTCTCTGGGAAATTTCAAGGTAAAAGCTAAATCATTTTAAAGTTTATCCAAAGTATCCTGGTAAGAAATATCACAAAGTGGATTGCTTTGCCTTATCTAATACTGATCTAGTGTATATTGATTTTTTCCATCTTTATGCAATATCTATATATCCATAGTAAAATAGAATTTTAAAAAATGATATCCTGACCATCCTACCCTATATTTTCTGGCATCTAACATAATGAATCACAAATCTTATCCATCTAAGTATGAAGTAATTTTATGTATACAATTTTAAAACTGTCAAAAGTCATGTTTTTTTTACATATTATCAGAGACGGATATATCCGTCTCTGATATGAACTATTGAGTTTTATTTTCATTTTTTGTGGTTATTATTTTTATAATAAGCTTGTCTTTATCAAAAACATCATAATTAAAATAATATTATACAAGTAATACTCACTATTTAAGTAATACTAAATTAATTTTAAAGTTTTCTTCTGCTTAATAGCACGCAAAGTCCTGTGGTGCACAGGCCAAACTTGTTGGAACTACATGTTACTGATGATGATACAGTTAATATTTTTTGAAAAAAAAACACTAGATTACTTGAGTTATAAGAAATAACAAAAATCAACACCAAAGGTGTTGGCCACGCGACAAAATAACAGGAATGTGTCAACATAACACACCAATGCTACCTATGTACTCTGTGTACATATATCCACACAAAAGCCCATTCAACGGTTGCATATATAACTGCAATTTAAGCAAATTAGGAAAACGCAATCCATACAAGGGATGAAAAACTCAAACTTACCGCCACTTTGCTGGCTATGTAAATGTTGGGATTAATCGATATTAGTCTACCACATGGTTTAAGCCAGCATGTCAATAAATGTTGATAGCTCGCCAACGTCTACCTGAATGACCCATATAATCAATATCCTTCGCGTCACGTGACCAAATAGAAAGCATTTCCGGTTGATGGGGACAAGTTATTTTGGTATTCATTTAATTGCACTGCAAATATAAACATTGCTCTTTATATCTATGTTTTTATTTTGATTTAAAATTAGAAAAAAATAACTAAAATCAGTGTTATTAAGATATACTCATTTGTGTTACGTTTAGAAAGAAATTATAGCACTGATTATATCCGTTATACCAGAAAAAAACTTTCCCAATGCAAGATGTCTGCTCCCATGAACAGGTGCCCGTTCCATCTGCTTGTGAACTAATTTAACGTAAGATGTTTCATTTTACGGTTGTAAGATTGAGGTAACTGGAATTGTATTCATATCAACTGACAGTACACTTGCGATGATATGAAAGAGATGTGATGTCGCTTATTTTAATGTAATTCATAACTCGGTGCGATTACAGGTCTGTTTTTTTGGCTCCGAACTTAAATGACGAAAGATCCTAATCCCTTTTAGGAAACATCCTCAAGATATGATGAAGTAACTTCCAAGAATTCATCCTCCGATGTCGATGTTTCGTTGTCATCTGTCATGTGAATAAAAATCTAACATAATTAATAAGCCATTCCTTCTCGCAATTTTCATTCTGAATAAAACAAGAGGCCCATTAGGGCCTGTATCGCTCACCTTGATCTTTATGACCAACATTACTATATCTGTGCATATGTTCCACGTTTAACACATTTGACCCCTGTGACCTTGAAGATTGGTCAAGGTCATTTTTTTTTTTTTTGCAAACTTTGTCAACTCATTCCCCATTTTATATAGGCCTAAATAGCAAGTTGTTGATAAAGAAATGAAAAATCAACTTTATTTAAATAGTTTGTGTTATAAAAAAGAAGTTTAACGAAGAAATATGGCTCATTTGAGAAAAGAAAGAGCAAACAACAAAAGCTTGAACCTCACCCTTTAGAAAAGGTTTCCACATAAACACAGATTTCCATTACTTTCACTCCATAAATGTATTTTGATTTTTATTTCTATCAAAATGTCATTCCCGTTCAGATGATGACTTAATGTAATACCTGTGTACTTCTGGATCACACTAAGCTAACTCAAGAGTCTCTGTGATTCAGTGATGTCATCAGAAACAGAAGTGCAGTCACACATACACATGTCGTCGATTATTTCAGGAGAGTCAATTTGAGGTCGTGTCTGTGGATATTTTTTTAGAAAAACACTAGTATTTCACCATCAGTCTTTAAATAAATCAGATAGTAAGAACACATTTCAAGTCATTTGTGCACTTGTTTGGTGGCAATTCATCAACATAGCACAGGCTGTCCAGCGTCCCTAAAATTCCTTAAAAAATCCTAATTTTTTTCAGTTTGGCTAAAATTCCTAAAAAAATGAAAAATTCAAAGGGAATTCCTAAAAAGCCCTAATTTTTCACTTCAGTTCCTACATTTTTATATTTCCTACAATTTACTGAAAATGTTTTCATTAAATTCATACTTAAAATGTATTTTAATGTAGTCTGTAGTTCTAATTCAGGGTAGACAATGAAAGGCAGTTGACCAGTGGATCTATGTACCCAGATGTAGTTATTGGTTGTGACTGAGTGACAGAGGTATGATTCTTAAGGTCACAGCCAGCAGCAGCTGGGACATCGAAACCATGGAAGACACCTTTCCTGCAATTAAGGCATTGCATGTTAGTTTCTATTTTGTCAAATTTGCAAAGGTAAGTCAGTTTAATGCTTTCATACTCCCTGTTCTAGTTACAAAATTACTAATTTTAGCCCTAAATTTTCCCTAAAATTAGCCCTAATTTTTTGTCAAGAAGTGCTGGACAGCCTGCATAGCATAGCTAGCGAAAAATTATTCTCAATAGGTCCGAAACTAATGTGCCAAGGATATAAGATAAGTTTGTTTACTATAAATGTAAATGTAAAATCTTGTATTAAATGTCTTCAAGAGCAGATTAGTCTGAATTATTCTGCCATTTTATCAAGTTTTCTTCATCATTAGGAATCAACTGCAGACATACATACCATAGGCACTGCCTATAAGTGAGTGCATTTGGATCAAGAAGATGCACATTTATAAATATATATTGTATATATCACCTGTTTCATGACTTTTCACTCCCCTTGTTTATTGCCTCATAATGATTTTTGATACAACTGGACTGAACTTTATCATTCCCCTTGGGGTTTTCTTCCTTTCCTTCAAATCTGAACAGTAACAACAGTAACGTCAACAATCCTTAAATAATGTGTTAACAGTTTCTAAACACTGGTCAACTTGTGTGCCTAAAAATAAATGTGCTGATATACATCCCAGGATTGTAAACAGAAGAGTTATTTGTTATTTGCCGGTAACAATAATTTGTGTACACAAAGGTTGTTTCAAAATAATGAAAGGTATATAGCTCCATTGAAAGCGAACACTTCATTCAATACATACTTCTAACTTAGATCTTTGATTGCTAGTCGATGATCAATGAAGTAACAGCATCAGTACGGACAAGCGAATTGTCAAAATTTCAAGGCAATCTGCCTCTTTATCAAGACACAAATATTACATAAATTGCATCACATACATAGAACATAAAACAGATACAAAGTTATAACCTAAAATTGAGAATGATTTGGACGCTGGATGCTGAAGGACCTTTATAAGGGGAAAAAGACAATCTTATGTGCATGATGCACAACAAACAAGATTGATATAAAACATTTTTGATCATTTTAATTACCATCTTTCATACAACAACCTAAAATCACTGGGTTCACCTTGGTTAGACATTGTGTCAAGTCGGGACTGTAATTTTTCTAAATTGCCTTGTTCTGTAAAGTTTTTCGCAAAATGCATTTTAAACCAGTATTGTGTGCTTCTTATATTTATTTTAGTCATATCTCAGAAATTGAATAATCTTTTCCACATTAAAGATATTTTGTTGGTGAAGATATTTCCAATCCAACAAATGGGTCAGAAAATGTCATTCTATGCTGTCATAAAAGTTCCAGTGATCATATGTTCAATGCAATTAAATATGCAGTTTGTTGGAGTATTTTTTACTTCATTTTTTATTATAATGCCTCTGCTAGGATTTGAACCTGGGACCTCTGGTGTTCAAATCTGACACTCAGCCTATCAAGCTAATGAGAAGTTCTCTCCAGCTGAGCGGTATATTGCGGCTAGTATTTTACCAGGGTTACATACTCCCCCTCCAGGAAATAACTTGTCCTTGAGTATCCAGGGGTTACAGTGGAACTTGTGAAAGTAACGCTTAGTATTATTCCAGAGTCCTTACATGGGGGCCAGTGTAACAAAGGTCAACATTTATTTCAATGCCTCTGCTAGGATTTGAATCCAGGACCTCTGGCCTACTAGTCGGACACTCAGTTCTCTCCAGCTGAGCGGTAAATTATGGCTTGTATTTTACCAGGGTTACACCTTCATTGTTTTTTGCCTGTACAATATATGAATATGATACCTTAGCATCAACAGTGACATTTTGTCAACCTCTAAATCAAAAATAATTTTTTAGATCAAAATGGAAAATAATAAAAAAAAAAATCAAAATTATTATACATAAGTATATACATATTTTAGATGAAGGTTGAAGTTCAAAATTTATTGGCTATACATACAGGACAAAGTCACCATATCTTACATATCATACAAGTTTTAAGTTGTACGTGATAATCACTCAGTTTGTAAAGATTTCTTATTCCCAAATAATTAACGGGTTTGTAAAGAACATAAAAACGAAATATGCAGATATTATAATAAGTGAGTGTGGTATGTGCCTTGATGATGTTGACTATTTACACCACTCTCAGTTATCTGCCCTTGATCTGTGTAGACATATTAGATACCGATAATCTTTAGATACAACATGTAATGACATTTGCTGAAAGAGCAATGGGGCAGTTTGAGATTTCCACATTTTTAAAACTAATTCATGAAATCTACTTTGAAATCGGTGAATCCAGTGGTCATGCTGCCTGTATACAGTGTAATGTGTAGGATATTGCAGATTAACAAGTAGTTTTAGACTGAGGTAGCCTGAATAGACTTTCAAGATGCCCAAGGTTTGATTTCACATATATGTTTCAATGTAGTGGATAAGGTGCAGAAAATTATGAGAAAAAAATCAACAATTAAAATATATAAAATATCTTTTTTTTTTCTTTGACTGACAGAACCTTACAATGTGTACACCTGCTGGTAATCCTCGCAAGAAAAGGAGAGTGTATGTCAACCGTGAACCACCTTTTCCTGTTCCCATAGCAACTATTACTGGGGAAACTGCAAGTGACAAAACTTGGTTTTACTATACAGGGGAGCTCCATGGTAACCATGTGGTGGTGAAACATTCTGGTGATATTGATTTCCTTTACAAGATGGTGAGTTATTGCTGACAATTAATTCAGATGACAATCCCTCCCTTCCCCCCGCCCCCCCCCCCCCCCCCCAAAAAAAAAAAAAAAAGCATAAGTAAAAGCAAATGGTGCTCAATTGAAGAAACAATATGTTCATCTGTTTAGATACCAGCTATCTGATTGTAGGTGTGCAGAAATAAGTATGACTGTTTAATATCATTTACAAATTTCAGCATCATGGCATCAGACTTTTATTCTTATTTGCTCAATATGCCTGATGATGTTGCATCTTATTTCATATTTCTTATAACAATACTTATAACTTCATAATGGACAGTATTCCTGTTAATATCACAATGTTCATGATGATGTCAAAGATATTCCTGTTAATTTCACTGTTTGTTTTATAACAATATTCTTGCTAATATCACATTATGTTTAATAACAATATTCCTGTCTGTGTCACATTTTGTTTCACTAATGTATGATAACATTCCTTTTTATGTCACATTTAAAAAATATTTTTATTACATCCCTTTTATTTCATAAGAAGAGCAGTTAGATAAATCTAAGCACCAAATTTCATGAAAACAATTTTACATGACTATTTTCCAATTAGAATTTGGCAACAAATCTTGAGATGAAATTGATTAAATTCAAAATTAAATCATAATTGAAATTCCTTAAAGATTTATGATAGCATTCATTGCCATTTTGAGCTTGAAATCACAGAAATGCATCACTGTTCTTGCAAAAATAATGTCTACTTCATTTGTTTGTAAGCCAGTTGATTTCAAACTTACCCCAAAAGAAATGAAACCACATAGGTAGAAATCTGAACACATTTCTTAGTTTGAACAATGAAAGTTAGTTATATGTCACACAATAAAAGATGTTAGAAAGAGACAATTCATTGAATTATTCTAAATCCATTCCCTTCCCTTTAAAGAAATTAAAACTCAACACAACTAGGATTAAAAGCATTATGATTTGAAATTCTTCCTATGGTTTATGTCATATTTGCTGTTTTAGGGTTTCTTCGGAAAAGGATCTCTGTCAAAAAGTAAACCTGATTTTGACTACCGCAGAAAAACTGTGGACATACCAGGCACACCAGGGGAGACAACTAAAGCTAAACTTGCCAAGAGAAGAAGGTGCAGTTTTACATAACAAATCCTGAAATTTGAGACAACAAAACAAAATTTACATAAAATATCTGGAGTTATATGGAAGAGCTCCAACAATGATACTGATATACACTGTGATAAAAAGCTGTGGAAGGAAAAAGCAGCCTGAAGTATTCCCTGACCTCTAAATTCTTCATTACAGTTACATTCGTCATATGAAGTGGAAAAGATTGGAAATAAAAGTTGCTGGTGGTCAAACATCTGTCGATGACCTTATTGAATATGACAGTTCTTTGGACCTGGCAGATGAAGAAATGGACACTGAAGGTAATATGCTGAAGATTGTAACTGTTGGATGGTCATTAAGCAGTTGTAGGTATTTCTAGTCTAAGGCATGAGGTGCTGTAGATTGTGAGTTCAAGACTTGGATGGGGCACCATTCAAAAATTGTCTATTTTTTACATTTTATATTTTTTCGTTAAAAACAGCAAGAATATACCAACTTGTGGATAGAATCATGATCCAAACTCATATTCAATAAAACTAGGGCAAAATAGCAACAAAAAGGGAAACTCCTGAAAAAGTACAAGGAGAATGAGACCAGGTGTTCTATAAGAGTAAGCGTCTTCTGCTTCATTAACAACACCTGCCAAGTAAATAACGGTCAAACCAAGTTAGAAATGTCATGTTCTTAAATAAGAACTAGGTATACAACAAACTAATGAACATCAAATTTGTCCAGCTTCATATCGCACGACAAAATAGGATACCTGTAAGATCCTACTTTTTCTGAGGATGCTGAAGATTATGATATGATTAGACTTGTATTGTGTATTATATTTTCACACGATTCTCACATGACATCTGCAATCCTTTTTATGACTTTGTGGAAGTTTCTTTATACATATACCTGTGCTTGATTTGTCAGGACTCCATTACCTCTGTCCGTAGAACAATAGGGTAATGCAACAATAGGTGAAGATTTGAGTTATCTAATTTGATCTCTACCCGAGGCGGTTTGTGTTTCTAAGGGGAACTTGGATCCTACAGTGTGCTGATTGTGTCCTTGATTTTGGGGAAGGTCGTTTATCCCAATCACCTATGAATTGGCCATCCTGTACCATGTTCAGTGAGAAAGTCACCAGCTATTTGAAAGCCGCACCACGTGAAAAATGATTTTGACTATTCACAAGATAATGAATCCTGCAAATAAAACAAACCTGACATTCATGATGTTTATGAAATTTAGAATACCCCTTTGTACCAATTTCAATTTTTCTTTTTTTTTCATGAGCCAGATTCACATCCTTTAACATATATATTATCTGGTGCGTTCTGTACTTATCTGTTAATTGTAGGTGAGCATGTTATTAATGACAAGGAAACGTATCTACAGTCAAGCCCACTCTCTAATGAGCCTATTGAAGCTGCAACCTGGGAGGACACAAACGAGGAGTTCTGGACATCTCCTGGAGACAATCAGGAGAGAAATTCACAATCATCTGATATGAAAGACTGGGCTGAAACAGATGAAGATTTCTGGGGAAGTGCCCCTACAGGACTGAGTGAAAAAACACCTAATGACTATAGAAATAAAGTGAAAGTTGTAGATGTTAATGTAATGGTAATGGAGAATGAAAGTAGATCATGTGACGATAATAATATAACAGTGGAAAGTGAAAGTAAGTTCTGTGACAGTGAAATATCAGCGGAAACTGAAGCTAGATTAAGTAGTAATAATAGCACAGGACTTAAAAATGAAAATACAGTGCCTATTATAAATGAAATTAATGAAAACAGATTTGATCCTTCAACCTTGGACAGGCAGAAACAGTTCAAGGGGAATAATTCCTGTAGAAGTTCTCATGAACACAGTGACCAGTCTAATGTGGATAGTTGTCAGTGTGATACAGGAGAAGTGAAAATATGTACACCAACTCATGATGTCCCAGAAATATTAGAGAAAGGTTTGGAAAAGGAATCAAAATTTGTATTAGACTCACTGTGTGAGGAGGACGAGGGGGAAGGCGATGTACTTGTCATTGAGGACTCGGACAGCGAGACTGAAGGGCGTTACAAAAAAATATTGAAAAGATGGCTACCAGTGCTTAAGAAAGATGCATACCATGTGAAGGAATTTCTTCATCTCAGTTTGGAGGAGGTAAAAGCTATTAGAAAATTTGTTGGGGGAAAAGAATTGAAGGAAAAGAAATTGGAAAAGACTTCAAGCAGCCTGAAATAGTTTAAAAAATATCTTAATACTTATCCATTCTTTTGATGAAATTGTGAAACCAGATCTAGTTGGTATCCAATGAACATGTAATCACAGTCTACAATCAAAATGTTCACTAAGAATTAATTCTTGTTATTTACAAAGACAATCACGTTTTTTCCCCTCAATCCCAGAAAGCCTTGATGATATGGCTGATCTTTGTATAATTAGATAGAGAGAAATAAGACTCACTATCTTATCTACATTGTACATCTGCTTAGAATATCATGTGTATATTTTTCAGGCTTTCTTCCTCAGTTTTGGATTGGGCTGCCTCATTGTGAGAGACAATGGAAAGGTTGGTTTACAAACATCACAAGTTTAATTTGTGTTAATGTACGTTGAGGAGGAATAAAATGAAATAACAGATTTTTTGAAAATTCTTAAATAATTTTCATTTTGATTGAAAGGACATACCAAAATTAATATTGCTTGTAATGTAATTGTACATCAAACTATAATTTTACATAAATTTTCAAACATTAAAAAAAAGAAGATATTTTTAAGAAGACATCATGCAAGATTATGTGAAATGAGATCATTCTGATCAATTATCTTATAAATCTGACAATAAATATGCAGATATGATATCCATAGAAAATTTTGTGTTTATTTCAGACTCTAGATTTACATTCAATGTGGACAAAGTTTTGTGATGCTCAAGCAAATTTTCTACCAAACTATGTAGTATACCATTACTTTCGAAGCTTGGGATGGGTCCCAAAGTCCGGACTCAAGTTTGGTACCGATTTCAGTAAGATTAAGTTTTGATTTTACTTATGTTACTCAGTATGTGTAGTTTTCACCACTTTGTTTAGTTCTTCAGATACATATTTACGAAGATGATTTGCAAATATAGGAATAGCCAAAGAGCTTTTTATATACTGACAGATTATAATAATAACATTTTTTCCTCTTGCCTGTGTCTTATTGTGACAATTTTCACCATCAAAACCCACATCAAAGTGAATATTGGACTGGTTTGATTTGAGTAACTTTCTGGACGATTGTGTTGTTCTTTACAATGTCTGTGACTATTGACTTGGTATTTTAACTTGCAGTTCTGTACAAGGTTGGTCCGCCATTTTATCATGGTAGCTACTCTGTAGTAGTTAAGATGATCAATCAGGAGGATGCTCCAGAGGTCAATGGGGTCAGAGGTCGTGACTTTTCCTGGATCACATTGGCAGGACTCAATCGAATCACAGAACATGTTGCTAAGGTAACTTTTGTCGTCATATTTTCTTTTGACTTATTTAGATTTAGCATGTATGTGTTGGTTTAAAGATCCATATTCTGTCTGTTTTGAGACTAGGTGTTTATCATTACATGCAAATGTAGCTTTAACTCTTTGGTGTTCTTAATATTTCTCTTGCTATGAAGACAAGATGTTATGTTGGAAGGAGAGCAGACTCTCAAAGAAATCACTCCAAGAAGAAAGACAGTTTGAACACATAATATGTTTGGTATGAATTTATTTTATACAGGAACTGATGCTCTGCTATGTGATCAAACCCAGCAGTCTCACAGCTGAGGAACTTCAATCTCCCAGATGCCTTTCCAAATTCAAAGTACAGGTAGAGAAATCTCCTTAGTTTTATTAATCATTGGTAGATAAGTAATAGTTACCAGTATGTGTTACCCTAAATCTTCTAGGGCATTGACATCTTGTATCTAAGGCTACAAAATTCATTCACCCTTCAAGTTGATCCCATATGGCCCCTCAAGGGATTGGGGGGGGGTGGGGGAAGGAAATGGATGGTATTTGAAAAATGGCTTCAGGATTTTTGTTTTTTTCTTTTTCACATAATTTGGATGGGATGAGGTAGAGGGAGGATTACAGAATATTTTTTAAATGAATTGTGCTCGATAATTTTAACTATAGTCTTTATCCAGGATATGTAGGACTTTTTTGGACCAAATTTTGTCTGATGTTCAGCCCCTTTTTTCCATTGGAAATGTTATAACTTTTCAAAATCTACCAGTGACATCTGGAAAAATGGATCATAAAATTGTTTTAGGTTTTTTTTAAGTGATAATTCTTTAAAATCAAAATAATGAAAAAATGACATTTGTTTATTAATTTTTTGGTCAGTGTGAATTAGATCTCTCTTGATCCAATCAATTTTTTATTTGTATTTCTTTTGTTTTCAGCAGATCATTGTCAATAGGTGGATACCATCACAAGAACGACAAGAAAAAGTAGTGGAAGAAATGCCTTAAAATCAGTGATACATTGATAATACTCCAAATTATATATTTTTTTGTTTATTAAAAATAAATAATTGAAAGGAAGTTGATTTTTTCATTGGTAGAAATTTGTAAATTGTTTGATTGTTCTGTAATAAGCCCATCCCCTAACGTTAAGTGAGGAATGTTGTCCTCTTTGACTTACAATAGTATAAATATGACATGAACAAAGCAGTTGATAACATGATATGATCTTTCACCCTGTTCAGTGATTGCATCATGGATATTCCAAGGGATCGTGGTGTTGTGGGACTTTCTTCTGCAATTTTTGGTTTACTGATATTGATCATCACTACTGCAAACACAGGTCAGTCTGCATGAGAATTGGTTGAAGTGATAATTAACTTTCAGTTTATATGCAAAATAGAAGTTATCCACACAACCCCTCTACATGTTTACCGTCTTTTTTTTTCAATTAGTAAAAAAAATAATTGTGTGTATTCTCTATATCCATGGAGTAGGTCATTAAAACATGTAGGTATCATTTTATTTTATGGTTGATACAAGCCTATCAATTTTGTAACTGTCACTGCAGACCTTTTGTCTATTTCATAACTATAAAAGAAATCATGTTCAGAAAATTCAGTTCATTCACTTTTTTCGACAATTCAAAGAAACCATTTATATCTGATGCAACTGATGAAAATCATTTAAGCAACTAGTGATTTTTTCACCAAAAAACTGAAAGTAAAAGATATTAACCAAATCATACTGTAAAATACCATTAAATCTGGACTGGACAATCGCCAGTCAAACCCTAGAACAGTGTTAAATCTGGACTGGACAATCGCCAGTCAAACCCTAGAACAGTGTTAAATCTGGACCGGACAACCACCAATTAAACCGTAGAACACTGTTAAATCTGGACCGGACAATCACCAGTCAAACCCTAGAACAGTGTTAAATCTGGACTGGACAATTACCAGTCAAACCCTAGAACACTGTTAAATCTGGACCGAACGATTGCCAGTCAAACCCTAGAACAGTGTTAAATCTGGACTGGACAATCACCAGTCAAATCCTAGAACAGTGTTAAATCTGGACCGGACAAACGCCAGTCAAACTGTTGAACAGTGTTAAATCTGGACTGGACAATCACCAGTTAAACCCTAGAACAGTGTTAAATCTGGACCGAAAATTGCCAGTCAAACCCTAGAACAGTGTTAAATCTGGACTGGACAATTACCAGTCAAATCCTAGAACACTGTTAAATCTGGACCGGACAATCGCCAGTCAAACTGTAGAACACTGTTAAATCTGGACTGGACATTCACCAGTCAAACCCTAGAACAGTGTTAAATCTGGACTGGACAATCACCAGTCAAACCCTAGAACAGTGTTAAATCTGGACCGGACAACCACCAATTAAACCGTAGAACACTGTTAAATCTGGACCGGACAATTGCCAGTCAAACCGTAGAACAATGTTAAATCTGGACTGGACATTCAGTAGTCAAATTGTTGAAATTTCCAATCAGCTGCATTTGATAGTAAGTTCCATGAGACATATGACAATATTTGATTCTTTCATTTGTAAATTGTAACAGACAACATATATGTTTTAAAATTTCACTTGAAGATTTTATCTATTTGTCTGCCAATACTTTCTTTTTAATGTTTTTGTATTTAGATATAACATTTAATAGACATTGAAAACTTCAATACAGTTTTAATTTAAAAACACATATTAAATGTACAGATGCGATATTGGTAAAATATTGCACAATAAGTGAAAGAGGTACTGCACCATCATAAGTATATATATATATTTGAAGCAGCTTTTGAAAGTTGGCACCTTTATATGAAACACAAATAATCCCATAACTACTAAGGTATACAAAGGAAACAAATATGTTCACTGATTGAAAAATATTTTGTGAGACACCATGGATCTTTCTGCTTGATTCAACCTTCAGAGATTTTGTCCGAAATAAGGGAAATATTCAAATCAATTAAAAATGAACTATACTATAAACCCATGCCTGGTAATAAGCCCACTCAAATAAACTGTTGTTTAGTAAAACTGCAAACTTATTAATTTAAAAACTTTACATGGATAAGTCCACCACCTGACTTTGAGTTGTAAGTAATTTGTTGCCCCCCTGAGGTCCTGTAATAAGCCCACCACCTGACTTTGAGAAATAAGTAATGTGTTTGATCACAGGGGTCCTGGAATAATCATCCCCTAACTATGAGTAATGTGAGGTATTAGCCCCCTGGGGTCCTGTAATAAGCCCACCACCTGACTTTGAGAAATAAGTAATGTGTTTGATCACAGGGGTCCTGGAATAATCATCCCCTAACTATGAGTAATGTGAGGTGTTAGCCCCCTGGGGTCCTGTAATAAGCCCACCACCTGACTTTGAGAAATAAGTAATGTGTTAGCTTCTTGGACCTGTAATAAGCCCATCCCTTGACTTTGAGTAAGAAGTAATGCCTTGGCCTCTGGGGTCCTATAATAAGCCCACCTCTGACTTTGAGTAAGAAGTAATGCCTTGGCCTCTGGGGTCCTATAATAAGCCCACCTCTGACTTTGAATACATGTGATTTGAATGTGATGACCCCCAGGGCTTCTTGCTGAAAAAAAAATTTTTAAACTCTTGTTCTGTACTGATGTCACTCTCACTCCACAGATTGTGAATTTTAAATGGTTATAAAAATGAAATCTTTGTAAAATTTTGATGGTTGTTATATTCTTCAATTGTAATTTCCCAGATTCATTTTTAAAATGCCAGAGAATTAAAAAGAGATCCTGCCATACTTAATGAAGTAAATAATAGGTAAGAAAATTTTGCTATCACTGTCAACAAAACATTAGCTGAGCCATTAAAAAATTTATTGCTTTTTCTCATTAATTGTATTTTCTTGCCCTCCTTGGACTTTTCCAATGGGAATTCACAGGTAGGAACAAGTAGCCAAACAAACATTTTAACATTATTTCCTTTCTCTGTGTTTTCTTGCCCTCCTTGGACTTTTCCAATGGGAATTCACAGGTAGGAACAAGCAGCCAAACAAACATTTTAACATTATTTCCTTTCTCTGTGTTTTCTTGCCCTTCTTGGATCCTCTCTGATGCCATTTAGTGCCAAGATCAAGAAACAAAACAAATATCATTTAAATGTTATTGGCCTTTTTCTGTGTCAGTGTTTTCTTGGTTGTCTGTGGTTTCTTGGTTGTCTGCGTTGTCTGTGTTTTCTGCATTTTCTTGGTTGTCTGTGTTTTCTTGGTTTCCTTTGTCCTTCTCACCCCTCTCTGGTGTTGATTCAATGCTGAGATCCAGTACCATAGGGAACTTTCTGTGACTCAGCCAGTCTACCAGCATGCTGAGATCTCCCAACAGGATTGTTTCCAGTACATACTAATGATAAAGAAATAGATTATTTATATATTTGTCATACAACAGCTCTTGGATAGATAAAAGAAACACCACCAGCCAGCTCTTAAATCAAACAACACTTGTAGCCTGGTCTTAGATAAATCAAAGAATATTTACAGTTAGATCTTAAATCACACAGAAAACTTGTAGCCTGGTCTTGGATAAATCTAAGACCACTTGTAGCCTGGTCTTAGATAAATCAAAGAATATTTACAGTTAGATCTTAAATCACACAGAAAACTTGCAGCCTGGTCTTGGATAAATCTAAGACCACTTGTAGCCTGGTCTTAGATAAATCAAAGAATATTTACAGTTAGATTTTAAATCACACAGAAAACTTGTAGCCTGGTCTTAGATAAATCAAAGAACAAAGAGACCAGTAACAACAAGAACTTAAATGATTTATAATTGTGTAACTACTTCAATCCTGTCATGATTCAGGAATACGAACTGCTTATTTCTGCTTCCCCTTTGAAGGTTTGCAGGCTGTAGGTTGACCCCTTGGGTCCCTATAATAAGCCCAACTCTTGTCTTTGCATAATAGTTTGTCTGTTGGCCTTATTGCAGGATAAGTACCACCACAGATGAAAAATAAATCTATCACTGTGATCCACTTAATCTAAAAATAGCTTCAGAGATAAATGTTACAATGTATTATTCACAACTTTTAAATCTGACATCACTGCAACAATCAGGCTCTAGCATTGTTACACAGGGTTAACAATATACTGGTACCTTGATAGCCTTCTGCATACAGATTTTTAAGATGGAGTAGGCTGGCAGGGACATCACAAGTAAACAGAGCTTGGCCTGAAAGAGGAGACAGAAAAATGAAATATTAACCTGACAATTGTAAGCAATTTAAATAACCCTTGCTCAAATATCTCAAGTATTGCTCAAAATGAATGAAATTCTTTTTAATAATCAATAAAAAGAAACGAAAAGCAAACAACTGCTTAAGGTTTGTTTGTTTCCTTTTTCATAAACAGCAAAGTTCTTGTTGAGGTATAGGGTCTCCTTGCCATAGCTGGTGACTGCTTCTCTGAAAAAGAGGCCCATAAAGCCTCAATTTTTCACCTGGTTTATTTGGCTGAAATGGCTTCATCTAAACTGAAGAAAATGTATTTCAAAGTTATATATCTATTTTCTCTTTTTGGTGCCACTACTCTGTCCCCAGGGAAGTCCTACCATCCTAGAATGCTTCTGACTAGATTTGGTAAAAAAAACCTTCAACCAAACAGAAGGACTTTAAACCTTTTCTTGGCTCTACTCTTCTGGATGCAGGTTCAGACCAACCCTTGTAAAATATGAGTCAACTTCTCCTTAAGATGCTTCAGACCAAAACAGGTCAAAATACCTTCTATACATCAGAAGGATTTCAAGGCTATTAATTTATTTCGCCTATTTGGCCCCAGGTGGCCAATTTATACAAAATTGGTTCTCTTTCTTCCTAGGATGCTTCTGACCAAATTTTAACAAAATCTAATCATTTCTATTTAGTGATAGTCAAAAAGGATTTAAAAGAAATTTCTAAATTTCCCATTTTGGACCCTGACCCCTAGGCTTCTTGGTGCAGAGACATAACATTTATACAAAATTGTTCCCCCTTTTACATTGGATGTTTAAGACCAAATTTGGTCAAATTCACCAGAACGTTCACAACAAGTAGCATGATTCATAATTGTAAGAAAAGTTGACCAATATTCAGGACTCTGTGATATGGTCCTTCAGCTCAGGTGAGCCAAAAATAATGGGAGGCCTGTCGCATGCTATCAAGAGCAACTGGAGTAGAGTGTCCTACTTAAGACTACAACCACTACAGCACAGACAGGTCCATTTATCAGCTGCATTTGAATAACACACGGACCCAACATAGCAATCATTTAAACACACTTCGGATTCTCATTCGTCACCTGAGGTTGTAAGTCAACAAAAAACCCAAAACTTATCATTGTGTTTGGAGTAAGTCTATGTAAGTTTTTTTCAGAAAGAAAACCTGAAACCCAATGTTGTGTTAGGTGTTAGTCTATAAGAAACCTGAAACCCAATGTTGTGTTAGGTGTTAGTCTATAAGAAACCTGAAACCTAATGTTGTGTTAGGTGTTAACCCAATGTTGTGTTAGGTGTTCGCCTACAAGAAACCTGAAACTCTATGTTGTGTTAGGTGTTAGTCTATAAGAAACCTGAAACCCAATGTTGTGTTAGGTGTTAGTCTATAAGAAACCTGAAACCTAATGTTGTGTTAGGTGTTAACCCAATGTTGTGTTAGGTGTTAGCCTACAAGAAACCTGAAACTCTATGTTGTGTTAGGTGTTAGTCTACAAGAATCCTGAAACCCAATGTTGTGTTAGGTGTTAGCCTACAAGAAACCTGAAACTCTATGTTGTGTTAGGTGTTAGTCTACAAGAATCCTGAAACCCAATGTTGTGTTAGGTGTTAGCCTACAAGAATCCTGAAACCCAATGTTGTGTTAGGTGTTAGCCTACAAGAATCCTGAAACCCAATGTTGTGTAAGGTGTTAGTCTACAAGAATCCTGAAACCCAATGTTGTTTTAGGTGTTAGTCTACAAGAAACCTGAAACCCAATGATGTGTTAGGTGTTAGTCTACAAGAATCCTGAAACCCAATGTTGTTTTAGGTGTTAGTCTACAAGAAACCTGAAACCCAATGTTGTGTTAGGTGTTAGTCTACAAGAATCCTGAAACCCAATGTTGTGTTAGGTGTTAGTCTACAAGAATCCTGAAACCCAATGTTGTGTTAGGTGTTAGTCTACAAGAAACCTGAAACCCAATGTTGTGTTAGGTGTTAGTCTACAAGAAACCTGAAACCCAATGTTGTGTTAGGTGTTAACCCAATGTTGTGTTAGGTGTTAGTCTACAAGAATCCTGAAACCCAATGTTGTTTTAGGTGTTAGTCTACAAGAATCCTGAAACCCAATGTTGTTTTAGGTGTTAGTCTACAAGAAACCTGAAACCCAATGTTGTGTTAGGTGTTAGTCTACAAGAATCCTGAAACCCAATGTTGTGTTAGGTGTTAGTCTACAAGAATCCTGAAACCCAATGATGTGTTGGGTGTTAGTCTACAAGAAACCTGAAACCCAATGATGTGTTAGGTGTTAGTCTATAAGAAACCTGAAACCCAATGATGTGTTAGGTGTTAGTCTACAGGAAACCTGAAACTCTATGTTGTGTTAGGTGTTAGTCTATAAGAAACCTGAAACCCAATGTTGTGTTAGGTGTTAGTCTACAAGAACCCTTAAACCCAATGATGTGTTAGGTGTTAGTCTACAAGAAACCTGAAACCAAATGTTGTGTTAGGTGCTAGTCTATAAGAACCCTGAAACCCAATGTTGTGTTAGGTGTTAGTATACAAGAATCCTGAAACCCAATGTTGTGTTAGGTGCTAGTCTATAAGAAACTTGAAACCCAATGTTGTGTAAGTTGTTAGTCTATAAGAAACCTGAAACCCTATGTTGTGTTAGGTGTTAGTCTACAAGAAACCTGAAACCCAATGTTGTGTTAGGTGTTAGTCTACAAGAATCCTGAAACCCAATGTTGTTTTAGGTGTTAGTCTACAAGAAACCTGAAACCCAATGTTGTGTTAGGTGTTAGTCTACAAGAATCCTGAAACCCAATGTTGTGTTAGGTGTTAGTCTACAAGAATCCTGAAACCCAATGATGTGTTGGGTGTTAGTCTACAAGAAACCTGAAACCCAATGATGTGTTAGGTGTTAGTCTATAAGAAACCTGAAACCCAATGATGTGTTAGGTGTTAGTCTACAGGAAACCTGAAACTCTATGTTGTGTTAGGTGTTAGTCTATAAGAAACCTGAAACCCAATGTTGTGTTAGGTGTTAGTCTACAAGAACCCTTAAACCCAATGATGTGTTAGGTGTTAGTCTACAAGAAACCTGAAACCAAATGTTGTGTTAGGTGCTAGTCTATAAGAACCCTGAAACCCAATGTTGTGTTAGGTGTTAGTATACAAGAATCCTGAAACCCAATGTTGTGTTAGGTGCTAGTCTATAAGAAACTTGAAACCCAATGTTGTGTAAGTTGTTAGTCTATAAGAAACCTGAAACCCTATGTTGTGTTAGGTGTTAGTCTACAAGAAACCTGAAACCCAATGTTGTGTTGGGTGTTAGTCTATAGGAAACCTGAAACCCAATGTTGTGTTAGGTGTTAGTCTATAAGAAACCTGAAACCTAATGTTGTGTTAGGTGTTAACCCAATGTTGTGTTAGGTGTTCGCCTACAAGAAACCTGAAACTCTATGTTGTGTTAGGTGTTAGTCTATAAGAAACCTGAAACCCAATGTTGTGTTAGGTGTTAGTCTATAAGAAACCTGAAACCTAATGTTGTGTTAGGTGTTAACCCAATGTTGTGTTAGGTGTTAGCCTACAAGAAACCTGAAACTCTATGTTGTGTTAGGTGTTAGTCTACAAGAATCCTGAAACCCAATGTTGTGTTAGGTGTTAGCCTACAAGAAACCTGAAACTCTATGTTGTGTTAGGTGTTAGTCTACAAGAATCCTGAAACCCAATGTTGTGTTAGGTGTTAGCCTACAAGAATCCTGAAACCCAATGTTGTGTTAGGTGTTAGCCTACAAGAATCCTGAAACCCAATGTTGTGTAAGGTGTTAGTCTACAAGAATCCTGAAACCCAATGTTGTTTTAGGTGTTAGTCTACAAGAAACCTGAAACCCAATGATGTGTTAGGTGTTAGTCTACAAGAATCCTGAAACCCAATGTTGTTTTAGGTGTTAGTCTACAAGAAACCTGAAACCCAATGTTGTGTTAGGTGTTAGTCTACAAGAATCCTGAAACCCAATGTTGTGTTAGGTGTTAGTCTACAAGAATCCTGAAACCCAATGTTGTGTTAGGTGTTAGTCTACAAGAAACCTGAAACCCAATGTTGTGTTAGGTGTTAGTCTACAAGAAACCTGAAACCCAATGTTGTGTTAGGTGTTAACCCAATGTTGTGTTAGGTGTTAGTCTACAAGAATCCTGAAACCCAATGTTGTTTTAGGTGTTAGTCTACAAGAATCCTGAAACCCAATGTTGTTTTAGGTGTTAGTCTACAAGAAACCTGAAACCCAATGTTGTGTTAGGTGTTAGTCTACAAGAATCCTGAAACCCAATGTTGTGTTAGGTGTTAGTCTACAAGAATCCTGAAACCCAATGATGTGTTGGGTGTTAGTCTACAAGAAACCTGAAACCCAATGATGTGTTAGGTGTTAGTCTATAAGAAACCTGAAACCCAATGATGTGTTAGGTGTTAGTCTACAGGAAACCTGAAACTCTATGTTGTGTTAGGTGTTAGTCTATAAGAAACCTGAAACCCAATGTTGTGTTGTGTTAGGTGTTAGTCTACAAGAACCCTTAAACCCAATGATGTGTTAGGTGTTAGTCTACAAGAAACCTGAAACCAAATGTTGTGTTAGGTGCTAGTCTATAAGAACCCTGAAACCCAATGTTGTGTTAGGTGTTAGTATACAAGAATCCTGAAACCCAATGTTGTGTTAGGTGCTAGTCTATAAGAAACTTGAAACCCAATGTTGTGTAAGTTGTTAGTCTATAAGAAACCTGAAACCCTATGTTGTGTTAGGTGTTAGTCTACAAGAAACCTGAAACCCAATGTTGTGTTGGGTGTTAGTCTATAGGAAACCTGAAACCCAATGTTGTGTTAGGTGTTAGTCTATAAGAAACCTGAAACCCAATGTTGTGTTAGGTGTTAGTCTACAAGAATCCTGAAACCCAATGTTGTGTTAGGTGTTAGTCTATAAGAAACCTGAAACCCAATGTTGTGTAAGGTGTTAGTCTACAAGAAACCTGATACCTAATGTTGTGTTAGGTGTTAGTCTACAAGAATCCTGAAACCCAATGTTGTGTTAGGTGCTAGTCTATAAGAAACTTGAAACCCAATGTTGTGTTAGGTGCTAGTCTATAAGAAACTTGAAATCCAATGTTGTGTTAGGTGTTAGTCTACAAGAATCCTGAAACCCAATGTTGTGTAAGGTGTTAGTCTACATGAATCCTGAAACCCAATGATGTGTTGGGTGTTAGTCTATAGGAAACCTGAAACCCAATGTTGTGTTAGGTGTAAGTCTATAAGAAACCTGAAACCCAATGTTGTGTTAGGTGTTAGTCTATAAGAAACCTGAAACCCAATGTTGTGTTAGGTGTTAGTCTATAAGAAACCTGAAACCCAATGTTGTGTTAGGTGTTAGTCTACAAGAATCCTGAAACCCAATGTTGTGTTAGGTGCTAGTCTATAAGAAACTTGAAATCCAATGTTGTGTTAGGTGTTAGTCTATAAGAAACCTGAAACCCAATGTTGTGTTAGGTGTTAGTCTACAAGAATCCTGAAACCCAATGTTGTGTTAGGTGCTAGTCTATAAGAAACTTGAAACCCAATGTTGTGTTAGGTGCTAGTCTATAAGAAACTTGAAACCCAATGTTGTGTTAGGTGCTAGTCTATAAGAAACTTGAAACCCAATGTTGTGTTAGGTGTTAGTCTACAAGAATCCTGAAACCCAATGTTGTGTTAGGTGTTAGTCTACAAGAATCCTGAAACCCAATGTTGTGTAAGGTGTTAGTCTACAAGAATCCTGAAACCCAATGATGTGTTGGGTGTTAGTCTACAAGAAACATGAAACCCAATGTTGTTTTAGGTGTTAGTCTATAAGAAACCTGAAACCCAATGTTGTGTAAGGTGTTAGTCTACAAGAATCCTGAAACCCAATGTTGTGTTAGGTGTTAACCAAATGTTGTGTTAAGTGTTAGTCTATAAGAAACCTGAAACCCAATGTTGTGTTAGGTGTTAACCAAATGTTGTGTTAGGTGTTAGCCTACAAGAAACCTGAAACTCTATGTTGTGTTAGGTGTTAGTCTACAAGAATCCTGAAACCCAATGTTGTTTTAGGTGTTAGTCTATAAGAAACCTGAAACCCAATGTTGTGTTGGGTGTTAGTCTATAAGAAACCTGAAACCCAATGTTGTGTAAGGTGTTAGTCTACAAGAATCCTGAAATCCAATGTTGTGTTAGGTGTTAACCAAATGTTGTGTTAAGTGTTAGTCTATAAGAAACCTGAAACCCAATGTTGTGTTAGGTGTTAACCAAATGTTGTGTTAAGTGTTAGTCTATAAGAAACCTGAAACCCAATGTTGTGTTAGGTGTTAACCAAATGTTGTGTTAAGTGTTAGTCTATAAGAAACCTGAAACCCAATGTTGTGTTAGGTGCTAGTCTATAAGAAACTTGAAACCCAATGTTGTGTTAGGTGCTAGTCTATAAGAAACTTGAAACCCAATGTTGTGTTAGGTGCTAGTCTATAAGAAACTTGAAACCCAATGTTGTGTTAGGTGTTAGTCTACAAGAAACCTGAAACCCAATGTTGTGTTAGGTGTTAGTCTACAAGAAACCTGAAACTCTATGTTGTGTTAGGTGTTAGTCTACAAGAATCCTGAAACCCAATGTTGTGTTAGGTGTTAGCCTACAAGAAACCTGATACCTAATGATGTGTTAAGTGTTAGTCTACAAGAAACCTGAAACCCAATGTTGTGTTAGGTGTTAACCAAATGTTGTGTTAAGTGTTAGTCTATAAGAAACCTGAAACCCAATGTTGTGTTAGGTGTTAACCAAATGTTGTGTTAAGTGTTAGTCTATAAGAAACCTGAAACCCAATGTTGTGTTAGGTGCTAGTCTATAAGAAACTTGAAACCCAATGTTGTGTTAGGTGCTAGTCTATAAGAAACTTGAAATCCAATGTTGTGTTAGGTGTTAGCCTACAAGAATCCTGAAACCCAATGTTGTGTTAGGTGTTAGTCTACAAGAATCCTGAAACCCAATGTTGTGTTAGGTGCTAGTCTACAAGAATCCTGAAACCCAATGTTGTGTTAGGTGTTAGTCTACAAGAAACTTGAAACCCAATGTTGTGTTAGGTGTTAGTCTACAAGAATCCTGAAACCCAATGTTGTGTTAGGTGTTAGTCTACAAGAAACCTGAAACCCAATGTTGTGTTAGGTGTTAGTCTACAAGAATCCTGAAACCCAATGTTGTGTTAGGTGTTAACCAAATGTTGTGTTAAGTGTTAGTCTATAAGAAACCTGAAACCCAATGTTGTGTTAGGTGTTAACCAAATGTTGTGTTAAGTGTTAGTCTATAAGAAACCTGATACCCAATGTTGTGTTAGGTGTTAGTCTATAGGAAACCTGAAACCCAATGTTGTGTTAGGTGTTAGTCTATAAGAAACCTGAAACCCAATGTTGTGTTAGGTGTTAGTCTACAAGAAACCTGAAACCCAATGTTGTGTTAGGTGTTAGTCTACAAGAATCCTGAAACCCAATGTTGTGTTAGGTGCTAGTCTACAAGAATCCTGAAACCCAATGTTGTGTTAGGTGTTAGTCTACAAGAATCCTGAAACCCAATGTTGTGTTAGGTGTTAGTCTACAAGAATCCTGAAACCCAATGTTGTGTAAGGTGTTAGTCTACAAGAATCCTGAAACCCAATGATGTGTTGGGTGTTAGTCTATAGGAAACCTGAAACCCAATGTTGTGTTAGGTGTTAGTCTATAAGAAACCTGAAACCCAATGTTGTGTTAGGTGTTAGTCTACAAGAAACCTGAAACCCAATGTTGTGTTAGGTGCTAGTCTATAAGAAACTTGAAATCCAATGTTGTGTTAGGTGTTAGTCTATAAGAAACCTGAAACCCAATGTTGTGTTAGGTGTTAGTCTACAAGAATCCTGAAACCCAATGTTGTGTTAGGTGCTAGTCTATAAGAAACTTGAAATCCAATGTTGTGTTAGGTGTTAGTCTATAAGAAACCTGAAACCCAATGTTGTGTTAGGTGTTAGTCTACAAGAATCCTGAAACCCAATGTTGTGTTAGGTGCTAGTCTATAAGAAACTTGAAACCCAATGTTGTGTTAGGTGCTAGTCTATAAGAAACTTGAAATCCAATGTTGTGTTAGGTGTTAGCCTACAAGAAACCTGAAACTCTATGTTGTGTTAGGTGTTAGTCTACAAGAATCCTGAAACCCAATGTTGTGTAAGGTGTTAGTCTACAAGAATCCTGAAACCCAATGATGTGTTGGGTGTTAGTCTACAAGAAACATGAAACCCAATGTTGTTTTAGGTGTTAGTCTATAAGAAACCTGAAACCCAATGTTGTGTAAGGTGTTAGTCTACAAGAATCCTGAAACCCAATGTTGTGTTAGGTGTTAACCAAATGTTGTGTTAAGTGTTAGTCTATAAGAAACCTGAAACCCAATGTTGTGTTAGGTGTTAACCAAATGTTGTGTTAGGTGTTAGCCTACAAGAAACCTGAAACTCTATGTTGTGTTAGGTGTTAGTCTACAAGAATCCTGAAACCCAATGATGTGTTAGGTGTTAGTCTATAAGAAACCTGAAACTCTATGTTGTGTTAGGTGTTAGTCTATAAGAAACCTGAAACCCAATGTTGTGTAAGGTGTTAGTCTACAAGAATCCTGAAACCCAATGTTGTGTTAGGTGTTAGTCTACAAGAAACCTGAAACCCAATGTTGTGTTAGGTGTTAGTCTACAAGAATCCTGAAACCCAATGTTGTGTTAGGTGTTAGTCTACAAGAAACCTGAAACCCAATGTTGTGTTAGGTGTTAGTCTACAAGAATCCTGAAACCCAATGTTGTGTTAGGTGCTAGTCTACAAGAATCCTGAAACCCAATGTTGTGTTGGGTGTTAGTCTACAAGAATCCTGAAACCCAATGTTAGGTGTTACTACAAGTGTCTATATTACCTTGGCATGATGAATTGTCTTGGTGTCCATTGTAGAAAACTGACTGAGTTTGTTAAGGATATTGTTGATTTCAGGATCGTTTTGACCAGTAATGGAGTAAGTCTTCTCTCTCAGTTCATCATACCTTTATCAGGAGGAAATGAATCGCTTGTTTCAAACATTTTACCAGCAAAGACAATATTTCACATATGGGTGAAAGAGAAAAATATGGCAAAGTTTATTTTCTGTAAAGATTTCAAATACAATAGCAAGACTTGTGTGAGATATTGGGCTAAATTTCTAGTAAAAACAATTTATGCTTGCTCACAACAGAGGTAAAAAGCCTACAATATGTATATATTATTTTTAGACAATCCTTCAAAAATTTTATATATTGCTTAAACTAAACTTGAAAATGCTGCATTAATCCCTATTAATAGGAGACAGAATTCTGACTTACCCCTCCAAAAAACATTTTATTTGACAATTTTTCAAGAATTTACACCAGATGTCCTTGGAATTTTAAGATCGTGTTTAAAATCAGTCCTGAACGCACGGATGCCTAAAAATGGTCATCTGACAGCATGATTTTCTTGAAGTCGGTCACCACTACTTGTGAAGAGCAACTGATGGGATCTCTTGAACCTTATGTTCAGTTTTACTCCTAGTTAGTTGTGCATGCATTTGTTATTATGACTGAGGTCACAAGTCACAGTGACCTACTTCTTAAAATGTTTGGTTGCCCCAGGTAAAAGTGCATGAAATGTACAAACTGGATGTAGGAATAGAAGAAATGCACTCAAGACAAATGACAGAACCAATAACCCCTAATGTAATTATGCTGGTAGACATGGTCTATGGTTATTAAACTCACCACTTAGAAGGCGGCACGTGATGGACATCTACATTGCGGGCCATATTTGTTTTGCCCCTCCGCATGTTGATCACATGTTCTGGGAAGAGTGGGCTCAGATCCTCAAACACTTGGTACTTCATCTTGAAGGACACCATTTTCTCCCTGTGTAAAAACATATTAGGAAATAAAACTATAAATGAACATAAATTTTATTTATTTTACAACAATTACAAAAAAAAAGTTAACCAACTTACACTATAATCATGCTGGATGGTCTGGATTGCAGCACATGAGTGGTGTTACTATGGAAGGAAACTGTTAACCTTGGGAAAACCCACATGGTCGGGCTAACCCTTACCTTTTCATGTCCTTTCAGGGAATCTAAAACCAGGGGACTAGGATGAGTGCCCATATACATTACATACTTCTGTTTATCATATTGTTCAACTATCTCGTTACAAGAAAAATTTCACACCCTTTTATGCTTTACTTAAATTTTCACTCTTTTGTAGACCGACATAAAAATCAGTGACTTGATGTTTTTATAAATAGAAAGGGGGAACCTAGAGATAGAATTTTTTTTTTCTTTTAAATACATCTTATTTTTGGGGTTTTTTTATCCAAGAAAGAGACGAAGGTTAGTGACCTCATTACATTAAACATAGTATTTCTCACTAAGTGATGATGATCACCTCTCATTGTATCACAGGTTAGTGACCTCATTACATTAAACATAGTATTTCTCACTAAGTGATGATGATCACCTCTCATTGTATCACAGGTTAGTGACCTCATTACATTAAACATAGTATTTCTCACTAAGTGATGATGATCACCTCTCATTGTATCACAGGTTAGTGACCTCATTACATTAAACATAGTATTTCTCACTAAGTGATGATGATCACCTCTCATTGTATCACAGGTTAGTGACCTCATTACATTAAACATAGTATTTCTCACTAAGTGATGATGTCACCTCTTATTGACCTCATTACATTAAACATAGTATTTCTCACTAAGTGATGATGATCATCTCTCATAGTATCACACAGGTTAGTGACCTCATTACATTAAACATAGTATTTCTCACTAAGTGATGATGTCACCTCTCATTGTATCAAGATATATTTTGAAAATAAAACAATTTGCTATATTTCATTTCAAAATTATAATTGATGATGAAGTGACATTAAATTTTCTCCCTTAGATCTCTATATTTACAAAATAAATCATAAAACCCCTAATGCTTCCTGTAAGCCTTCTATTCATTATAATATCATTCCATCATTCCTTTGTTGATAGTCGAGTTTTTAAGATGTTGTCTTGCACCTTGCATCTTGTTCAGATTTCTGTAATTCATCGTGCAATAAGTCATTATAAATTATACATCGTGGATGGCCTTATCACAGATGAAATCCCCATTGTTTATTTTTTGGAGGAGTTATAATCAGACAGGGGTTTAGTTGCTGGAAAGATATAGTATACATGTACGTTATGCAAATAAATATGTTTCAAATTTCTTCTGGTTTTATCAAATCTGTATACTGCAAAATCAATTATTTTGGTAGGGTTCATTTTTTTGCAGTTTTTGAAAAAAAAGAAAACAGCATCTCATGCACACTTGATTTCGTGGATATGAGTAGTTGGATAAATCTGCTTACTCAAATCTGAACAGTTCATGGACATATGAACTCATGGATTAACAGTACCCACAAAATCAATGAATCATTTTACAGTATGTATAGCTGTTGATATTGCTAAATCAGAACATGAGGCCCATGGGCCTTATCGGTCATCTGACATAAGATACAAGATTTCAAATTTTGAACTTGAGAAGAAGTCGAAAATGTGTTTTCAAGATGGCGGCCATTTTGGATTTCGGACCAACCCGAAATTAACAAACTTTGGTCAGGATCATGTCATGATCATTTCAGGTAAGTTTCAGCTCAATGAGACATGTAGAACTTGAGAAGAAGTTGAAAATGTTTACGACTGATAACATACGACGGCGATCGCAATAGGTCATCAGACCCTTTGGTCAGATGACCTAAAAAGCTAGATGACTAGGAAATGATCAGTTGTATAATTCCACTGTATACAGACCTTTCAATTTTCTGTAGTGAGGCGTCCAGCTCCTGCTGTACTGTTGATCTAACTTTATTCAGCTTTTTCCTGTTATTATAGGCCAAGTTTCCCACATGTTTCGTGTTGGCACATTTTCTGTTGCAAAGATAAGTGTTAAATTATGTAAGAAGTTTTTGCCTTCAAAGATAAACTTAATCAAACTGTACAAAGTTAACCCTCGACAGGACAAAATAGAAGTCCCATAGTCTTTACTGCATAATTTTCATGATATTCCAATAAAACAGTCAAGTTATATGCATGCAAAATTTTGATGTAATTAGGGTGTAAAAGAAGAAAATTGAATACACAAGCCCATTTTTTCTGCATACCAAATTTTTGCGGTCAATTTAATGTGCTCTGAAATAACAAATATATCATCCCTGCAAAGACACCGGTATGATAAAGTGAAGCCCATGGTAGTAAAGTGAAGAACAGTTCCTTTCAATTTTAGGAAATTTAGGGGTATAGGGCTTCACTTTACTGTGGCTATGGTAAAGTGAAGCATTTCACTATTTCTTTACTAATTAACTGTTTTCACTAATTTTTTTTTCAAAATACCATTATTTTATACCATTATGGTATTTTAACCCCGGTTCATTTCCTCATGCTTCACAATACCATGCTACATCGGCTATAACTAAGTATTACACTAAAATCATCACAAATGGTTTTTACAAAGTTCAAGTATGGGAAACACATTTTCTGTAATGTTGATACAATAGATAATTTTAAAATGTATAGTCTGGGATTCAAAACAAACACAAAAATATTTATATTGAATTCTGATATTGTACAGGTATGATATATTAGAAAATATTACACACTTAAATTGTCTATCTTGTAATTTTAAATAACTTGAACTTGCAGAAAAAAGATTCAAATTTTGTATTCACTTTGTTGATAAAAATACCAAAGTCCTTATTTTAATAACAATGCTGAATTACTGTTTAGTCTATAGTTGCTTAACCTCCCATTAGTAAGTAAGACCTGATTAATTTCTTATCAGAAAAATAATGTTAACCACTTTTATCTATACTCCAACTGGTAGTAGCACTTAAGTAACTATCCAAAATTAATATTAGGAATTAGAAAAATCCTTCAGAAACCAAACCTTAACAAGAGACCAATGGGCCTTAATGGTCATCTGACATAAAAAAACAAGATTTCAAATTTTGAACTTGATAAGAAGTCGAAAATGTGTTTTCAAGATGGTGGCCATGGCGGCCATGTTGGATTTCGGACCAACCTGAAATTAACACATTTTAGTTAGGATCATGTTATGATCATTTCAGGTAAGTTTCAGCTCAACGAGACACGTGGAACTTGAAAAGAAGTTGAAAATGTTTATAACGGACGCCGCCGGACAAAAGGCGATCGCAATAGGTCATCAGACCCTTCAGTCAGATGACCTAATTATTAAGTGAGACTTTTATAATGTCATTACAATCCTAATATCCCAAATATAGTGCTGAGATTTACAGAGAAATTAAAAAATAAAAAAAAAATCAGTGAACAAATATTGGTGTTTCAACTGCATACAATCCCTCTATTCATGAATGTTCAATATTTAGCCTGTCAATCACTAGAGATTTAATGAAAAATGTCTAGAGACAGCGGAATGGATCTTTAACTTAAGTCACACTAAATATTCCAAAAGAAGTGATTTACTTCCTGTCTACTGACTTTTTACTGGGGGCTGTTTTGGGATATTTTTCACTGGCCACTTGCTGCCAGATTGGCAATTTCCTGGTAGGAGTTGTTTCCTTTTTCTCTGCAACATATGGCGGGGGTTCATCATAATGCGGTGTTTGGCCACGTGGTGAACCTGAAGAAGCAGTGGAGCCGCCGGACGGAAGCACATTCTGATTTCCGTGCATTTTTCTGTATAAAATTAAACATTCGTGTTTTGAACATTTCTTCCTGGAAAAAAATTCCATTTAAAATGTAATGATAATATCCAGAGGAGCATGACATTCACGTTCTCTATGGATCGTTTTGGATTTTTCATACTTAACTGCTACAAAAATGATGATGAAGATGCCTGCTGAAAAGCCATTTAAAATCTGAAGATTGCAAATCTATGTGGTATCTTTGAAAATATGGAGCAATATGATGGAATCTCCAACAAGGTGCTGTAATGCAGTGTGGTGATGATGTGGGGTGGGTAGGGTGGGTGTGGGGATGGGGGGTTGGTAGGGTGGGGTTGGGGGTAGGGGTGGAGAGGAGAAGGAGGAGGAAAACAAAGGGCATGATGAAAGCATTGAAACAATATTGACATGAAAGAAGACTTATAAATGGGGACTGGTTTCTTGAGCATTTTGATGGTAACATACTTCCAATGCATGGCCTTGAGGATGATGTTGGCATGGACTCCCATTGCTGGTGTTCCAGCTGCTGCCCTGTGTTGAGAGACCTGTAGATTGACGAGGTCCTCCCAGGTTTCAATGATGACCCGTCTCTTCTCCTGTATGGTCAATAAGATAGCCTCCATCGGAACTCGAATTGACTTCCTGAATTCATAAAAATAAAACCAGAAATTTACCTTTTGGGTGGATGAAATATATTTTTTTTTCTTGTTAATATTCAATTACATGTTAGTACAAATGAACAATATAAGGATGACATACAAAGCTTACAATACCATATTTAAGATTTATAACCACAAAATGATCATTTTTTCCTATGTATGTCTCCAGTTATAATATTTGCATGTGTAATATCAAATATATACTGGACAAAATAAGTTAAGGATCATAAATTGTGACCATAATATCTTTAAAAATTCAAATCATGTATTGCCGGTAATTGCACTCGTAGTTTCTCCAATATGTACCTAAAGTCATGTCAAAGGTGAAAGCACGTGCATCTGAAGGTCTTGCCGTTCCGCTCTAGTTAACTATGGTGGTGTGAAAAACTGACTGGTCTATTACTACAGAGGAATCTTGCAGGTTTTGATTCTGTTACTTCTAAGCTAAAAAAAGTTGAATTTGGAAACATTTAATCAATTTGTAACGAAAACTTGAAAAACTAATCATGCGAAGACATTTAAATGATATGGAAGCCGCGCGAGCTATAGGACTCCTTCAAGCTGGTCAAACTCAACGAAATGTGGCGGCACAGCTTCATGTTTCTCAGAGCGTGATTAGTAGGCTATGGAATCGCTATCAACAGACAAATAACGTCCGTCAACGCCCCAGATCTGGACGACCACGCTGTACGACAGCCCGACAGGACAGATTCATTTGCATCACGGCACGACGTCAGCGGTTTTTGAGTGCTCCTGTCTTGAATCTTCAGTTTCAGCGTGCTACAAATCTAAGGATTTCATCCCAGACAATCAGAAACAGACTCCATGCCTCTAATTTACGAGCTAGAAGACCAGCAGTCCGACCAATTTTATCCAGAGTTCATCGACAATCCAGACATCAATGGGCCACTCATCATTTGAATTGGCAATTACGTCATTGGAGAAATGTTATGTTCACAGATGAGTCTAGGTTTTGTGTTGACTTCCATGACGGTAGGAGGAGGGTATGGAGAACCCAAGGAGAGCGCTATGCAGACTGCTATGTTGTCCAGCATGATCGTTTTGGTGGTGGGTCAGTGATGGTTTGGGCAGGGATCAGTGTTGACTTCCATACAGACCTCTACATCATAGACAATGGATCTTTAACAGCTGTTCGATACAGGGACGAGATTCTACACCCTATAGTAAGGCCCATTGCAGGAGTTGTTGGCCATGATTTTATTCTGATGGATGATAATGCTCGTCCTCACCGTGCTCGTGTGGTCAACGACTATCTTCAACGTGAAGCAATCGTTCGCATGGACTGGCCAAGTCGTTCTCCTGATCTGAACCCTATCGAGCATGCTTGGGACACCTTGCAACGCCGGGTTTCAGCTCGACCTAATCCGCCACAGAACCGCCAACAGCTTATGATTGCTCTGCAAGAGGAATGGCAGCGCATCCCACAGATCAGCCACCGACGACTAATAAGGAGCATGTGCAGACGTTGCAGGGCAGTTATTGATGTCAACGGAGGTCATACTGCCTATTAAACTGCCAATTGCAGTTTGATGAGTTTTCCTTGTCTACATGATTAACTTGCTCTACTTCCTCTTACACTTTGATTTCAAGGGTGCTGTTACTCAGGGTTATCTGCTCTTGGTAGCAATTACCACAAATGAATTTGTTTTGTGTAATTAAAGACTAAAATGAATGTTCTGTCATTAAAATTTAAAATATAATCATATTATTATTTGTATGTAAAACTGCACTGTTTCAAGTTTATGATCCTTAACTTATTTTGTTCAGTATATTTGCACTTTCAATACCAAATGTTTAACAATTCAAAACAGCATACCTGTTCTCTGGTTATCTTCAGACTACTGTTTGTTAAGGTACATAAACAGTGTCTGGTAAGTCTAATCTGACTGGACATCATCATGTTTGGCAATATTTTATAGTATTTTATTGTGACTATGATGTGTGACTCTATAATAAAATATTATTGATGTTAATATTGTGACATTTCTTCAGCAATAAACCAATGTCTCATGCTTGGTGATATTCAATAAACAAACATCACCAACCCTCATTCCCAGCCCCATCTCATATCCAGAGGAAGACTTCTGATATTTTGGAACCCTAATTTTTGCTATTTTCTATAAGTGAATTTGCTAAGACCTAATTATTTCATTTCAGAAAATAACCCAAAAAATTGTTATTATACATATATTTCATTTATGCTTTTATTATTGAGCATGAAAATTTAAATTTGACAAGTATGAATAACCTCTAACATAAACAACTGTAGCAACTGATACTCAACAAAGAAAAAAATGTGGAAGAGAGAAACAACAGGAGGGTATAAAAATGTACTGTAAAATCATATATTTTTGCGGGGCTCAATTTTGGTAGTTTTTCAAAATATCACTCTTACATGGCCATGTGATTTCATTACATATAGCTCAATAAATATGCTTACCATATTTTCCTGATTGTGAGTCTCACCTTCTTTTCTCGTGAGTCTGGTGTGCAGCTTATATACAAGTGCTGCTTATATGTGAACGATAATAAATCGGCAGGATAAAAAAAACAGGAAGTGTACACTCGTATAACATAAGTTGGTTGGTCACTTTACTGTCATTATTGTGTTGACTGCGACTACACAGCGCCTGTCATAAGTTTCTCACCGTGTAAAACCTCTAATAGTGTTGGAGTAGAGACAGTGCTGAGTTTTTTTACAAGTACCAACTCGTCACATGTTTGTTTGTAACAGATCGTCTAGAACCATCATTTGCAATCATATACAGGATGATTTGAAGATTGAATTAATAATAATATTCTCGTGGATTTAATTAATCATACCTTTTAATATGAATCACAATAATACCTTCTGGACTTTCACGGTTACTTCAAAGCCATAACGGGAGTTTACAATTGCCTTTTGCATCCTGGGATCGATAGGTCATCGGGTCATAGGTCAAATTCTATAACAACTACCATGATTGTTCATGATACGAATGGCTTTGTGTAACTTACAAGTAGAATTGATGTGGGACTATAAGAATTTGGTCAGCATGCAAGGACTTCGTTTATATTGAACAGTACAGACATTGATGAAGAGATTGTTCAGTAAACAGCATGTAACATGTATATATATATATATCTCTGTACATAGACAATCTGCGAAGGCACCCAAGCCGAACAAGTTCGATATTAGCTGTTTTACATTTTTTTAACTACATCAATGAAATAAAGGATTATCTGTGAATAATTCATTTGCAAACTTTATTAAATGTTTCACCGACAATCTTGATAAATTGCCCTCCGTTATATCAAGGAACTTTGGTCGATGTTACGGTTACCGTTTCATCAGAACTGCCGTCCGTTATCTGTTACGGTATTTCAAATGTCAACAATAGAAGTCACTATATTGAAATATCTGCGGCTTATATACTGGAAAATATGGTATATACAAATGACAAGAGTTATTGAACAGAGGAATTCCTGGTTAAAGATCATCCAGGAAATCAACAAAAAATAATTCCCCTACAAAAATTTATGATTTTACAGTATTTCTTATAAATTTGAATCAATCAATAGTTTTTAAAACAAAACAAAAATAATTTATGAAACAATGCAAAACACTCTTAAGTCACAAGTATTTTTTCTACCTGAATTTAATTAGCTGCCTGTTGCTGTATAAAATGGAAAATATATCATTATAATACTTTTGAAGAAATTGGGGAGATATTCCTGTTTTTCCCTTTAATATTGAAAAACTGAAGTAACCGTCTTTTTTTTTTCATGATAAAACAGAGCCAAAATAAAAAAAAGATATTTTCAAGGGGACATGAACATGATATTGGTTGAAAAATCTGTATTACTATATTCAACTTTGGCAAAAGTTTAGTAAGGAAGTTCTCAAGACAGATAATTTTTGTTGTGCATGACATGATTCTCACCTTCTACCTGCAAAAAGTGTTCCTTTAGATTGAACGTTGGATGCAGCAGAAGATGGTGCAGGTTCCTGTATCATGACTTTACGAGCTGCTGGAGTACCGATATCAGGCAACTTGGCACGATGGCTCCCTCCGTCCGTGCTAGAATCTACAGTTGTAGTGGAACATTTCTGTAACTTGGACTGAAATCGGTGACTACAAAGCAAAGTGGACAAAATTACATTTTTCAGTTAAAAGTGTTTTCTTGTAAAATTTAAACCTAAAAACTGCTGTCTTATCGTTACCATCACTAGCCGTTCCAGACATTTCTAATCCTACAAGGTAATTCATGACACCAGACATTTCTAATCCTACACGGTAATTCATGACACCAGACATTTCTAATCCTACACGGTAATTCATGACACCAGACATTTCTAATCCTACACGGTAATTCATGACACCAGACATTTCTAATCCTACACGGTAATTCATGACACCAGACATTTCTAATCCTACACGGTAATTCATGACACCAGACATTTCTAATCCTACACGGTAATTCATGACACCAGACATTTCTAATCCTACAAGGTAATTCATGACACCAGACATTTCTAATCCTACACGGTAATTCATGACACGAGACATTTCTAAACCTACAAGGTAATTCATGACACCAGACATTTCTAATCCTACACGGTAATTCATGACACGAGACATTTCTAAACCTACACGGTAATTCATGACACCAGACATTTCTAATCCTACACGGTAATTCATGACAATCAGACTGCATGTTACATCGTGTTAAAATACTTGCATTTCTAAATATCCTTATCAAATTTCATTCACCCTGGTCTTTGATTAAATCCCACAGTTGAAACTTAATTAACATGAGAAGCAAGATTTACCAAATTAGATATAAATCAATACAAGTACAAACTTTATTTATATTACAACAATTGCAAGACAAGTTATTTCAACTTAAACTAATCACTCTTGTTGGCCCGGATATAAGCATGCGAAGGGTCTTATTGTGGGAGGAAACCAGAGTACCCGGGGAAAACACATGTGGTCGGGCAGGTGACCCTTACCTTTTCACATCCGTTCTTGAAATCCCATAATATGTTCAGATTACAGAATTTAATTCATTTTAACTGAATTTTCTCATTTTGATTGTGAAAAATATGGATCCATGAACACAACCAGCTGAAGGATATTTATTGACTTACATAGCGAGGTAATTGAGTTTACTCTCTCTGTCGCCAGTGTGAACTGGTGGGAGATGGGCAGGGTTGTAGAACTTCTCTAGTGCCTTCACAGCACCTAGAGACAAAGGAACCTGTAAAAGATTGTACGAAGATTAGATATTCTTTCTTTTTTTTACAATGTGCGCTTATCGCCAATGCATATGGTACTTAAATATTGCTTAATGTAACTTTGGAATGAGAACATTCTGCACCCTTTGAAGTCCAGAATAAACAAGAGTTGTGAGGTTTGAGAATTGTGCTGGATAGACCTTTTTTGTCTATATTTTCATGACTAAATTTCAGCTTAAGGTATAAGATATATATGCACTTCGGTTTGGAATGTGGTCTAGATCATTTTTCATTTTCCAGGACTGACAATTATGTACATGTAGGTGAGCCATGACTTCAACAAACATTAGCAAGAAAAAAACAGTACAACGGAAAAACTTTATATTTCACACAGACTGAAAGTTTTTCCTGAGGATAGTCCTTCTTTGAAACATTGTCAAAAAAGCTTTGGAGTTAAAAGCTTGAAAATATTGAATCAGCTAGGTTAATTTTACTTTAGGCCTAATTAAGATGTTTCAATAAACATTTCTTGTCTACTCTTCTTTAATCTCCTTGCAGCTAGATAATCCAATGTTCATCATTTAATAAAATAACATATATGAAAACCATGGCGGCCTATAAAGTGGGAAATCTAATATCAAATAGGATATTAGATATGATATTTGAGAAATTGTTAGTGTACCATTTTTCACTTGTAATAAGCCTTGTTAGCAGGCCAACATTAAGACTTCCAATAAAAGTATAGACCATTGTACTTAAGAATAATGAAATGAAATTTTTATATTTCACTGGAACTGCAATTCATTTCCTTTAGGCTTACCACTACACATTTTTTTTGCAGAAGAAATCCAGTATTAAAAAAATTCTAAACAGTAAAAGGAAATATAATCTAAAGACTTATGTTTGATGAGGGGACAATGAATTTTAATAAGAGACAATACACTATCATTAGAGTGACTATCTCCTGCTGGTTAATTGACAAAACAATTTATTTTAGAAAGTAACGATAGATAGACAATAATTAAGATTAATTAATCCTACCTTAGATTTGAGGTCACGACCTTTCACGTTATGGATTGACACTATAACAATGTACAGGCTCTCCAGATAATTCAGGTGGTCTCGACGAATTCTTTCCTTCTTTTCACTAAAAAAATTCACAGTAAATTAATTTCATATGATCCTAGCATAGGTCAAGTTTTGTCGGACTACTTTACCAGACATAAGACACTCTAATTGACAGATTACAGTATGAAATTAAAAGTGTGTGTGAGACATCAGTCTATCAAAATGACCAGACAATTTCAGGAATAAGTCAGAGATCCTAGTTCTCTTGATGTCATATGTATAAACCCATAATGATCACATACAGGTTAATTGTGTAGGTTACTCAAGTAGACATCATATCATGCTAGGATAAGAGAAGCATTTGTCACAATTCATGTAGTTATCTCCCTTGCTTCAGAGTGTTGTATGTTTCCTGGCAGTTTTCACACATATTTACCTCCTTTCTAAAGGAAAATGTGAAGTGTTAGGACTGACATTGTAAAGGTTCTCTTAAATTTTATTTTCTTATTATTTCTTATTTTTTTGTATAATGATTTTTCCCAAATTTTTGTATTTATCAAACACTTCAAAAATTCTTACAGCAATTATGAACAAGATGCCCAATGGGCCTGGTATTCAATGTTTATCAAAGCTAAAATTGGTGTTTATCATAACTACATGAACACAAACACCACTGGCATTTAATGTGGGCAAACCTTATCAATTTTAACCAATTTCCACAACAGTTTCTAAACAGTGACAGTAAGGACCTTGATGATGGGAAAATGTCATTTCCTTTTTCTCTAAATTTGTCAAGCTTTAACCTAAAAACACAAAAAATCCTGCCTCTCAGCCTTTTTGGTTTATCAGAAGTCTTTCACAGCTTTTGACAATTTGACCCCTGTGAATTTGAATATGGTTCAATGTAATTTATTTTTGCAAATTTTGACGGGCTTATCCCAGAGACCTACCAGCCAAATATCATGACCTAAAAATTGACTGACAGTGCAGATCCCATTTAGCATGATATATGGTACAGAGATTTAAGCCTAGATATCTACATAACAACATTATTGGATGTTGTTTATGTCAATGTTTTGTGAGATCATGAGTTTTTAACCTATCTGCATTACAGTGGTCTATTTAATTTTTTATAAAAAAAAAAAAACAGAAAATTTGACCCCAGTGACCTTGAATATAAGTCAAAGTTTTTTATTTTCCCAAACTTTGTTGAGCTTCATCCTAGCAATGTGCTTGTCCCCTGGACTTATTGAGGTATAGGTATGTTAATTACTTACGTGACACCACTCGATATTTTTATGAGCGGAGTTGGACTAGTCTCAGATCCCTCTAGGTCAGCCATGTCATCTCCTTCATCAATGGGGTCCATGGAGCCTTTCGCGATATTTTCAAAGTCTGTTGCAGAGGGCAGAGCCAAAGACTTTCGTATCTTTGACATCCTATTCATTACACTCGATGCCATCTTTTCCTGTTCCACAGATATTGTGTCATCATCAATGTCATTCTCCTCTTCGGAGTCTGACTCAGCCAAATGGACCAGTCCCATTTGTAGATCTTTGATGCACATTAGTACCATATCATTGTCTTGATGTGTGTCCTCCTCACCTTTCTGCTGCAACTCCTAAGTTAGAAAATGATGTTTTCCTTATCATTACCAAGATGCCAATTGTTTCAAAACAGCAATTTTCAGAGACGGAAACATGTACATGTATGGAATACAAACAATACCTGTGAAAGTTAAGAAGAAAAATTGAAAAAAAGCCTATAATTCTAAAAGTAGGAAGTTATAAACCATTCATCTATCAATAAGCCCATGCCTGTAAATAAGCCCATCCACACTTATTTAAGGAACTGTATATAAATGTAAAGCACATCACGGAATGAAAGTCATTTACCACATTTACCTGTTGTTGTCAGACATATTTGTCACATGAACATTAGATGATGTCTCCTATAAATTCAGCAGGTGAACATTTACCTGTTGTTGTCAGACATATGCGTCACATGACTAGTAGATGATGTCTAGTATAAGTTCAGCAACATTTACCTGTTGTTGTCAGACATATGCGTCACATGACTAGTAGATGATGTCTAGTATAAGTTCAGCAACATTTACCTGTTGTTGTCACACATATTTGTCACATGAACATTAGATGATGTCTCCTATAAATTCAGCAGGTGAACATTTACCTGTTGTTGTCAGACATATGCGTCACATGACTAGTAGATGATGTCTAGTATAAGTTCAGCAACATTTACCTGTTGTTGTCACACATATTTGTCACATGAACATTAGATGATGTCTCCTATAAATTCAGCAGGTGAATATTTACCTGTTGTTGTCAGACATATGCGTCACATGACTAGTAGATGATGTCTAGTATAAGTTCAGCAACATTTACCTGTTGTTGTCACACATATTTGTCACATGACTAGTAGATGATGTCTAGTATAAGTTCAGCAACATTTACCTGTTGTTGTCACACATATTTGTCACATGAACATTAGATGATGTCTCCTATAAATTCAGCAGGTGAACATTTACCTGTTGTTGTCAGACATATGCGTCACATGACTAGTAGATGATGTCTAGTATAAGTTCAGCAACATTTACCTGTTGTTGTCACACATATTTGTCACATGACCATTAGATGATGTCTCCTATAAATTCAGCAGGTGAACATTTACCTGTTGTTGTCAGACATATGCGTCACATGACTAGTAGATGATGTCTAGTATAAGTTCAGCAACATTTACCTGTTGTTGTCAGACATATTTGTCACATGACTAGTAGATGATGTCTAGTATAAGTTCAGCAACATTTACCTGTTGTTGTCACACATATTTGTCACATGAACATTAGATGATGTCTCCTATAAATTCAGCAGGTGAACATTTACCTGTTGTTGTCAGACATATGCGTCACATGACTAGTAGATGATGTCTAGTATAAGTTCAGCAACATTTACCTGTTGTTGTCACACATATTTGTCACATGACCATTAGATGATGTCTCCTATAAATTCAGCAGGTGAACATTTACCTGTTGTTGTCAGACATATGCGTCACATGACTAGTAGATGATGTCTAGTATAAGTTCAGCAACATTTACCTGTTGTTGTCACACATATTTGTCACATGACCATTAGATGATGTCTCCTATAAATTCAGCAGGTGAACATTTACCTGTTGTTGTCAGACATATGCGTCACATGACTAGTAGATGATGTCTAGTATAAGTTCAGCAACATTTACCTGTTGTTGTCACACATATTTGTCACATGAACATTAGATGATGTCTCCTATAAATTCAGCAGGTGAACATTTACCTGTTGTTGTCAGACATATGCGTCACATGACTAGTAGATGATGTCTAGTATAAGTTCAGCAACATTTACCTGTTGTTGTCAGACATATGCGTCACATGACTAGTAGATGATGTCTAGTATAAGTTCAGCAACAATTACCTGTTGTTGTCACACATATTTGTCACATGAACATTAGATGATGTCTCCTATAAATTCAGCAGGTGAACATTTACCTGTTGTTGTCAGACATATGCGTCACATGACTAGTAGATGATGTCTAGTATAAGTTCAGCAACATTTACCTGTTGTTGTCACACATATTTGTCACATGAACATTAGATGATGTCTCCTATAAATTCAGCAGGTGAACATTTACCTGTTGTTGTCAGACATATGCGTCACATGACTAGTAGATGATGTCTAGTATAAGTTCAGCAACATTTACCTGTTGTTGTCACACATATTTGTCACATGACTAGTAGATGATGTCTAGTATAAGTTCAGCAACATTTACCTGTTGTTGTCACACATATTTGTCACATGAACATTAGATGATGTCTCCTATAAATTCAGCAGGTGAACATTTACCTGTTGTTGTCAGACATATGCGTCACATGACTAGTAGATGATGTCTAGTATAAGTTCAGCAACATTTACCTGTTGTTGTCAGACATATGCGTCACATGACTAGTAGATGATGTCTAGTATAAGTTCAGCAACAATTACCTGTTGTTGTCACACATATTTGTCACATGAACATTAGATGATGTCTCCTATAAATTCAGCAGGTGAACATTTACCTGTTGTTGTCAGACATATGCGTCACATGACTAGTAGATGATGTCTAGTATAAGTTCAGCAACATTTACCTGTTGTTGTCACACATATTTGTCACATGACCATTAGATGATGTCTCCTATAAATTCAGCAGGTGAACATTTACCTGTTGTTGTCAGACATATGCGTCACATGACTAGTAGATGATGTCTAGTATAAGTTCAGCAACATTTACCTGTTGTTGTCACACATATTTGTCACATGACCATTAGATGATGTCTCCTATAAATTCAGCAGGTGAACATTTACCTGTTGTTGTCAGACATATGCGTCACATGACTAGTAGATGATGTCTAGTATAAGTTCAGCAGGTGAACATTTACCTGTTGTTGTCAGACATATGCGTCACATGACTAGTAGATGATGTCTAGTATAAGTTCAGCAACATTTACCTGTTGTTGTCACACATATTTGTCACATGACCATTAGATGATGTCTCCTATAAATTCAGCAGGTGAACATTTACCTGTTGTTGTCAGACATATGCGTCACATGACTAGTAGATGATGTCTAGTATAAGTTCAGCAACATTTACCTGTTGTTGTCACACATATTTGTCACATGACCATTAGATGATGTCTCCTATAAATTCAGCAGGTGAACATTTACCTGTTGTTGTCAGACATATGCGTCACATGACTAGTAGATGATGTCTAGTATAAGTTCAGCAACATTTACCTGTTGTTGTCACACATATTTGTCACATGAACATTAGATGATGTCTCCTATAAATTCAGCAGGTGAACATTTACCTGTTGTTGTCAGACATATGCGTCACATGACTAGTAGATGATGTCTAGTATAAGTTCAGCAACATTTACCTGTTGTTGTCAGACATATGCGTCACATGACTAGTAGATGATGTCTAGTATAAGTTCAGCAACAATTACCTGTTGTTGTCACACATATTTGTCACATGAACATTAGATGATGTCTCCTATAAATTCAGCAGGTGAACATTTACCTGTTGTTGTCAGACATATGCGTCACATGACTAGTAGATGATGTCTAGTATAAGTTCAGCAACATTTACCTGTTGTTGTCACACATATTTGTCACATGAACATTAGATGATGTCTCCTATAAATTCAGCAGGTGAACATTTACCTGTTGTTGTCAGACATATGCGTCACATGACTAGTAGATGATGTCTAGTATAAGTTCAGCAACATTTACCTGTTGTTGTCACACATATTTGTCACATGACTAGTAGATGATGTCTAGTATAAGTTCAGCAACATTTACCTGTTGTTGTCACACATATTTGTCACATGAACATTAGATGATGTCTCCTATAAATTCAGCAGGTGAACATTTACCTGTTGTTGTCAGACATATGCGTCACATGACTAGTAGATGATGTCTAGTATAAGTTCAGCAACATTTACCTGTTGTTGTCAGACATATGCGTCACATGACTAGTAGATGATGTCTAGTATAAGTTCAGCAACAATTACCTGTTGTTGTCACACATATTTGTCACATGAACATTAGATGATGTCTCCTATAAATTCAGCAGGTGAACATTTACCTGTTGTTGTCAGACATATGCGTCACATGACTAGTAGATGATGTCTAGTATAAGTTCAGCAACATTTACCTGTTGTTGTCACACATATTTGTCACATGAACATTAGATGATGTCTCCTATAAATTCAGCAGGTGAACATTTACCTGTTGTTGTCAGACATATGCGTCACATGACTAGTAGATGATGTCTAGTATAAGTTCAGCAACATTTACCTGTTGTTGTCACACATATTTGTCACATGACCATTAGATGATGTCTCCTATAAATTCAGCAGGTGAACATTTACCTGTTGTTGTCAGACATATGCGTCACATGACTAGTAGATGATGTCTAGTATAAGTTCAGCAACATTTACCTGTTGTTGTCGGACATATTCGTCATATGACTGACCTCCCTTTACACAGCGTATGATCTTAGCATTCTCTGCCAGCTGGTCTCTGACCTTGCGATAACCATTTAAGGCTGGAATTGATGCCAAGTCTTCTGGCTTGGGTTCCTCTGCCATGTTTGGACTTCTGATCTGTAATTAAACTTATATATTTATCTTAAAATATAGCCACAGGGCTAGGCAGTAGTAATTTATACAGAACTGCTACAGATAAAGCTAACTCAACATATCAATTGCTTTTTATTTTAGAATAACCAACAATAATGAAGAGTTTGGTGTTGTTTTTTCAATGGAACAAACCGTCACATTTGCTGAAAAACATTCCACAGAAGGAATAGATTTTTTCATGACTGAAATGAAACATGCTGTAACCCTCTAATTATTTCATTTTTAACAATTTTTTTTCTTTATTTTTTCTCACAATTTCATTCTATCCTCAAAATCAGTGCAAAAATGAATTCCGTGAAAATAAGAACTTTATATGAGTATTTTAGCCCTATTAAATCCATTCCTCAGACTTAAAGGATGTACTCCATTGATCTGGTGATGACTTTTTGAGCGGTTTTATTTTAGAAACCGATTTTAAAGCAAACAATCAATATGTTGCTGCACTTTTTTTTCTTAAACAGGCATCAGCGCATGAGTAACAGGAAATATTTCATTTTCCCATATTATTCTGAATTTTTTCCTGAATAAATGACATCCCGTATTATTTTCACATAAACCTTTTTAAAACAAATTTTCATCTTTCATTAAAATGTAATAACTTGATACTTAGATATCACAGGGCTCTCGATCTGCCAGATTTGGGACAGAATATTCCCAATGCAAAATAGTATCTTTTTTTCCCCAATTTAGAACCCAAGTTTTCCCAATTCTAAGGAAAACGCCGCTATTTTCCCCAATTCTAAGGGCCCTGGGCCCCAATCCCAAAATGGGGTGTGAGAGTCCTGTATCAAAATTCTAAATATTCATTTGATTGAACAAGTTCACAATTGCTTAGCAACCAAAACAGGAAAATTTTGAAAAAGGACTTCAATCCTCTAACTGACCCTCTTCTCTAGTGTTTAATTTTATAAAAAAAAAAAGGAAAAAATATGCATGAATAGAGACATTTTTGAAGATATTTTCCCATGAATGAAAAAACAGAAGGTACCTGTGCTTTAATTTTTGTAACTTTTGCTCAAATAATCAGTTTTTCCAATCCAAGATCAAAAAGTAAGATGAAATATTTGTTTTCGGGGCCTAAAATTCAGGGAAGATTGTCCATCAAGTTGAAATACATGAATTATTTGAAATTCATAATTAGTAGTGATAATTCACATGAAAGGACCTTTCAGATTTTTGAAACATATTTCTTCAAGGTGCTATGAATAACACCCAATTGAGTCTAAACTAGTTCCTAATGCTCCTTAAAAGGGGCCATTGGCTGGGATCTACTTAAGACTTTCAGATTGATACTAAACCCATCCAGGTATAAGGCATGGCTGTATAGGTATGAATCCATAGTTCTTTTCTTCACTTACCTGTGATTCACTTGTGTTTTTGGGGTGATTGTCACCTAAATGAAGTGATATTAAACGTTGCCCACATAACAATAAGTGACATTATGAGATGTTGGATTACATAGAAAATGTAGGGAAAAATCAGTGTTTCAAGGAAGCATGATATTAACCAGAGTGTGACATTAACTGACATGACATTAAGTGGTTTCCATTGTTTTCATTATCAAGATTAAGTATATCTATTCGATTACTTCATCTTCCATTTTAATAGCAGGTAACACTTTTTTCTTCTTCCAGTCTTTGATTTTGTCATCGTAAAACTGCTTATGAGGAGCTGACCAAACCTTTAAAAAAAAAAATCCATTATTGTAATTTTCTGTTTATTGTGATGGAAGTACAATAATCTAGAGTAGTTACACATTAATAAGTAATTATCCTACATTCAATATTAAAATCAAAGTGTTGATTATGACCCAGGAGATACTGTAAACTGACAGTATAAAATGTACTGTAAAACCATTCATGTATGTTTTCGTAGGACTCAAATTTCTTACTTTTAGAAAAATATTTTTGTTGACAAATGATTTTGATTTTGTCAATAAAACTTACTTACGAAATCCACCAGCACTAAAATCAATGTTATTCATGCATTTCTGAGATAAATGAATTTATGAATTAACAGTAAATACTAGCTTCACTCTACTGTATTATACCTCATCATCAAGGCTATTGCTAAGAGTCTTTAGAACAAGGTCGTAGGGGTCAAGATAAACATCTCCCCCAATGTCACGATATGGCTCCCAAGGAATACTGTGGAATCCCTTATGCAGGTTGCCTTGACGACGATGGTAATGTCGTTCCCATAGTGACTTTGGACGCTCCTCCAGCAGATTCGTACTTGTTCTGTTCCATACTTTTGTGAATTTGTATGGCTTGGCTGAAATGTTTAAAAATCACTAAAAGTATAATATTTCATTTTTTTCGAAACAAAAGTAAAAGTAAGGACCACTGTACTATCTCTGATTTAAAGCAGAGATTCATTTTAGAGCTTTGACTGGGAATGATCTCCACTCTACCATATATTGCATATATACAATAAGACCAAGAGGCCAAAATACAAATTATGACTCAAAGGCTTATTGCAGGACAACTTTATTGAAAATTTTTGTGAAATTTCTATTGAAAAGCACAGGTATGAGTGACCTTATTTCCAGGCTTGGGACTTTTTATATTATAAAAGAAGCAGTATCGTTGTGAATGACCTGCCAGATACCGTAAAGTCATCTATATTCCTATTTGCTGATGACACTAAAATATTCAAGATTATTGACAAAGAAGAGGACAGCAGCTCACTACAAAGACCTGGATAGCATGGTGAAATGGAGCAAAGACTGGTTGTTACAGGTAAATCCTCAAAAAATGCAAAAAAAAAAAATACATGCACATTGGCAATCCCTCGATGAAAGAAACATCTCATTCACTCAATAACATAGTGCTGGCAAAAACGGAAAGCGAAAAAAGATATTGGAATAAAGGTAGACTCTAAGCTTACATTCGAAGATCATATAAGTGAGAAGGTAATCAAAGCCAACTCAATGTTTGCTATGCTTAGGAGAACTTTCAATTTCATGGACAAAAAATTGTTTCTACCTCTGTACAAAACCCTTGTAAGAACACACTTGGACTTTGCTAGTCCTGTTTGGTCACCTTTCAGAATCAAAGACATTGAAAGAATTGAGGGAGTGCAGAGGAAGGCAACAAAACAGCTTCCGGGACTAAAAAACTTATGAAGATAGACTTACGGATCTAGGATTGCCAACACTTGCATTTTGCAGGTTAAGAGGGGACATGATTGAGGCATACAAGAAAATGAGTGGTATATACAAAAAGGATACAAACAGCATTCTTACACCATGGAATAGTGTTACAAAAAGAAGTTGTTCAGGGACAAACTCAAACAAAATCTATCCACAAAGAGCCAAAACTAGTCTCAGACAAAATTTTATCTCCCATAGAATATTGAAAGTTTGGAGCAACTTACCAGAATATGTAATCAGCGCTCCAAACACGAACATATTCAAAAACCGTCTGGATAAATTATGGGAAACAGCAGGAAATGTACTACAACTACAGAGCCAATAAAAAGAAATGCTACACTAGGAAGTGACAGAACTACGAGCATAACTAACAACGAGCCCGGTGAAGAGGAATTATAATTCCTGTACTGGAAAACAACTATAAGTGACTATAATTGAGTTTTTTTATACATTTTTACAATATACAGACAGGCATGTAATATTTCCTTTTTTCTTCTTCATATTGATTTCATGATTTTCTTAAAAATTCTTAATTGAAACATATAATATGCTATATACAGACTTCAATCTCAGCCCCAATAGACTGTCAAGGTAGCAGTACACAGTGTCTTGGTGTGGCCATGGGTGATTTTTTTGTTCATTAGATTACCCCATTATAAAGGTTTTAATTAAAATTGAAAAAAAAAATCCTTGCTAAAATTGGTATTGTCATGTTTAAGTGGACAATGTGGGGTTTCATTTTTTTCAGAATAATATTTTAGCTTTGTGTTGGAGATTACTATTTGGGCAGTCTCGAATCTGTGTCTATGCACCAAAAACTAGCTTTACAGGAAGTGAAATTTTCATAGTGTTTACATGTGGTCATGTTATGAAGAATTTCCGGGTTGGAATTTGCTGAAATGTAAGTACTTTGTTACCACGATAGTGTTTTTGATTTTAAGATAGGTGTTTAGAATTAAATTTCTTCTAGAAAGGTGTAGTGTTAGGTTGGAATTAACAGCAATTTTGCATTTTATGCAGTTTTTCAGGAGGTAACCATGACAATCAAATGTCAGAAATCAGAGAAAATTTTTTTTTTTACACAAATTTCATCTCTCTACTGTTAATATAATTGTTATGTAGTTTATAAATATATATACATGTAATGATGTATTTTTCATAACCAATCTGCTATACCTGTATATCTCAAACATGACAAATAATTTCAGGAAAAATGCAAATTAACTGTTTCCTGCTACCCAAGCATATTGCTATACCAGCTTAGAGAGTGCAACAAAGATAAGTAATTCTGGGAGATCAGAATGCTAGGCTTGGTATGTATCAGACTGCAGATTGTTCAAGACAATTAAACCTGAGCATGAATGAAAAGAGAATGTTTACCTGGTTTAGGATTATAGTGATTCCTCACAATTTTTGTGATGTCATTGCTGATTGGAGTTGCTCGAAAACTTGTCATGGTATGATCATCTTTTCTTAAGTCTGAAACAAAAGTTTGAAAATACTGTATACAATCCATTCACTCCAATGATCAAATGCATTATTGCTATATTTGCAAATAGGTACTGATAACTTATCAATGAGAACATTAGTTCATCGTTATGGTGAAAATGATACCATTGTAAATCCTTTTGGAATCAAAAACGAAAGAGTTACCAAGTTACTGCTAAAGATATTTTTTCACATTAAATCTTTTTTTTTATGTACAAATCCTAATTGTCACATCAGTTTTGATACTTTTAGTAAAACCATATCGTGGATCAATTCTATAGCATTGTTCATCTCACAACTGCTTGCTTTTCAAGTCATTCACAAAAGGTTTTCATTGAGCTTTTTTAAGATTAGTTTTAAAAAGGGGACGTTCTAGCACAGCTCCTTTTGGAATTTCTCTTTCTTTTTCATTTGGGTGCATTTTATAAAATCAAGACAACATCGTTTTATTCAACCAAAAAGAATGCTTCAATTCTACATGGAACTGGTCTTAAAATATGAACAAGTCAGAGACAAGAAATTTATTCATTTCAATATCAATAATCTACATGAAACTGGTCTTAAAATATGAACAAGTCACAGATGAGAAATTTTGATATTAATAATCAACATGAAACTTGTCTTAAAATATGAACAAGTCATTTTAATGTTAATGTGCAGTTTGGTTTTTCTTTCATCTCTAAAGACATAAAGCTATGTTGCAATTTCTGTAGAAGTCCTATCGAAAATGGCGCTGTCCATAACTTGAAATCTTCTCAGTGCCAATATATCTACTGAACGTTTGAGACATAGATTTGGTTATCGTCAGTAGATTCTAACCCACAATTCTGACGTTCACAAACAGACAGTAGTTTGCGTGACCGCCAGGATCGGTTGTATCGACAATGATGATGCGACAGGGCTTTATTTTCACTTGATCATGATCGGACATTTTTGCCACGTTCCGTGAAGAATATTGATGAATTTGGAAAGAACATTTTCAGGTGTCAGTAAAATTCCAATTTTGGGCGTCTACTTACATATATGAAATATTCTCAATTACGAATGTGACCCATGATTAGCCAAAAACTGGTTATGAATAGAACCGTGTACAACCACAGGTAGGCCAAGCGTCTTGTAGGCCCCCGCTAGGCCTAATTCAACTTATCTGCTCCTGTGAACTAGGCCTAACTCTGACGTGGTAAAGTTTAAAACGAATTACAAGCAGTTAAACTGCTCTGGTGCATTATATTTGCTCAGATTAATCAGAAATTCGAATGACCTCTCTAAAATGACACGAATAAAACCAATTGCCTTACCTTAATGTTATTTTTCCAATGACGGCGCCATATTTACTTCCCAACAAATAGGCCTATTATGACGTCATAGAATAACCCTTGGTTATCGCCCTTGTCTGAAGATTACGTTTATGGCCCAGCCTAGCATTATATATTGTAGATACAGGACGGTAAAGATACGAGTCGTCATTCACGCCCTTTTGTTAATATTATGCTTATTTCTTTTTTTTAAACGTTGATTTAGAGATATTTGAAGTAAACGATTAAAGTCTAATTACATTTTGCAATATAAAGCTGAACGTGTTTGATTTTCGGTAAGTCCGAATTATTTTTTACTTTATATTGACTTTTTCATATCGGTCTGGAGTCGATAAACGTCAGAACTCTGACCAAAGATAAACGTGAGGGGAATAAGGACCCGTGCCTGCGTCGGCGTGCGACGTTAATGGGTGGGGGTTAGAGTTTTCACGTTCGTCGACTCAAGATATACAAAAGTCTACAGAACGACAGACTAATTCTCGGTATGCATGCAGGTCCCATCGTTGTTCGCTCTGTTCTTATTTGAGAACACGACACTTACATTTACCATGACACATAAGACGCTTACCATTTCGGAACACCTGTTCTTTTTGTCCTTTTTACTTTTTCACAGCGATCTCCGTTTAATTCTTTTTGTTGTTGCTATTTTGCCCTGCTGGTAGATTTTGGGATAAGATTGTGTAAACTTCTCGTTGTTTTCTTTGTTGTTTTTGTTTTATGTGACTCGCCCTAGGAGATTTCATGAAAATATGTGATGAGTTGGACTTTCCAGTGTTAAAAAATATTGCTCCTAATCAATGTGGATCAGAGTAGGAAAACCATACGGCTGTTTATGTAAGTGTATACGATGATCCTTTATTCCCAGAATGAACCAATTCGGACAAAAGTTATCTAAAATCTTTAATTCTCATTCGCTGTACTCTTCGTAGAAAACAAAATTAAATTGGTGGCGTCAGAGCATTTTGTGACTCATATCCTCGCCTGTGGTGTTTTGATATCACGAACAACCTTTAAATAAATAAATGAATGAATAAATATTCTTCTTTGGATATGACAAAAATATGAAGGCGATTCTTTGATTTTCTTTTAATTATAAAAAAAATCTTGCATTAAATAATGACCATGGCTTCATGTTTAATTTCTCGTACCCTCGCTGACAGTTTGGTCTAGATCTATGGTGGCTGATTCGGGACATCGTAATATCGCTTCGTTTAATGGGAAGCGATATTGCGATATTACGATAGAACGATGCGATATCACGATGCAATACCACGAGAGCGCGATGCGATACCACGAAATCGCATCGTGCTATCGTAGTATCGCATCGTTCTATCGTAATATCGCAATATCGCTTCCCATTAAGCGATATTACGATGTCCCGAATCAGCCACCATATAGATCAGACGCATAATAACCAATGAATCAATTTATCTTTAAGTGACGTAAAACATCCAACACATTTAAGTCACCAATTTCACGTCGATTTAATTAATTGAATTAGTAATTTTTTTCCAAATTCGATATTAACAAAGAAAATTTCTTCTTTTATTTATTTGATTTAATTGCTGTCTTTAAGATGTTCGATGTATAATGTGATTCTGACCACCTGGAATACAATGAAAACTTAATGTGTTAAAAACCCATAACTTACCATGACTAAGCAATTTAGTAAACATCAGGGGTATACATATAATTAAATATATCAATGTTTATTACCTATCTGATACCTACAGATATATACACATCCTATAGACAGTAGGTTTACAAACTATACCGATAGATTAACGGGTTCGATAACGCCATCGCTATGTTTTCCAAGAGACCATTAAAGTGACCGTTTACCTCGGGTCATGTAGAAATGGACTGCACTTTTAACATATTAACCCATTAACCTCCCACTAAACGTACATGTACAAAGCTTGTTCTGTGATATTTTAAGACAAATGGGTTTTTGTGTTTTGTTTTTACTATTAAGCGTCATTTCAACAGCCGAGTTCCTATCACCATAAGGCAAATGTAGGAAAGAAAAGTGTTGACCCATTGACCTCTCGCTAAGCGTATATGTACAAATATGTGATATCCTAAGATAAATGTTTGTTTGTTTTTTGTTTTTTTGTTTTTTTTTACTGTATAGCGTCATTTCAACAGCCGTTCCTATTATCATAAGGCAAATGTTTAAGCATCATAAGGCAAATGTTTAAGCATCATAAGGCAAATGCATCATAAGGCAAATGTTTAAGAAGTAGGAAAGAGAAGTATTGCCAGGTGGCTTTAATACTGAAGACGAGAAAGGGCCCTATAACTGCAACAAGAGATCCTCACTGCCTCTGATGCCTACCGGTCACAGGTGTATAAGGTGGTAACGCACGTCACCTTCAATCAAATGTAGACGACAGGGTCCTTTTTAAAATTTCTGATGGAAAAGAAAAAGTATGGATGTCCTACCGGAATACACGGGTTTCCCTCAGATATTTCTACTTTCTCTGATAGTATGTTGTAAATTGCTGTACATTAAAAAATGTCAATAAAATAAAGTTGATAGTTAGAATTATTCATCCGTTACATCTAATAAAGAGAATTGGGGTCATACATTACCTGAACCTTAATCTACAGACAATACATAAACATTTTTCTTTCAATGATTTTTTTAAACTTTAATTTAACTGGAATCCGGGGTAACTATGTCAGCGGACTGAGCGACATAACGCTTTTACAGGTAGACGTCACGTGACTTTGTTATCGTTACAAGATCAGTCTGTCCTGCATGCAAATGGTCATATATAGCTAATGTTACCGGTTCGATGAGAGAAAAGGACATATCTGCCTACGGTCATTCTGGTTACGTATATATATGTCTGTACATATGTGGAAGATATTGTTGGCGATATAGACTACAGCTTTATTTGAAATCACTCCGTGAGACTGTTTGACATTGCAAATCTCAAATTTAGAGGAGAGATGGGAAAAAAATTCATAACGATGGTTTAAAGATGATTTAATGTATCAAACAATTTGGACACATATTAAACATATTAAACATGACAAAGGCCCTCCTCTCATCATAATAGTATTTAGGAGTCCTTTTAAATCATAAACTAATCCACACAAATTGAAAATTAAAGGTCGGAAATTTTGGAAACAATAATTCTAATATTAGCATCTCAACAATTAAATAAATATATTCTGATTATGTGAAATACCTTTATCATCTGTGAATATCAGGTTTATATATATTAATTTACGCGGCCATAAAGCGTATAATTGAAGTCGAGTAGCTTGGACAACAGCATTACATACTATTCATATCGTTTCATCGATGTCGCCTTTGGGCTGAATATCTCAAACCGAAGTACAAGCTCCTGTGTAGTGATATTAAAATTAAGGGTGAACGCACCGTAATTTTTTGAAGTCAGGGTAACTACGTGACAAGTAAAGATCATTATTCTGCGGAAGATTTTATCACATTCGGAGAATGCGTCATGATTTGTTTGTTTTTTTTCTTCCGTTAATCCATTTTAAATGTGTGTCGTAATATTTAGTAAACACAGTTCTTATTTCGTGTCCGAAAAATGGACGTATCTGTGCCGCTGCTTTGGATTTTATATATCTGTCTAGGTTTTGTACATGGGGACTCCGATTCAAATTACAAAGGTATGTACAATAGTTTTACTGGCAAATAATTAAACTTTTCAGCGATAATAATATCAACACCTTTTTATCTATTAATTCTATTTAGTTACAGGAAAAATTAACGTTAGGCTAAGTTCCCATCTACTTTCGAATTTAGATAGTATATAATTTAAATTTAATTGTTGTTTTGTAAAACATTCAATAATGCACGAAGAAGTTAATCTGATGAACACGTATTAACACGTGATCACCGTAAGACAGTACATATACAATGTAGCTCACAAATTTCAAAATTAACAGACTCAAATGGTCTGAGATGGAACTTTAACTCTGAAAAATAACTTCCACTCATTCTCTTCGCGTGTTTTCGCTTCCTCGCCCGAGGGAGAGATGGTACGATACTAAAAACTGTAATGACATAAGTGTTTCACTGCCGAAAAATGAAAAGATGTGCATTTTTTACACTTACGGAATATGTTTCCATAAAACATTATGTGTTAGGATTCTGTGTTAGATACATCGCGAAGGTTAAAATATGATATTATAATCGGTCTTGTCTGTACATGTATTTCATTGCTATCGTAATTACTTAAGACCACAAAGGAGATTGAGCCCTACCTTCAGATAATATTTAATTAGGAATATATAAGAAATCAGATTTATTTAATAGTCAATAATAATTTAATATTTTCAATATTTTTTCTTATTTTTCAATCCGCTCAGACTTTTATTTAAAACGTTTTTCAGATCACCTGTGTATACCTCTGCTCAGTAGTACATCGCCTCTCCCTTGCTTCTTTCTTAGCTTTACTCAATTTATATTCTGTTTTCATCTCTTCCTTTTTTTAAATGGATATATGTAGCAAATCAAATCTGACGAAAACGTATATTATGGTTGATATGTTTGATCTATAAGAAATTAACTTTTGGGAGAAGGGGTTTTTAATTTGTAACAACGTGTTCCTTGTCACATTTGTTGTCTTGAACAAATAAAATGTTTAGATAAATAATGTCATGATTTGACCGTCTCTTGCAACCTTGCAGAAACGACAATCATGATCAACCTAATTTTACTTCCAAACAATAGTTTTAAACACTAATTATGAATTATAATGTACGGATCGTTTTAACAGATATTGATTACAATACATGTAGCAAATAGACAAGATAACCGAGATTTGTTTAAGCGTGATGTCCTCTGTGATCTTGAAGTTGTGTAGATTGTACATAACACAAACAAATGACTATCGCCTTTTGATACAAATTAAGTGTTAGATACAGCAAGGCCAAGCAATAAATCCTCCTTCTAGGACTCGTCAGATATATTCACGGCCTGAATATTGAAGCCTATGAGGCGACTGAGGAAAATCCAAAAAACATCAAAATCGGAATGGGAAGGTGCATAAGATCATTAAATAAATTTCGTAATATTTGATATTTTTGATAATTTTAGAACACCATCACGGACTATGACGTAATTAGCTTTCCATTTTGACATTTTATATTCCAGTTGTGGCGGAGGCAATCTTCGCAAGCCATTCCTGTTTAATATGATAATATTCAATACTTCCAAAGTTTATCGTATCGAACATCTGTCAGGGTCCTTGGTTTGATTTAATTAGTTGAAACCCTTGGCATACAAACATTTATTTGCGTGTGTATTTTATGAAGACTGTTTCTACGAAGAATGATCTTACTTTTTCCAGAAAATACCATACCAGTTGACATAACTTACAATCATCGGACGACAGACAGAGATTTCGTGAACGTGAAAGTGACGCCACAAACTGGAAGTGACGTCATATCTCTGCGTCTGTCCCGCGTCAAGCGAAATATACTGTCCCCATCATTACTGGTAGTAACACAAGACGGGCTCGTGGAAGATATATTAAACAGCGACTCAATGCAGGTACACTTAGTTATATCTAACCTGTCTTAAACGACATGTCAGACTTCTGTGGTAAATGTAACATCATGAGTTGTTTCCCTTTAATGAGAAGGTGGAGTAATTAGAGTTATCTTAGGGGTTTTTTGAAGTCTATGTGTTGGTCTGCTATGTTGTGCCTCGAGAGTCCAGCTAAAAATAAAAGCACTTTAACAGCCTTCTGACTCCGCTTTGTGATTACTTCAATTTCGTTGTACGAAACCCGACAATGTGAATGGCATCCTGCCTTGAATGTTGTATCAAAGTCAAAGTACTGATGTGTTTCCTTTATCTTAAAACATCTTGATTTTATGTACGAATCACGCTGATTGTTTTTCAGCTAGGATGGATTGCTGTAAACAATGCTACAACGAAGGCCCGGTATATTAAAATGAGATATGGTTACCCCGCCAACAACGGAGAAGTTTCGAACTCTTATGTGTCGTTGACTTACCTGAGATACACTCATGAAATAAAATAAAAGTTCTACCTGTACAATCTATAGTATAAGATATGAAATGTAATACAACTTCTGACTACATATTTCCGATTCCGAATGAAGTTAGGCCACAAGGCACTGAAATATTGGTTTCACCATTTTTGGAATAAAAAACAATTTAATTCCCCGAATTTAATTACCCTGTTTGATTTGGCTGTTTGTACGTTTTGTTTGTTTTTGTGTTCATGGGAAGGGGTATTCAGTTCTCCTTATTTTGTTTTGATGTGTCCCCATTATCATCATTAGTTGATGTCATATTGTATTGACTGTGTATCATATTTATTCATGTTTCATAAAAAATAAGCGTACATTAATTATATCTATAAATGTGTTTTGTTTATTTTCTAGCTTACAAAAGACAAAACGTTCTACAAAGACAAAGAAAACACATCAGCTTTTAGTATTGATTGGAATGATGGACAGATAAACAAAGTGGTAATTTCATTTTAAATATTATTGAAAAAATCTCGCTTCTTTTGAAAATTATAATAGTTTTATATTTAGAAATTCTGCCGTTTATTAGAATTTTTCTACAATAAAATTCAGGATTTTGTTTGAATTTTATATGGCATTGTTATTAAAATACACACACACACACACACACACACACACACACACACACACACACACACACACACACACACACATATATACATATATATATAGATGTAATTTTAAAATGCTTTGTGTATCGATAACATATTTGAAAAGTATAAAATTAACACGGCAAATGTATTCCGCTAACTTTTTCAGGTCTAACGTAATAAATGTATCGCCTGAAAATCGCTGAAAACGTTAGCGGAATACATTTGCCGTGTTGATTTCATTCCTTTCAGATATATATATATATAAACATATGAACATATTACATGTATTTTTTTCATAACAGCAAGGGCACTTTGTTAAAGATGGTTTCCTTCATTCTGTTATATCAAATAATGAGAGTGTCGAAGGTCAGGAGTCAACAAGGTCAAAGGGGTCACCAAGGTCATCAGATGGGGTCGGAGGTCATGTTGCTCTTCCTCATTCAATGTCAAAGTTTACAATGCCAATCAACCTTACCGGTGACACGATATACTTCAATGGTAGGTGCATTTTTCATGTGGAGTAGACATCCATTAGTTGAATTTGACTGTCGTTTTTAAAGTGTTTTAGGAACATTACATTTGTATTTTCCCAATGATAAATCATTATTACAGAACTCTACACACGTGGTTGATGATTTTTGTAATTCTGATTTGAAAAAAAGAGAAATTCACTCATACACTATATATATAATTGAATCAATTTAACAGGCCAAAACTTAGTCACCAATTGGTACATGTTTGTTAGATTTTTGTTCGTCAACAAGACATTGGGTAAGGTAGATAAACTCACTTTTCTCGTTTTAATCTAATTTACCGTTCTCTTTTGTTAATAATAAAAAAAAAATATTAAGACGTTAAAGAAAATAGAGAACTTAAGTGATTCACGATTAAATGAGATAAGGGAGATATGAGATCATTGGATCCTCGACATCCTGGGTCGTGAAGTGTTAAGCTTTACTATAGTGATAAAAACACATGTATGTATTATTGTTTAGACGATTGAAGGTAATGTTACTCATGTGTATCCCACGGTTACACTTGGTTACAGGTAGATCACCTGTAGATAGGTACATCAAATAATGGAAATGGACACTTACTGGTACAGGTAAACAGATCACAAGAATTATGTTTATAAATCTGACGGATATGTTTTACCTGCAGGTAAACAGGTGTGGTTTTCCATTAAAAACAATTATATATATATATATATATATATAATAACGAATGACGTATGTGGCAGCATGCCCCCCCCCCCAGAAGAAAATAAAAGTGGTGTTTGAGGGAAAGTTTTGCCGCATTGAAAGTAAAAAAGTTTATTTTTTTGAAAGTAGTTTGCCCTCCAACACCCCCAACCTTCACTCCCTCTTTTTTGGATGTTTCCACGCTAATCGGATATACCAATAATTCTAGAACAGAAATTAAATATATAATGTTGATAACTTGATATGTATCTTATGTTTATAAACATCAGTAAGGAGTCTCGTAAGCTTGGCCGGTAAAGCGCTAGCTTACGTAACCTCAGGTGAAGATCAGAGGTGCAGGGTTCGACCTCTCCCTACCCAAAGTGATTTCCCAAGAAACTGAGAAATGAACAGTCTGTGCTGCAGTGTTTATATCATTAGGATACACACCCGAATTACTTCATATAATGTGTGATGGACCTCATGCATGTTATTCAGTTGGTTGACTTACAGCATCTATAAGGAGATTGACCCGCTTCAATATGACCCTGGCTGTAAATGAGTCGATAAATGGTTCCAATAAACAAACACCAGTATCATTGTTTATGTCTACTCCAGACTACATTTACACACGTCTATCTGAAACCACCTTAATTGATGTGATTGATAGATGCTCTACTTTCAGTACCTCTCTTGATAGATAAATTAGTAAATTTCAACATTGAGAATTCAATTGTTTATTAGTGTCCGCAAACATGGATGATTTCATGGACAACAAGCCATATCTTATCATTTATTTCAAGCTGAATGGATTGTAATATAAAATAAATATATTTCAGAGTCGACCATTTATACCAAACAGAGCAGAAGGAGAAGGCAAACAGAGGACCCACAACAGCTGTATGTGGAATATGTAGCTGTGACGGATTTCAAGAACTACCTTAAGTAAAGTTTGATCTTATAGAGAAGTTCGGAATTATGCAAGGCATTGATATATACATCAATATATACCCAACTTGAAATGTATTCCGTTTTCCGATCAGGAAACGTTGAATCAATATTGTTAAAATATTAAGAAATATATAAATTAATATGTAGCTGATTAATCGCTTACTAGTAGATGGTATATGGCGTCACGATTCGTATCTATTGTGTTATGTAGATGGAAGGCAGATCTCAATGCACTGAACATGACGGCCGCAGAAAAAGATTTGACAACAAAATACAACATGCTGGAGTTCTATCAACACGTTGTTCATGGTGTGAGTGCAATATATATTTATGTATCTCTCATTGTAATGAAATACCAAACACTAATTCACAATTTGGTGGTATGAAGTAAATATTGCTGTAAATATGTTTTTTTTCATCCCTTTTACTCAGTGATGTAATGAAATAGCAAACCCAATGGTAGACAAATTATCCTAATTTACTGAAAAAGAATTTGTACACAAATGAAAAACACTCTTTCAATGAAAATTTATAATTAGATACGTTCGAGCCAGGTAATGAATTTAACTGTATAATACAGCAGTTTCGTCCTTCTAAGACTCGTCAGTGATGCTACATCATATAGCTGTTTCGTCCTTCTAAGACTCGTCAGCGATGCTACATCATACAGATGTTTCGTCCTGCTAAGACTCGTCAGTGATGCTACGTCATACACAAGTTTCGTCCTTCTAAGACTCGTCAGTGATGCTACATCATACAGCTGTTTCGTCCTTCTAAGACTCGTCAGTGATGCTACATCATATAGCTGTTTCGTCCTTCTAAGACTCGTCAGTGATGCTACATCATACAGCTGTTTCGTCCTTCTAAGACTCGACAGTGATGCTACATCATACAGCTGTTTCGTCCTTCTAGGACTCGACAGTGATGCTACATCATACAGCTGTTTCGTCCTTCTAGGACTCGACAGTGATGCTACATCATACAGATGTTTCGTCCTTCTAGGACTCGACAGTGATGCTACATCATACAGCTGTTTCGTCCTTCTAGGACTCGACAGTGATGCTACATCATACAGCCGTTTCTTCCTTTCAGGAATCGTCAGTGATGCTATCATCCAGCTGTTTCGTCATTCTAGGACTCGTCAGTGATGCTACATCATACAGCTGTTTCGCCCATTGTAGGACTCGACAGTGATGCTACATCATACAGCTGTTTCGTCCTTCTAGGACTCGACAGTGATGCTACATCATACAGATGTTTCGTCCTTCTAAGACTCGTTAGTGATGCTACATCATACAGATGTTTCGTCCTGCTAAGACTCGTCAGTGATGCTACATCATACAGCTGTTTCGTCCTTCTAGGACTCGACAGTGATGCTACATCATACAGTTGTTTCGTCCTTCTACGACTCGTCAGTTATGCTACATCTTACAGATGTTTCGTCCTTCTAAGACTCGTCAGTTATGCTACATCATACAGATATTTCGTCCTTCAAAGACTCGAGATCGCTTTGTGTTTTACCGTTTGATGGCCCTAATGACCTTTTATGTGTTGACTGGCCATTAAGAATGTAATGATAATAATAATAATCAAAGTACTGAAAGTACTGAGAGGCTAAACGTTTTGAAAAATGTTCACAAATAACCGCTAAGCTATATTACTTTCCCCATAATCCTACACTTTGGAATGCAAAAATTACTAAAATAAGAGAACCAGAGGCTATTTTTCTTAATTTTAAGCGATTTTATATCTTCTTTAATTCTTATTTCAAATTTGACGACAATAATGTGAACAAATCAAAATAGGTAAACAAAATAACAAAATACACACAACCATATATTTATCGCCAACAAGCCAAATGATAAATAGCTCTATGATGAAGTTAACTAAATAGAACCTTTGAAATACCCAAGATGTTGCAATTACTATCCTATCAATATGAGGATTTAGACAAATCGAAAGGACTTTATACCTACTTCTTTATTTTGAATGTATTGCAAAGTAATAGTCCTTACTTATTATAATTATATTTGTAGTTGAAGAAAGTAAATAAGGTGTACACAGCATTTCAGATAGATTAAAGTGTAAGTAATTACATTAAATGTATTTACATGCCTATCTTCCTTGAAGTATCATGGTTAGACTTTTCTTCCAGTAATTATGTCTATAAAGACACAGTTCTTTGAGATTAAACCAGACTTCCATATATATACAAAATTTACAATATTTTCACTATAGCTACGACTATTTCTGATCTCCAATGCATTAGATAATGTCACCATGACACGCTAAGTGAATAAATATCTTATGAAAATATTTCGTTCTAGTTAATTGATAATAATAAACATGAATATTTAGGGTTTTTTTTATACGCGCTTTGTTTGAAGGAATATTTTCATTTCAAGGAACTTTGATACACATTAACAAACATTGAGAAATCAGAACAAACAACCTTCATCAAATAAAACTAAAAGACAAAAAATATAAGTTATAACAAAGTCAACATCATGATCAGTACAGTATTAGAAATATATAATTCATAAATCATGAGCACCAAATGTAACTTGCCTACGAAGCGCAAACTTTTTATCTTCAAAAACTTAAAAAGTGTCATATCGGCGGGTGTGTGCGTGGGACGAACAGTCCAATTCGGTGACGTCTAATGAGGTAAAGTGATGTTATATATTACGACGATCTTGCCACAACGACAAGGATTAAAGCAAAATTGATGTTCTGTTTGTAAGTTTTGTTTGTTTATAAGTGTTGTTAGTTGATAATTCAAACTAAGCCCCCAGACTAGCTTCTTATCAACTCGCACGTACAGTATTCTGTACGCTTACGTCATGTCCAGAATTCCGTAAATATATTGTTAAAGATTTATCAATAGTTCAACCACACTGTGCTTCTTTTTTGATATATATAGTAATCGTATTGTTATTAAAAAAAAACTTAACTAATTTTGGATGCTATTAAAATAGCGATTTGAAAGATCTCGGCATTATTTACGCAAGAAATTGCCGCTAGAGGGCTCTAACTCTTTTCGATATTTCAGCCAATGAGAAGGCCAGGATCGGTAAATTTTGTCTGAAAGGCCGTCGCAATAGGCTGTACGTACCGAGTACGTTTAGCCTAATAATATCAAAGACTCGTCTGTGATGCTAAAGGTCTAAACTTTGAAAGATAGGAAGCGACAGAGGAAAATCCAAACTGAAAGAAATGTAGAAATCTAGATGAGTGAGGTGCACAAGCACTCACCCCATATTTCAATAATTGTCAAAATTTTCAGATTTAATAACTCCAAAAGAACTTCATGTTCATGTTTGTGAAAGTCCATAAACATTGTCTTCCACATGCAAGCTCGAAGATAAATGCCGAAAGACTCGCGATAGAATTTTCAGTATTTGTTTACAAAAGACGCTTTCTTGTCTGTGACTAGCCAATGTCAGAAGAGGACCTTCATTACATTTCACAAGAATGCACTAAATCATCTATCTCTGTGTTGCTAGTGTTAAATGACATGACTTCCTGCTCGTCATTCACAATAAAAAGTGAAGGGAAAAAACCTTTTTCAAGTTCGTCTGAAAATACCTTCTTATTTTTCTCTATAGATAGATGTTATCTTCAAGACACTTTCTAGTCAGGACCTGCAAGTGGAGATTGTACTTACCGGCCTCGTTATTTGCAATGTAAGATTATAAAACAAATGATTTTCAAGAGTTAATGCCCTTGATTTATTTCAATAATAATTCTCTGAAATAGAATAAAATAAATTGTGGAAAGAAGAAATTTTACGGAAAAATATAATCAGTGTCTTTACTACAATGTATAATCAATGTTTTGCAAAAGGATAAAGTTTGTTTATTCATTTCAGGAATCGGATATCTGCCCTTGGTCCGAGAAAAACACAATCTGTCCCGACTGTGATACTGTAGACGACAAAGAATGTCTGTATGATTTTTCAAAATGGAGACGAAATGTACTCACGAATCTGTTGGATCACGACCATGCAGCACTTTTCACGGGGTAAATACAAAAATCATATCTCGTCTGTCTTTTATTAGAGATAAAAGAAATAGAGAGGTGTTATGTCTGGATTTTTTTTCTGAAATCGATGAAGTATAATATTTCCTAGGTCGGCCAGGTAAACACGTATCCCAGTTGTTTTTGTAACTGGTGGCTCACGTGATGTAATGCTGCATTCCCTTCTGCTTTGTAGCCAGTTCAGTAATTTTCTTTTTCTTATTTCTTCTTATCGCCAATTCTACACTTTCTCTACTTCATTATTCATTACTTCACAAAGGCAACCTTTCAAATTTTAGTCGATTTAAAAATAATTTAAACATTTAACTACCATGGTATGGCACTTACATAATGGTAAATGACAAAGTTTTGTAGGTAAAGATCATTTACATGCCCTATCAATGTTACTGACTTTTGTCGATAAAAAACTTAAAAGATTAAAATACTGGTATATCATTGACCGTGTAATCTGTCAAGTGGAACAGCTGTCATTATTGGCTGTAATCTGTCAAGTGGAACAGCCAGTTTGACGCAAAGACTCAAAGTTTCTTTGCTTCTAATAATGGTCATGCGCTGGATGGCATTTATCGTACCATAAATCACAATTATTTCTGGTTAGTTTATATCGAAGCATTGTCATACAAATGTAAATAAACCAGACTACAATTGATATTCCAGGTACGATTTGTACTATACTTTGATACAGTCGAAGAAGACGGTTGGTGAGTATTTAAACATCTAAACAATTAAGGAATGTACACACATGTCTACGTATGTTGACTTTATGAATGTCAAGAGAAATGGCGTTTTGATGACGAATGACACTCCTCGTTCTACATGAACACAACTGTGCCTTTTTTAGTTTTGAGAAATAAAATTTTATGAAAAAATATTTGTGACAATAATGCGATCGTAGTTTATACAACGGTTATACAAACCTTGTTCTATGTAATGTTTGTTCTTTACTGCTATTATTATATTTGTAGGACTGGCATATATGAGCAACATGTGTCAAAATGGATCGGTGTCTTTGGTTGAGGAAAGAAGAAATGCTTTATCCATACATATTGCTGCACACGAGCTGGGTCACAGGTATATATATATCTTAATAGTGATATAGGGTCACAGGTATATATATATATCTTAATAGTGATATAAGGTCACAGGTATATATATATCTTAATGGTGATATAGGGTAACAGGTATATATATATCTTAACAGTGATATAGGGTCACAGGTATATATATGTCTTAATAGTGATATAGGGTCACAGGTATATATATATATCTTAATAGTGATATAGGGTCACAGGTATATATATATCTTAATAGTGATATAGGGTCACAGGTATATATATATATCTTAATAGTGATATAGGGTCACATGTATATATATATCTTAATGGTGATATAGGGTCACAGGTATATATATATATATCTTAATAGTGATATAGGGTCACAGGTATATATATATCTTAATAGTGATATAGGGTCACAGGTATATATATATATATATTAATGGTGATATAGGGTCACATGTATATATATATATTCTTAATGGTGATATAGGGTCACAGGTATATATATATCTTAATAGTGATAGAGGGTCTGAGGTATATATATATATATATCTTAATAGTGATATAGGGTCACAGGTATATATATATATCTTAATAGTGATATAGGGTCACAGGTATATATATATATATATCTTAAAAGTGATATAGGGTCACAGGTATATACATATCTTAATGGTGATATAGGGTCACAGGTATATATATATATCTTAATAGTGATATAGGGTCACAGGTATATATATATCTTAATAGTGATATAGGGTCACAGGTATATATATATATATCTTAATGGTGATATAGGGTCACAGGTATATATATATATCTTAATGGTGATATAGGGTCACAGGTATATATATATCTTAATAGTGATATAGGGTCACAGGTATATATATATATCTTAATAGTGATATAGGGTCACAGGTATATATATATATCTTAATAGTGATATAGGGTCACAGGTATATATATATCTTAATAGTGATATAGGGTCACAGGTATATATATATCTTAATAGTGATATAGGGTCACAGGTATATATATATCTTAATAGTGATATAGGGTCACAGGTATAGATATATCTTAATGGTGATATAGGGTCACAGGTATATATATATATCTTAATAGTGATATAGGGTCACAGGTATAGATATATCTTAATAGTGATATAGGGTCACAGGTAAATAGTGATATAGCAGAGCTTATCTAGAGACTGTACAATTGTAATATTATTCTCTTGTAAACATTAGTAATGTGTAAGAAAGCTTAATGCGACTTTCCCGCAAATAATGTCATTTTTTTACCCCATATGCTCCAATTTAGGTTGTTTGTTGTTTTTTCCCCACAAGAAATTCAGGTGAACATTGATGTTCGTTATTAACAACACCTCACTGTGGTGATACAGAGTTGTGTAATGGTGATACAGAGTTGTGTAACCATATCATACGTGTCACTGTGGTGAGACATACAGAGTTGTGTAACCATATCACTTTGTACGTGTCACTGTAATGTGTACAGAGTTGTGTAACCATATCACTTACATGGTGATACAGAGTTGTGTAACCATATCTTACGTGTCACTGTGGTGATACATACAGAGTTGTGTAACCATATCTTACGTGTCACTGTGGTGATACAGAGTTGTGTAACCATATCATACGTGTCACTGTGGTGATACAGAGTTGTGTAACCATATCATACGTGTCACTGTGGTGATACAGAGTTGTGTAACCATATCTTACGTGTCACTGTGGTGATACATACAGAGTTGTGTAACCATATCTTACGTGTCACTGTGGTGATACATACAGAGTTGTGTAACCATATCTTACGTGTCACTGTGGTGATACATACAGAGTTGTGTAACCATATCTTACGTGTCACTGTGGTGATACAGAGTTGTGTAACCATATCTTACGTGTCACTGTGGTGATACATACAGAGTTGTGTAACCATATCTTACGTGTCACTGTGGTGATACATACAGAGTTGTGTAACCATATCTTACGTGTCACTGTGGTAACCATACATACAGAGTTGTGTAACCATATCTTACGTGTCACTGTGGTGATACAGAGTTGTGTAACCATATCTTACGTGTCACTGTGGTGATACAGAGTTGTGTAACCATATCTTACGTGTCACTGTGGTGATACAGAGTTGTGTAACCATATCTTACGTGTCACTGTGGTGATACAGAGTTGTGTAACCATATCTTACGTGTCACTGTGGGTACATACAGAGTTGTGTAACCATATCTTACGTGTCACTGTGGTGATACATACAGAGTTGTGTAACCATATCTTACGTGTCACTGTGGTGATACAGAGTTGTGTAACCATATCTTACGTGTCACTGTGGTGATACAGAGTTGTGTAACCATATCTTACGTGTCACTGTGGTGATACATACAGAGTTGTGTAACCATATCTTACGTGTCACTGTGGTGATACAGAGTTGTGTAACCATATCTTACGTGTCACTGTGGGGATACAGAGTTGTGTAACCATACAGAGTTGTGTAACCATATCTTACGTGTCACTGTGGTGATACAGAGTTGTGTAACCATATCTTACGTGTCACTGTGGTGATACATACAGAGTTGTGTAACCATATCATACGTGTCACTGTGGTGATACATACAGAGTTGTGTAACCATATCATACGTGTCACTGTGGTGATACAGAGTTGTGTAACCATATCTTACGTGTCACTGTGGTGATACAGAGTTGTGTAACCATATCTTACGTGTCACTGTGGTGATACAGAGTTGTGTAACCATATCTTACGTGTCACTGTGGTGATACAGAGTTGTGTAACCATACAGAGTTGTGTAACCATATCTTACGTGTCACTGTGGTGATACAGAGTTGTGTATTGTACGTGTCCACACGACGGCACACCTTGTGGACATGTGTGTGAAAATACTTGTGACACAACGTGTCACTGTGGTGACACAATACAGAGTTGTGTAACAAAATTTCATTTACGTGTCACTGTGGTGAATACATACAGAGTTGTGTAACCATATCTTACGTGTCACTGTTCTCCTTATGACTCATCGACCGTTGTTATGACAACACCAGATACTGGAAGTAAAACAATCAATCCAACAATAGTTACAACTTCCAAATCGAGCCAGACCTGGTCCTTAAGACAGTCTCCATCTGCAAGTCAAACTACTCCTAAACGTCACCCCTCTACGACCACACACCAAACTATGCCCACACGCCACCACAATATGTCCACACATCCCAAAACCACTAATTATACGTCATCAAAACCAACATCAACGAATGCAGGATTTGCACCAACTGATACTGGAGCAGCATCAACTTCAACTTTGAAACCTATAATCTCAAAATCTACAACTTCAGATCCATCTCAGAATTCGACCTCGCTCAGTAAGTTCAACATATCGACAGATACACCAATGGATTCCTCAACCAGTTCAACAGTTTCAAATTCAACTGTTACAGTGAATAGCAATACTTCAACCATCAATTCAACTGGTGCATTAGAAATTTCAACAAATATGAATTCACATATTCAGCAAACAACTCCTTCGTATAATGCAACTGATAATATATCATATTCAACAAAATCAAGATCTGTTACTTCAATGCAGAATTCAACTGTGCTCCCGGATGGTGATGATAACGTTATAGATAAATTGAAACCAACACCAAAAATACCCAGTAATATTGGAACAAAATTCACTACCAGAATGTCTTTTGATTCAACAACTGACAGGGCAGATGCCAACTTGTTGAATAAGGCATCAAATATACAGGATTCAAACTTTTTTCTCATTGTTACTAGTTTCACACTTTTTCATAAATTTGTATTGTTTTACACCTCATAGATGATTGTATGAAAACAGAAGTGAATGGCACTTTTTCAAACAAATTTAAAGTTAGATAGAGTTGAGCCAAACAATGAATTATAGCTGTTTTGTCCTTCTAGGGCTTGTCAGTGATGGGAGGTGCACTAGTGACTTAAGGAACAATAATACAGCACATCCATACAAAATATTGTATAATTTTTGCAGTCATTCCATAATTACACAGAATCAAATATTCAGAAAACAGATAAACTGTGAATTAAAGTATATGTACTTTATGCCTATATACACAGACACCATTTTATGGACACATGCAAAATATAATATCCATGAAGTAGCACAAATCGGAGCAACAATGAAATTAAATAATTGCCTGAATATTAACATTTTTCCGCTTATTGTCCCCATTATAATCGTATTCTTCTTGAAAAAAGAACTTATGAGTGATCATATCTTTAATTCAATGGAGGTCGTTGTTTGTAATGCATTTGATAGCTGCGTAAAAATTTCTCAAAAAGGAAAAATTTTGTCAAAGAAAACGAAGAGTCCTGTGTTAGGTTTAAACCTAATGGCCGTAGAATGCAGTTAATCCTTATTTGGCACAACTGTGTCTAATCCCATATAGAAATGAACTATTCACTACACTCTTCAAGCCATAGTATTTATTTATTTACGTACAAGAATCATGAGTAAACAATTTTAGTAGAAGAATAATGTTTTGATGTCAACAACGATGAGTTAACAGTGAAAACAAACTACAGTATGTTCTCTTCTTAAACAGAATTAAAATGTATTATGATAGTTCAGTCTCCAGATCATCGGACAGCAGGTAAAAATTCAAGGTGTTTGGTTCGACCAAGGACTGTTTATCGGGAAATGGTTGATGATTTCCCGTCTTGGACCAATAACTTAAACCCCGTTTGCTTTAGTAATCTGTGATGTGCCTCCCGCTTTGTGTTCAGTGAGGTAGCCACTATTTCCAAGTGATAATGTATCAGTATTGTTTACATTGTTGCATCATAACGTAGACACTTGTTAAACTGTAGGAAGTCCTGTAACATAGTTTTATTCAACCTTTCACCTTTGTAAATACCCGCCACATCTTTTTTACTGCATGGGCGTATAACGTAGTGTTGGTTTGTAGCAATGGACTGTGATATTTTCTATTTATTCATTTTACGGGACATTTTTGCCAATACTATTTGCTTTTAATTTGCTTTAAGTTGTTTTTTTGTCGTAATGTGTGAAAATAATTTAAGCTTTGTCGCATCCTTGATATTGCTATTGTATATTTTGTAGTCAGACCAAAATTACTGGGATTTTTTTATCTTTGAATGTTGTACATCAACTTCACACTCAGATATCCAGCTGACTAATAAAAGATAAAATGAGTTGAGAGTTGTATTTTATAAAGAGCTGAACGGTGATAGAGAGGAGTGAGAGTGGGATTCATCGGTGAATGACTCAATTACATGTATGATACTATAAGTAGTTCGGCACATCTGAAAATATTTACCATTGTATGGCGTCGATACAGAGTAACATCAGTTGCGCACATGTATTTGCTTATAAATTGCGAACAGTGATGGAATATTTAAAGAATCAAATTGGCATATCATATCATATGGATATTGAGGTTGCCTACATTTACATATAGTCATTGAATGGTTTTCAGGTGACATCCATGATCATGTGATTGCCATGTGGATAAAACAATTTCAACAAATGACCGTGACATTTTGAATATGACCTTCAAACTTGACTAACTCAAGTAAAGATCTATGCCCAGCTAACCAGCTATCATATTAGGTCAAACTGTACATTTTTGTTGTGTCTATTTTTTGTTTTGTTGATGGATGGCTTGTTGTGAAAGACAAGTAATTTCAAAATTCTAAATATTTTCTTTAATGTTCATGTATTTTCGAGAATATGAAAGTAAAGAATATGAGTAAAAAGATGGTGCATGTGTTATATTTTTCATTTCATTAAAAAAACCACCGTAATTCCTTAACTGAATTAAATTATTATCAGTAAGTGCTGAGATAGCCAAAGTTAATGAAGAAATCTTTATTTTAAAGAATAACTCAAAATTGTAGAACTTGGTCTATATATCATATTAATTTTCCTGTCATCAAATCCACAATAGTTTTTGATGTTTTGAATTTAGACAGACAGGTCACTCACCAGCTCTCCATCTGATTAACAGAGTGAACAGACTCATTCACAGATATAACCCCCCACCCCTATATGATCTAGATGAACATTGTAAGATTAATGCCATTTTCAACTTTGTATCTGTAGCTTGCTCATAGTGCAGCCTTGTGATCGCAACTCCTCCTAAAATAATCATCAGATTTTCATGAAACTTGCTCAATGTCACTACAACTACAATGGGTAGATGTGCATGAAGGGGCGGTTTTTTGGTTTGTTGATTTTTGTAAGATTGATGCCATTTTCAACTTTGTATCTGCAGCTTGCTCTTAGTGGAGCTTTGTGAACGCAACTCCTAAACTAATGATCAGATTTTCATAAATCTTGCTCAATATCACTAATACAATGGTTCGATGTGCATGAAGGGGCGATTCTTCGCTTCTTTGATTTTTGTAAGATTAATGCCATTTTATCTTGATCTTTATATTTTGTGGCGATGTATATTGTGTCCATGGCACTCTTGTTACAAATATGAAACTTTTGATGTTGCTTTCTTCATGAAGGCGTTTTGTGATGATTTCAAGTCAATACTTGTTGAAGTTTTTTAAAAAGGCACATTAATTTAACTTCAATAACATTGCAGGCTGACAATGTAGTATGTACGTACCACTTCAATCACAGTACAATGTATCTATGTATTCCTTAGATCAAGGTCACATAAAGGTTGAAGATCAAATGCATCATGCCATATGTTATTTACTTCTCCAAGTTAGAACTAAAATATGCAGATATGTGTCAAAAGGCTAGGTATTGAACTGTCATTAGAACACATAAACACCGGCACCAGTTGAATTTCACTACCACCATTCTTAAGTTTTAATTAACTGGTGTTTTGTAGCCTATTGTGACGTCAGATGATAGTAAAATGGCACGATCTTCCTGATTACGAAAGCCAAATGTCTTCACAAATTATAATGACAGACATTTTCCTGTCACATTTCCCATAGTAATCGATCGTATGACAAAGAATCTCAATCGCATAATTTTGAAAATTCTTTAGGTCATGTAGCTGATCATTTTCAGGGGTAAACATTTAAAAAAAACCCCATCAAATTATATTTTAATGAATGCAAAATTCTTGATCTGGATGTATAAGAATGTGTCTCATTGTTTCCCGGTTAAGTTTTTACAGTCATATTATTGTACTACTAAATAGCAAAAATGTCATTCCTACAAAAATTACCCGCTGTACCGTATGAAACTCATTTTTTTTTTATTAAGTTTGTCTGAGGTTTCATTAAATGAAAATTCTCACATTCATAATATGCAAATGAAATGAAAACTTGTGCAATTTGTGATACTAAACATTAAAATTATAACAGATAAGATTGTTACATATCTTTGTTTCCAACAAAAATATTTCTCAACAACAAAATATGTATACCCAATACTCTTAACTGGAGGTTTCTGTACGTAACTGGAGGTTTCTGTATGTAACTGGAGGTTTCTGTACGTAACTGGAGGTTTCTGTACATAACTGGAGGTTTCTGTACGTAACTGGAGGTTTCTGTATATAAATGGAGGTTTCTGTACGTAACTGGAGGTTTCTGTATATAACTGGAGGTTTCTGTATATAACTGGAGATTTCTGTACGTAACTAGAGGTTTCTGTACATAACTGGAGGTTTCTGTATGTAACTGGAGGTTTCTGTATATAAATGGAGGTTTCTGTACGTAACTGGAGGTTTCTGTACATAACTGGAGGTTTCTGTATGTAACTGGAGGTTTCTGTATATAAATGGAGGTTTCTGTACATAACTGGAGGTTTCTGTACATAACTGGAGGTTTCTGTACGTAACTGGAGGTTTCTGTACATAACTGGAGGTTTCTGTACGTAACTGGAGGTTTCTGTATATAACTGGAGGTTTCTGTACGTAACTGGAGGTTTCTGTACATAACTGGAGGTTTCTGTATGTAACTGGAGGTTTCTGTACATAACTGGAGGTTTCTGTATGTAACTGGAGGTTTCTGTACATAACTGGAGGTTTCTGTACGTAACTGGAGGTTTCTGTATATAACTGGAGGTTTCTGTACGTAACTGGAGGTTTCTGTACATAACTGGAGGTTTCTGTATGTAACTGGAGGTTTCTGTATATAAATGGAGGTTTCTGTACGTAACTGGAGGTTTCTGTACATAACTGGAGGTTTCTGTATGTAACTGGAGGTTTCTGTATATAAATGGAGGTTTCTGTACGTAACTGGAGGTTTCTGTATGTAAATGGAGGTTTCTGTATGTAAATGGAGGTTTCTGTAAGTAACTGGAGGTTTCTGTATATAACTGGAGGTTTTTGTATATAACTGGAGGTTTCTGTATATAACTGGAGGTTTTTGTATATAACTGGAGGTTTCTGTACGTAACTGGAGGTTTTTGTATATAACTGGAGGTTTCTGTATGTAACTGGAGGTTTTTGTACTTAACTGGAGGTTTCTGTACGTAACTGGAGGTTTTTGTATATAACTGGAGGTTTCTGTATGTAACTGGAGGTTTTTGTACTTAACTGGAGGTTTCTGTACGTAACTGGAGATTTTTGTACTTGCCTATGAAAGTGTCTATGCATTCCTACTACAAAATATGATAATTACTTTTGAACTGTTGACAATGAACTTTTTAATAAATCCATATCAATAAACAATTTGACATAAAATGTGAGGATATTTCAGAAATTATATCTTCAGAAATTAACAAAATGGCTGACAATTACTGCTAGGAGTCTTTCTGTATTCCAGGCCAGGAAAATGGATTCAGACAGCGATGAAGGTAAAGATATGGCATTATGTCTTTAGAGCAGAAAGGCTGACAATGTAATACAGAGACTGGTAAAGGATGAAGAAGTACATACAATACAGGTTTAATTGAATAAAATGTAGATAACATTTTTATAGAATCCTCAACCATTGTAATTTCAGTGTTGTGTGACCTCATTTACTGATACAGGTCAACAACACTGACCTGTATACATTATATCAGTGTTGTGTGACCATATTTACTGATAAAAGGTCACAACACTGACCTGTATACATTATATCAGTGTTGTGTGACCATATTTACTGATACAAGTCAACAACACTGACCTGTATACATTATATCAGTGTTGTGTGACCATATTTACTGATACAGGTCAACAACACTGACCTGTATACATTATATCAGTGTTGTGTGACCATATTTACTGATACAAGTCAACAACACGGACCTGTATACATTATATCAGTGTTGTGTGACCATATTTACTGATACAGGTCAACAACACTGACCTGTATACATTATATCAGTGTTGTGTGTCCATATTTACTGATACAAGTCAACAACACTGACCTGTATACATTATATCAGTGTTGTGTGACCATATTTACTGATACAAGTCAACAACACTGACCTGTATACATTATATCAGTGTTGTGTGACCATATTTACTGATACAAGTCAACAACACTGACCTGTATACATTATATCAGTGTTGTGTGACCATATTTACTGATACAGGTCAACAACACTGACCTGTATAAATTTTATCAGTGTTGTGTGACCATATTTCCTGATAAAAGGTCACAATACTGACCTGTATACATTATATCAGTGTTGTGTGACCATATTTACTGATACAAGTCAACAATACTGACTTGTATACATTATATCAGTGTTGTGTGACCATATTTACTGATACAGGTCAACAACACTGACCTGTATACATTATATCAGTGTCGTGTGACCATATTTACTGATACAGGTCAACAACACTGACCTGTATACATTATATCAGTGTCGTGTGACCATATTTACTGATACAGGTCAACAACACTGACTTGTATACATTATATCAGTGTTGTGTGACCATATTTACTGATAGAGGTCAACAACACTGACTTGTGTACATAATATCAGTGTTGTGTGACCATATTTACTGATACAAGTCAACAATGTATACATTATATCAGTGTTGTGTGACCATATTTACTGATACAAGTCAACAACACTGACTTGTATACATTATATCAGTGTTGTGTGACCATATTTACTGATACAGGTCAACAACACTGACTGGTGTACATTATATCAGTGTTGTGTGACCATATTTACTGATACAAGTCAACAATGTATACATTATATCAGTGTTGTGTGACCATATTTACTGATACAGGTCAACAACACTGACTTGTATACATTATATCAGTGTTGTGTGACCATATTTACTGATACAAGTCAACAACACTGACCTGTATACATTATATCAGTGTTGTGTGACCATATTTACTGATAAAAGGTCACAATACTGACTTGTATACATTATATCAGTGTTGTGTGACCATATTTACTGATACAAGTCAACAACACTGACTTGTGTACATTATATCAGTGTTGTGTGACCATATTTACTGATACAGGTCAACAACACTGACCTGTATACATTATATCAGTGTTGTGTGACCATATTTACTGATACAGGTCAACAATGTATACATTAATTCAGTGTTGTAACACACTCATCTTTCACTTAGCCGTCCATGGTTCGACACCTCGAACAGACTTGACAAGGTAAAGGTCACCTGCCCAACCACATGGGTTTTCCCCGGGTACTCCAGTTTCCTCCCACAATAAGACCCCTCGCGTGCTTACATCTGGGCAAACACAAGTGATTAGTGTAAGTTGAAATAACTTGTTTTGCAATGGTTGTAATATAAATAAAGTTTATATATATTTTTTTTTAGAAACTATAACTGTGACAATTGCTTTAGTTATGATTTATCTTAACTTGAAGTTTATACACTGTAAATGTATTCATCTTAAACACCAAACAACCTTTATATGTAATGATATACATATGTACATATTTCTTATCCTTCATTCTGTCTAAATCTTTTTTCATGTACTCTTAAACAAAAACAGAAACAGAGGGGTACATTGGTTTGTAGTTACAATAACATCCAGGTCAAGTTCTGGTTTGGTATGTGTAAGTTATGGTCAGTTTACTCCTTCCAAAGTTACGGCCATTTGACTTTGAATTAGAATCTTAATTAAAATTTTCTTGAAGATGGTATAACCAATATTGAGCATATGCTTCCAACACACCTGGTTTTTACTGAAGATCACCTCAAAAATTCATTAGGCAGTCTGATACTGATCCTGACTATCAGATTAATTTATTTGTTCTGTCTGGTGTATTGTAGGAGGTGACAATGAATTCAAAACAGATAAAACCTTGCATATTGTAAAACTAAAACGATGAAAAATCATAACCGGACTAAAATTACATCCATTTCAATGACGGATTCTAATGATTAAAAAGATTTTTAACTTTTAAATAAACTTTCCGACGCCTCAATCTGAATCACTGAGAATCATCTCTCCCCCCTCCTGGTCACTGAAACTCGTACCCGAGGCCATAGGTTCTCCCCCCTCCCCAACCTCCTTGTCACGACACTTGGAGTGTTGCAGTTCTCTCCGTATCTCAGGTGTGATCAAACCATGCGAGTGTACACGTAACAGTTCCAGAAGACTTTCCTTCTGTTCACTAGAAATGTCCTCCTTGTATCGCTGTGCAAATGTTAGAAGACATTGATGCCATAATACTGGTAACTCTCTCTTGTCTGATGTAAATCTGAAAATTCAAAAGAGCGAGAATTTATTTATTCAAATTTAACCTCTCATAAAAACTCTCCAGTAAGAGATTCAGTATATAAAATCTTATGTATTATGCCATTCAAAAACTTCCAACGCAAATTTAATTGGCTAGTCTTGAAATTAGGTACTGTATTTCAAGAGGAAGGAGGAGGGCTTGAACATGCAAAAAATTTGTAATTAAGTTTATCAGGGTTTTAATAGGTTCCTTGTTTAAATTAAACAGACAAAATAATGCATTATCTGACCAAACAGCACATGAACCAATGGAATGTGCCATACAGAACTATTGAAAACGTTCATAACAATAATATCACCATATTGATTTTAAACATTTCAGAAAGCATAAAAGCAAAATACTGCCTCTCACCTCAGAAAATGAAATACAACAGCATCCACAACTCTGTAAGGTAAAGCATACTTCTTGTCCAGGAGGGAACGCAGAAATATACTGTTAGCACCATTGTAGTCCATCTCTGCTATTTTCAAGATGGCTGCCGCCGAATGCAGCATGGGTATAGAGTTCTTGGCCAGAATACTCGAAATGATAACTGCTTCTCGAAGAGTACAATCACCTGCCTAAAATTTGACAAACAGAAAATATATTTGCTTTACATGGGATGAAATTATCAGTCAAAATTTAGATGAACGGAGTCTATGAATAATACGTAATACATTGTAATATCACTGTTGCTTTACTTTGTATGAACAAACGGTTCTATATTGTGTTGTAATCTATGTTCTTGTTTCTGATGTGTTTGTCTGTACATCTCCCTTTGTGTAGAGGGTCTTATGTCACATTAGTTATCTAAACAAAATTACATGTATATCAGGTGTTAATTAAGTATCATTCTTACCGTAGTCATTTTCATTGACAATAATAAGTTATAAGTCTGTAATAGAAAAAAGTCGTAATATGTAATAGACCATCGATATTGAGCAAATGACGTCTAATAGCATGCATATGACCTCTAATAGCATGCATATGACCTCTGATATCATATATATGACCTTCAATATAACACATGTGACTTTTGATATTATGACAATATTTTTCCATTTCATTAAGACCTTACCTCACATAGTGGTAGAAGGATTCCTTTGAAAAACGCAGCTGGCTTGAAAAGTGACTTTTTTATTGCCTGAAATAAATAGATTTTTGTTTAAAAGCGAATCATGTCTTTGTTTCCTAAACTTTATAACAAAATTCAATTAATCATTGTTTTGCAAAAGCATTTAACAAAGATTAACAAAATTAAAATGGGGTGGGGGAAGTGGGGGGGTAGTCAAAATTCCAACAATGGCAAAAGTGAAGACAATTCTCCAGGAGCCAACCTCCAATAAATACATGTATAGTTCATCTACTAGACTTCATAAGGATTCCTGTAAGGATACAAAGTTTCCTCAAATAAACAAAGCAGGAAAGAACCAAAAAACACAAAACATCTCAACAAAAATTAAAATCAGTATATTCCTGTTTAATTTGCTGTGTTTGAATAGCCAACATGTTTTGGTCTGCTGTTGTCAGGGCACAGCTTACAAGATATACATGTAGTTAGAAGTGATAATGTATGCCATGTTTCTCACATTTAAATATATGTTTCTCACATTTAAATATATGTTTCTCACATTTACATATACTTTACAAGAATTTTGGTTGAATGAATATTACTATAATCATATGCCAAATGTAAAGGTGACCATACTGTTACTGAACTGTTGGGAGAAATTTACAATACATGTCATGTCTCATATCTTCACTAATTTTCCTGACATCAATTCCTTTACAGGAAATTCATAGAATCTTTCATCCCCTTGGATGTGTGATAGGTCTTTCTCAACCACAGCAAAAGGTGATCAAGTTAGCAACTTATAAATCTTTTTGTGGGGGCTGAAATCCCTCTATCTCACCAACAAGGGGGTGAATGATTATTTTTTGTGAGGGCTGAAATCATTCTATCTCACCAACAAGGGGGTGAATGATTATTTTTTGTGGGGGCTGAAATCATTCTATCTCACCAACAAGGGGGTGAATGATTATTTTTTGTGAGGGCTGAAATCATTCTATCTCACCAACAAGGGGGTGAATGATTATTTTTTGTGAGGGCTGAAATCATTCTATCTCACCAAGACTTTTATTTAAGAAAAAGATACAAAATACTGTCTTTTGGGAGCATTTCATAGTATTAATTACTTTACAAAATAAGCATTAAACATTATTGAGTTTAATAGACTAAGAACAAAACATCAGAAGCAGCCTTGAAAAATTTATCAGCAAGGAATAGAGGAATTTTTATATAGAAAAAGAGGAATTTTATACAGAAAATGGGAAATTTTATATATAATAAAAAGGAATTTCATACTGAAAATGGGGAATTTTATACAGAAAATTGGGAATTTTAAATAGAAAATGGGGAATTCTATATAGAAAAAGAGAAATTTTATACAGAAAACGGAGAATTTTATGTAGAAAAAGAGGAATTTTGTATAGAAAATGGTGAATTTCATATAGAAAATGGCAAAATTTATTTAGAAAATGGTGAATTTTTGTCCATTTTAAAGGAAAGGAAACTTCCTCAATAACAGAAAATTAACCTTGATGGCCTTGATTGTGATTATGATCAGAATGTAAATGTGTGAAATTACACCACAATTAGATATGGACCATCAGAATGTTACTGTTAAGTGCAGATTTTGAAAATATTTTTTAAAAAATAACTTAATACCTTACCATATATAAATGAAAATTCAATCTTTTGTATTCTGCAACATCATCACGTATTCTTGGGTATAAAACAAGGTTGAAAAATCTGAAAAAAAAGTTTGATGTCAATAATATGTATACAAAACATCATATCATTTTTATAGAAGAATCCCCTTTTACAGAGATTAGTTAAATGCAAATATATTATTATGTATTTCAATGTGAAAAATGTGGTTTAATGTCTTTACAACACTCAGGGTCACAAGGATTAGGCACTGATTCATAATGGTCATATGGAAATATAAAGGTGACAAATACTTTTGTACATTAATTAAGTACATATGTACTACAAACAACCAAATATTCTCCCATCTCTGGCAAAAAATTGAACAAAGGGCCATAACTCGATAAATGGCAGCACCTTATTACAGCATGTGAAGTGCTGTCATCAGCTAATGCGATATGTACAGTAGTGATGTGAAATCAATTAATATCAATTTTAGGTTACAACTGGATAGGTCCCTCCTCCATTTCCATTAGTTAGGATATAAATTCTCCTCTATTGCCAATAGATCTGGGATTAGTTAGGATATAAATTCTCCTGTTGCCACTAGATCTGGGATTAGTTAGGATATAAATTCTCCTCTGTTGCCACTAGATCTGGGATTAGTTAGGATATAAATTCTCCTGTTGCCACTAGATCTGGGATTAGTTAGGATATAAATTCTCCTGTTGCCACTAGATCTGGGATTAGTTAGGATATAAATTCTCCTGTTGCCACTAGATCTGGGATTAGTTAGGATATAAATTCTCCTGTTGCCACTAGATCTGGGATTAGTTAGGATATAAATTCTCCTCTATTGCCACTAGATCTGGGATTAGTTAGGATATAAATTCTCCTGTTGCCACTAGATCTGGGATTAGTTAGGATATAAATTCTCCTCTATTGCCACTAGATCTGGGATTAGTTAGGATATAAATTCTCCTGTTGCCACTAGATCTGGGATTAGTTAGGATATAAATTCTCCTGTTGCCACTAGATCTGGGATTAGTTAGGATATAAATTCTCCTCTATTGCCACTAGATCTGGGATTAGTTAGGATATAAATTCTCCTCTATTGCCACTAGATCTGGGATTAGTTAGGATATAAATTCTCCTGTTGCCACTAGATCTGGGATTAGTTAGTTAGGATATAAATTCTCCTGTTGCCACTAGATCTGGGATTAGTTAGGATATAAATTCTCCTCTGTTGCCACTAGATCTGGGATTAGTTAGGATATAAATTCTCCTCTGTTGCCACTAGATCTGGGATTAGTTAGGATATAAATTCTCCTGTTGCCACTAGATCTGGGATTAGTTAGGATATAAATTCTCCTGTTGCCACTAGATCTGGGATTAGTTAGGATATAAATTCTCCTGTTGCCACTAGATCTGGGATTAGTTAGGATATAAATTCTCCTGTTGCCACTAGATCTGGGATTAGTTAGGATATAAATTCTCCTGTTGCCACTAGATCTGGGATTAGTTAGGATATAAATTCTCCTGTTGCCACTAGATCTGGGATTTGTTAGGATATAAATTCTCCTGTTGCCACTAGATCTGGGATTTGTTAGGATATAAATTCTCCTGTTGCCACTAGATCTGGGATTTGTTAGGATATAAATTCTCCTCTGTTGCCACTAGAATTGGGAATAATGATTATATGCAGTCTCCATAGCTACTAGAATTGGGAAAAATCACTGTATGAAGTCTTCTGCGTTGCCGATGGAACTAGAAAAATGATATAAATCTCTTATGTTGCCAATATATCTGGAATTAATTACGATATAAAGTCTCCTATTGCCATCTAGATCTGTTGCCACTAGATCTGGGAGAATTAGGATATAAAGTCTCCTCTGTTGCCACTAGATATTACGATATAAGTCTCTCTGTTGCCACTAGATCTGGGATTAGTTAGGATATAAATTCTCCTCTGTTGCCACACTGGGATTAGATATAAATCTGTTGCCACTAGATCTGGGAGAATTTCGATTCTCAGTCTCCTCTGTTGCCACTCGTTCTGGGTTAATTACGATACAAATTCTCCTCTGTTGCCACTAGATCTGGGATTAATTACTGGAAGTCTTCTCTGTTGCCACTAGAACTGGGAATAATTACGATATGAAGTCTCCTCTGTTGCCACTAGATCTGGGAGAATTACGATACAAAGTCTCCTCTGTTGCCACTAGATCTGGGAGAATTACGATACAAAGTCTCCTCTGTTGCCACTAGATCTGGGATTAGTTAGGATATAAATTCTCCTGTTGCCACTAGATCTGGGATTAGTTAGGATATAAATTCTCCTGTTGCCACTAGATCTGGGATTAGTTAGGATATAAATTCTCCTGTTGCCACTAGATCTGGGATTAGTTAATAGTCTCCTCTGTTGCCACTAGATCTGGGATTAGTTAGGATATAAATTCTCCTCTGTTGCCACTAGATCTGGGATTAGTTAGGATATAAATTCTCTGTTGCCACTAGATCTGGGAAGTTAGGATATAAAGTCTCCTGTTGCCACTAGATCTGGGATTAGTTAGGATATAAATTCTCCTGTTGCCACTAGATCTGGGATTAGTTAGGATATAAATTCTCCTGTTGCCACTAGATCTGGGATTAGTTAGGATATAAATTCTCCTGTTGCCACTAGATCTAGGATTAGTTAGGATATGAATTCTCCTCTATTGCCACTAGATCTGGGATTAGTTAGGATATAAATTCTCCTGTTGCCACTAGATCTGGGATTAGTTAGGATATAAATTCTCCTGTTGCCACTAGATCTGGGATTAGTTAGGATATAAATTCTCCTGTTGCCACTAGATCTGGGATTAGTTAGGATATAAATTCTCCTGTTGCCACTAGATCTGGGATTAGTTAGGATATAAATTCTCCTGTTGCCACTAGATCTGGGATTAGTTAGGATATAAATTCTCCTGTTGCCACTAGATCTGGGATTAGTTAGGATATAAATTCTCCTGTTGCCACTAGATCTGGGATTAGTTAGGATATAAATTATCCTGTTGCCACTAGATCTGGGATTAGTTAGGATATAAATTCTCCTCTATTGCCACTAGATCTGGGATTAGTTAGGATATAAATTCTCCTGTTGCCACTAGATCTGGGATTAGTTAGGATATAAATTCTCCTGTTGCCACTAGATCTGGGATTAGTTAGGATATAAATTCTCCTGTTGCCACTAGATCTGGGATTTGTTAGGATATAAATTCTCCTCTGTTGCCACTAGAATTGGGAATAATGATTATATGCAGTCTCCATAGCTACTAGAATTGGGAAAAATCACTGTATGAAGTCTTCTCCGTTGCCGATGGAACTGAGAAAAATGACTTTATGAAATCTCTTATGTTGCCAATATATCTGGAATTAATTACGATATGAAGTCTCCTCTGCTGCCACTAGATCTGGGAGAATTACGATACGAAGTCTCCTCTGTTGCCACTAGATCTGGGATTAATTACTGTTTGAAGTCTTCTCTGTTGCCACTAGAACTTAAAATAATTACGATATGAAGTCCCCTCTGTTGCCACTAGATCTGGGAGAATTACGATACAAAGTCTCCTCTGTTGCCACTAGATCTGGGAGAATTACGATACAAAGTCTCCTCTGTTGCCACTAGATCTGGGAGAATTACGATACAAAGTCTCCTCTGTTGCCACTAGATCTGGGAGAATTACGATACAAAGTCTCCTCTGTTGCCACTAGATCTGGGAGAATTACGATACAAAGTCTCCTCTGTTGCCACTAGATCTGGGAGAATTACGATACAAAGTCTCCTCTGTTGCCACTAGATCTGGGAGAATTACGATACAAAGTCTCCTCTGTTGCCACTAGATCTGGGAGAATTACGATACAAAGTCTCCTCTGTTGCCACTAGATCTGGGAGAATTACGATACAAAGTCTCCTCTGTTGCCACTAGATCTGGGAGAATTACGATACAAAGTCTCCTCTGTTGCCAATATTATGCATTCAATGAATGGTTGTCAGGCTCTTACCTTTGCGCCATCTTGACATTGAGATTGGATACAAATATTCGAGTTGCCTGGTACATTGCTGCCGCTGACCAGCTGTCTGGTTCTGTTAGGTACAAGATCTGTGCCAAGTTAGAATAAAAAGAAATTTGTATGTATAAATGGCCATGGACACATCCTGTCTACCACATCATTTCTTGTACACTAACTCATAACATATGGCCTTTTGGAAATAAAAAAAAATGGCAATCAATTATGTAAAAGAGAGATTCTGAAAACTTTTACCCCTGATTTAATCTAAGTAAACAGAAATTATTTCCATAGAAAAATATTAAATAACAGCAGGGTTTTCCATAATTTTGTTAGTAGTAGGCTGTGTAGTGAAAGTAGGAGGCTGGCCTGCTGTGTACGTGTAGTCGTGTACGGAACATTATTAGGAAACTGGATTGGTGTAGACGGCCAAATGATCAAAGCAGCCGGTCAAATTGGCCGGCGACCGGCTCTTATGGAAAACCCTGTAACAGACAGTTTAACCTTTATATGACTTTGAACCTTGCCTAACATTATATTAAACAAATTAATAGATGTTAGCAAAATTCATTTTCCCACCTTCCATTCTTATTTTCTCTTCCTAAACTTACCTGCTCCCAGTTGCGAAGGTTAGGGACAATTTTGAAGGCTTTTGGGAGCTTTCCACTCCTGTATCTCTGTAAGACTTGCTTAATACTCTTGTACATGTTCACAATACGCTCGTCAAGTTCCTGCATCTGGACACTGGCATTGTCTGTAAACATAGATCCTCATACAATCTGCGCTTAATACATGCACAGAGGGGGGACAACTCTCTGGAAATTATTCAAACATAACCTTGAAGAATGGACACTTTAATCTAGTGGTCAATAATCGATAATAACTAAAAATCAATTGACTAAGAAAAAGAAATTAACTGGCACATTTCAGAAACAGCACAGAGATCTCAAAGATGCACAAATCAAGAGTGATTCCTTTTACATTGTTTTTACAACAAGCAACCTTGAGAGGTTTTGATCAGCAGTATTCAATAAGTATGAAATAAAATATGTTAAAAGTAATATCCATTCTGCTATCAATTATGAACCAGAACTGATTCCCATCTCTAGGAAGTTATATCCTCTCTAAAACACATGCTATCTGAGGGCATCTCTTTCAATCAATTAGTTTGGAGTATAATATCCTATGAAGTAAACAGTAATTGTAAGTTTACCACAGCTAGTCTCTGTCTCATTCATATCCCTGTCAAAGAATTCTACTATTGTGCAAATTATTGGACTTGATCATCATAGCACACTGTTACATCTTTGTATGGTCTAAAGCCTAAATGTGGCCACATCTTCTGTGAATAGCCCTATCACATGATCTCAGTTGCGAAGAAGATGTTAAATCTAAACAACTATACAAATTTCACCTCCTCATATCATTAACATACCTGACATTTGTGTACGGATCTCTGTTTGTTTCTCTGTAATCTTCTCCTGTATGATGTCTGCCAGAGTTCTTCGTGTTTGTGGCTCTTTTGACATAAACATCTGAAGAGCAGCTTCGTCATCTTCATCAACCTCCTGTTGTATACACAAAACAAAGTACAACTTCCTGTTGTATACACAAAACAAAGTACAACCTCCTGTTGTATACACAAAGTACAACTTCCTGTTGTCTACAAAAAACAAAGTACAACCTCCTGTTGTATACACAAAACAAAGTACAACTTCCTGTTGTATACACTAAGTACAACTTCCTGTTGTATACACAAAGTACAACCTCCTGTTGTATACACAAAACAAAGTACAACTTCCTGTTGTATACACAAAGTACAACCTCCTGTTGTATACACAAAACAAAGTACAACTTCCTGTTGTATACACAAAACAAAGTACAACCTCCTGTTGTCTACACAAAACAAAGTACAACCTCCTGTTGTATACACAAAACAAAGTACAACTTCCTGTTGTATACACAAAGTACAACTTCCTGTTGTATACACAAAGTACAACCTCCTGTTGTATACACAAAACAAAGTACAACTTCCTGTTGTATACACAAAGTACAACCTCCTGTTGTATACACAAAACAAAGTACAACTTCCTGTTGTATACACAAAGTACAACTTCCTGTTGTATACACAAAACAAAGTACAACCTCCTGTTGCATACACAAAACAAAGTACAACTTCCTGTTGTATACACAAAGTACAACCTCCTGTTGTATACACAAAACAAAGTACAACCTCCTATTGTATACACAAAGTACAACCTCCTCTTGCATACACAAAACAAATTACAACCTCCTGTTGTATACACAAAGTACAACCTCCTGTTGTATACACAAAGTACAACCTCCTGTTGTATACACAAAACAAAGTACAACCTCCTGTTGTATACACAAAACAAAGTACAACCTCCTGTTGTATACACAAAACAAAGTACAACCTCCTGTTGTCTACACAAAACAAAGTACAACCTCCTGTTGTATACACAAAACAAAGTACAACCTCCTGTTGTATACACAAAGTACAACCTCCTGTTGTATACACAAAACAAAGTACAACCTCCTGTTGTCTACACAAAACAAAGTACAACCTCCTGTTGTATACACAAAACAAAGTACAACCTCCTGTTACATACACAAAACAAAGTACAACCTCCTGTTGTATACACAAAACAAAGTACAACCTCCTGTTACATACACAAAACAAAGTACAACCTCCTGTTGTATACACAAAACAAAGTACAACCTCCTGTTACATACACAAAACAAAGTACAACCTCCTGTTGTATACACAAAACAAAGTACAACCTCCTGTTGTATACACAAAACAAAGTACAACCTCCTGTTGTATACACAAAACAAAGTACAACCTCCTGTTACATACACAAAACAAAGTACAACCTCCTGTTGTATACACAAAGTACAACCTCCTGTTGTCTACACAAAACAAAGTACAACCTCCTGTTGTATACACAAAACAAAGTACAACCTCCTGTTGTATACACAAAACAAAGTACAACCTCCTGTTGTATACACAAAACAAAGTACAACCTCCTGTTACATACACAAAACAAAGTACAACCTCCTGTTGTATACACAAAGTACAACCTCCTGTTGTATACACAAAACAAAGTACAACCTCCTGTTGTATACACAAAACAAAGTACAACCTCCTGTTGTCTACACAAAACAAAGTACAACCTCCTGTTGTCTACAAAAAACAAAGTACAACCTCCTGTTGTATACACAAAACAAAGTACAACCTCCTGTTACATAGACAAAACAAAGTACAACCTCCTGTTGTCTACACAAAACAAAGTACAACCTCCTGTTGTCTACACAAAACAAAGTACAACCTCCTGTTGTCTACACAAAACAAAGTACAACCTCCTGTTGTCTACACAAAACAAAGTACAACCTCCTGTTGTATACACAAAACAAAGTACAACCTCCTATTGTATACACAAAGTACAACCTCCTCTTGCATACACAAAACAAATTACAACCTCCTGTTGTATACACAAAGTACAACCTCCTGTTGTATACACAAAACAAAGTACAACCTCCTGTTGTCTACACAAAACAAAGTACAACCTCCTGTTACATACACAAAACAAAGTACAACCTCCTGTTGTCTACACAAAACAAAGTACAACCTCCTGTTGTATACACAAAACAAAGTACAACCTCCTGTTACATACACAAAACAAAGTACAACCTCCTGTTGTCTACACAAAACAAAGTACAACCTCCTGTTGTATACACAAAACAAAGTACAACCTCCTGTTGTATACACAAAGTACAACCTCCTGTTGTCTACAAAAAACAAAGTACAACCTCCTGTTGTATACACAAAACAAAGTACAACCTCCTGTTACATAGACAAAACAAAGTACAACCTCCTGTTGTATACACAAAACAAAGTACAACCTCCTGTTGTCTACACAAAACAAAGTACAACCTCCTGTTGTCTACACAAAACAAAGTACAACCTCCTGTTGTATACACAAAACAAAGTACAACCTCCTGTTACATACACAAAACAAAGTACAACCTCCTGTTGTATACACAAAACAAAGTACAACCTCCTGTTGTATACACAAAACAAAGTACAACCTCCTGTTGTATACACAAAACAAAGTACAACCTCCTGTTACATACACAAAACAAAGTACAACCTCCTGTTGTATACACAAAACAAAGTACAACCTCCTGTTGTCTACAAAAAACAAAGTACAACCTCCTGTTGTCTACAAAAAACAAAGTACAACCTCCTGTTGTATACACAAAACAAAGTACAACCTCCTGTTACATACACAAAACAAAGTACAACCTCCTGTTGTCTACACAAAACAAAGTACAACCTCCTGTTGTCTACACAAAACAAAGTACAACCTCCTGTTGTCTACACAAAACAAAGTACAACCTCCTGTTGTCTACACAAAACAAAGTACAACCTCCTGTTGTATACACAAAACAAAGTACAACCTCCTATTGTATACACAAAGTACAACCTCCTCTTGCATACACAAAACAAATTACAACCTCCTGTTGTATACACAAAGTACAACCTCCTGTTGTATACACAAAACAAAGTACAACCTCCTGTTGTCTACACAAAACAAAGTACAACCTCCTGTTACATACACAAAACAAAGTACAACCTCCTGTTGTCTACACAAAACAAAGTACAACCTCCTGTTGTATACACAAAACAAAGTACAACCTCCTGTTACATACACAAAACAAAGTACAACCTCCTGTTGTCTACACAAAACAAAGTACAACCTCCTGTTGTATACACAAAACAAAGTACAACCTCCTGTTGTATACACAAAGTATACAAAAAACAAAGTACAACCTCCTGTTGTATACACAAAACAAAGTACAACCTCCTGTTACATACACAAAACAAAGTACAACCTCCTGTTGTATACACAAAACAAAGTACAACCTCCTGTTGTCTACACAAAACAAAGTACAACCTCCTGTTGTCTACACAAAACAAAGTACAACCTCCTGTTGTATACACAAAACAAAGTACAACCTCCTGTTGTATACACAAAACAAAGTACAACCTCCTGTTACATACACAAAACAAAGTACAACCTCCTGTTGTCTACACAAAACAAAGTACAACCTCCTGTTGTATACACAAAACAAAGTACAACCTCCTGTTGTCTACACAAAACAAAGTACAACCTCCTGTTGTATACACAAAACAAAGTACAACCTCCTGTTACATACACAAAACAAAGTACAACCTCCTGTTGTCTACACAAAACAAAGTACAACCTCCTGTTGTCTACACAAAACAAAGTACAACCTCCTGTTACATACACAAAACAAAGTACAACCTCCTGTTGTCTACACAAAACAAAGTACAACCTCCTGTTGTCTACACAAAACAAAGTACAACCTCCTGTTGTATACACAAAACAAAGTACAACCTCCTGTTACATACACAAAACAAAGTACAACCTCCTGTTGTCTACACAAAACAAAGTACAACCTCCTGTTGTATACACAAAACAAAGTATAACCTCCTGTTGTCTACACAAAACAAAGTACAACCTCCTGTTGTATACACAAAGTACAACCTCCTGTTGTCTACACAAAACAAAGTACAACCTCCTGTTGTCTACACAAAACAAAGTACAACCTCCTGTTGTATACACAAAACAAAGTACAACCTCCTGTTACATACACAAAACAAAGTACAACCTCCTGTTGTATACACAAAACAAAGTACAACCTCCTGTTAAATACACAAAACAAAGTATAACCTCCTGTTGTCTACGCAAAACAAAGTACAACCTCCTGTTACATACACAAAACAAAGTACAACCTCCTGTTACATACACAAAACAAAGTACAACCTCCTGTTGTATACACAAAACAAAGTACAACCTCCTGTTGTATACACAAAACAAAGTACAACCTCCTGTTGTCTACACAAAACAAAGTACAACCTCCTGTTGTATACACAAAACAAAGTACAACCTCCTGTTGTATACACAAAACAAAGTACAACCTCCTGTTGTCTACACAAAACAAAGTACAACCTCCTGTTGTATACACAAAACAAAGTACAACCTCCTGTTGTATACACAAAACAAAGTACAACCTCCTGTTAAATACACAAAACAAAGTATAACCTCCTGTTGTCTACGCAAAACAAAGTACAACCTCCTGTTAAATACACAAAACAAAGTACAACCTCCTGTTACATACACAAAACAAAGTACAACCTCCTGTTGTATACACAAAACAAAGTACAACCTCCTGTTACATACACAAACAAAGTACAACCTCCTGTTGTATACACAAAACAAAGTACAACCTCCTGTTGTCTACACAAAACAAAGTACAACCTCCTGTTGTATACACAAAGTACAACCTCCTGTTGTATACACAAAACAAAGTACAACCTCCTGTTGTATACACAAAACAAAGTACAACCTCCTGTTGTATACACAAAGTACAACCACCTGTTGTATACACAAAACAAAGTACAACCTCCTGTTGTCTACACAAAACAAAGTACAACCTCCTGTTGTATACACAAAACAAAGTACAACTTCCTGTTACATACACAAAACAAAGTACAACCTCCTGTTGTCTACACAAAACAAAGTACAACCTCCTGTTGTCTACACAAAACAAAGTACAACCTCCTGTTGTCTACACAAAACAAAGTACAACCTCCTGTTGTCTACACAAAACAAAGTACAACCTCCTGTTGTCTACACAAAACAAAGTACAACCTCCTGTTACATACACAAAACAAAGTACAACCTCCTGTTGTATACACAAACAAAGTACAACCTCCTGTTGTATACACAAAGTACAACCTCCTGTTGTCTACACAAAACAAAGTACAACCTCCTGTTGTATACACAAAACAAAGTACAACCTCCTGTTGTATACACAAAGTACAACCTCCTGTTGTATACACAAAGTACAACCTCCTGTTACATACACAAAACAAAGTACAACCTCCTGTTACATACACAAAACAAAGTACAACCTCCTGTTGTATACACAAAACAAAGTACAACCTCCTGTTGTATACACAAAACAAAGTACAACCTCCTGTTACATACACAAAACAAAGTACAACCTCCTGTTGTCTACACAAAACAAAGTACAACCTCCTGTTGTATACACAAAGTACAACCTCCTGTTGTATACACAAAACAAAGTACAACCTCCTGTTGTATACACAAAACAAAGTACATACACAATCAAAATAAAGATTTTCTCCCTAGAGGTTACAACACTAACATTGCCGTAGGGTTATATAAGACTAGTTTTGAAATCAAGACTTCACATATATTTACAAGAAGAAGTGACTGGAATCAATTCCAGTCTCATAATCAAAAATTAAATTCACATAATTGACCATTCATTGATTACCTATAACCTGTTGCATGCAGTTCATTGTACTGCAAAATAGTTTCTTACCTCTTACATTGAGAATATTGTAAGTTTTTCAAAATTAATATCTATAACATATTTGAATACTTTACCAGTATTCTGAATTTAATTAACACTACTGATAGAAAGTTGCTAGCTTTAAACTACCTCTAAAGGAACAAGGTACATGTATATAACAAATTACACTCAGAGTCATTATTGCATTCTAAAGATTAATTGTCTTTGCAATTTTTGCATCAATTAATTGGTCTCATTTCCTTTCACAAAATATCTCTAATTATTGGCACATCGCACCTGACAAGATTAGGGACACAAAAATTATCTCACAGCACAGGTTTTATTTGTCAATACAGAGATACAATATAAAAATGTCTCTTGTATTAATTGTGACCTTAATACTTCGTCAATGAAGCTACTCCAAGAGTCCCTGAATCAAGTGTGATTTTACTCGACTATTGGAGTGAGGCGGGGTGTACTTCATTTTCTATGTATATCTAAACAATCTAAGTTGAAATTGTGTAAAACCATTTAATAAGGAAAGAATACAAAAATACTTGTATCTGAATGCCAGCAATTCTCAAATGTTTCAAAAAAATCATCCCAAATTCTAAATCTGACACTGACAGACAAAAAAGTTCAGGATTTTAATTTCCACTGAATGTTGTGTTTCAACCATAACTGAAAGATGGTCATGATCTAACATCCTCAAAACACGAGAATGCTGTTTAGAAAAATAATCGTAAAAATAGTAATGATGACCTTGGCATTGATCTGTTAAATCTGAAACTCAAACTCATTTGAAATATTATGGTCCTCAAATAGGTATGCAAAGTTTGATTAAAATCCCTTAAAAAATTAATTAGAGCAATTCTGGTCATTACTTGTGTATTTCATCCTCGATACTCCAGGGGTTACGATCAGTTTCACTCCCTTCGCCCCTGGAACACGGCAAAATTGAAGGCACAAGCAAAGTAGTTCGGTTCCAGGTGAAAAAACCTGACCAATCACAAGCTGATATGCTCCTTTTGAAGACCATAGAGGAGTGACACCCAACTTCAAAGCCATTACAATATACTGTTATGCCACCCTGAGATTCCTTTGCTGTACATCAAAGTTGTCTTTTCATCTTGTCCATGAGGTGACGCACATGGAATCTTCATTTTTGTCATGACATGTTGTACGGTGCAGAGAATGAAAGTGATCGTAACCCCTGGTGTATCAAGGATGACATATTTTGACATCCCTTGATGTGTCTGACTTGCAGTTGATATGGGATAATCAAGAGTATCTAACTGTAATTACTGAAGTCAGATCAACCCAGACTTACAATTGTTTCATAACATTCCTCACTGTCAGAGCCTTCCTCCTCGTCTTCATCATCAGACCCATGTGATAGTGGCCTCCTTGTGGAGGCTCCGCCCACTGCTCCAGAGGTGTCCAAGGATACTGTCTTCTTGTTTGTAATTTTTCTGATAAAGACACAAGAAATTCATCACTCATATAATAACCTAAAAATGTTTTAATCAATCTAGAATTTTCATTCATTACATATATGTTGGAGACATAACATTGGATATTTAGGATTAGATCAGTTTGGTATAGATATGATTTGAGAAAATAAATATCCTCGTGAAGCAGATTCTGGATACTAATATTTCAGAGCATCTCTCAGATGCTTGATTTAATCGAAACTTCCTGATCTCTTTATATTTAATTTTTTTTTATTTAATATTTATAATTTTCTATAGATATTTTTCAATTAGTTTTGACAAACATACCACCTTGGTCTTAAAGCACCAAAATAGTACTGTACATGCATGATTGCTTTGAAAATACTACATATACTGTATTCAAAGGTATCTCAATGCCACTTACCTGTAGAGTGTTCTAGCTGTACACTGAGTTTATGGTTTGTTTGGTCAGTTAAGAATTATTACACTGCAGATTTCCAACAGTTTGACAATAAATCCAGTAACCATTTTAACCTTATACACAGTATATATACATGTGGTGGTAGTGTGAAGCTGAACTGGGCTAAGTGACTGAGTGAAGTTTCATTCAATGAAAAGTGTCTGCTTAGACATTTGCCCATACCTGTACATTCAATATACCTACTTTTTCACTCCATGCTCATCTTCCAATTCTTCTTGTTGTTTCCGAGCTTGCTGTAGAATTTTTCTGGATAATTTATCATCAACAAACTAAAAATAAATACAGAAACAAAGTGTAAATATTAAACTTGTAATCCAATCAATTAATTATACATCAGAATATTTCACAGATATAAAACACTGACGACTCAATGAGTTCAAGGCCTAAAATAATTAGGTTACATCAAATGCACATACAGTCTAAACAGCTTGGTACTAAAACCATGCCCAGTATCACAAACAAAACTAATTTGGTGTAAATAAATTTCTTATACATGTACCACTCGACCTGTAGCCAATTTACGTCATCACTTCACAGTAATGTTTACATCCATACAAATTAAAAAATGTTGTATATATGAATATACATGAAGATTACTTAAAAGGGACTCTAGGCCCTGCTACATCTCATATTTCCTCTAGCTCTTACGACAGGTGTTAGACATTTTTGTTGATAAATGTCTGGTATCTATATATGACTGTCAACATGTATAATGTCTGTTGTAGGGTAACAATGGACTATGTACTATATATGGTTTATTTCCAGTACATTTTCATGTCTGTGCTCCCTTTTGAAGCAAGAGTATCAATGAAATTGATGAATACTCCCCTGAACAACTTTAATTTTTCATTTAAAATTTTAACAGATGGCGACAATTCTGTAATTAAGGGGTTGTAGGCCCTGAACAAAGGGCTGTAACTCTGTAATTAAAGGGGGTTGAGGGCCCTGTTTTTTTTATAAATACTGCACATCCCCTTAGTTTGACCAGTGTATACACCAAGTTTCAGGATCCTTGCTTAACTGAGGGCAAAATTTATGATCCGGACACAAAAGGTATATGTACATTTTGCCTACTTACGTATAATAATATTTGACTGTATAATCAAATCTATATAGCCAGATTTGCCGGGTGCTTCAGTACCAGTCTAATACGGTACACCGGACAGAATGATTCCGTACATAAAATATCACGGATTTGAATACAATAAATATCTTCCATCGAAGCTTTCTACTACCTGAAAGATTACAAGATTTGAGAAGTAGCACCGTAATGGTAAAACGATACCACAGATACAAAACCCCATCCCGTGAGGAAATGTCAACCGTCCATACTTTACCTCGTCGTCATCTTCTTTCCTCGTCCGAACTTTTATTCGGCCTGTCTGTCTGATTGATTTATCATCTAATATCTGATCTGCTAATGACTGACCTCTGTCTCCCTCTTCGCCTGGGGCCTTCGACACGCGAACTTTCTTAGCTTTACCCATCACCTTATACAAGCTTTACAGCACACGTGTTTGTTTCATTGCTCAATATTTTACCATACACGCAAAAGAGTTCCATTCAGTGGTGGGGAGCATTCATTTATCATATTTATCAACAAGTTTTTGCGTCGTGTACAAAATATAATATGTATTTCTATTTTTCGAATAAGACAGATACGTTTTGTTTTTTTAACATAAGGTGTATATCTATTTATGTAAAAATGTTATAGAAATTGCAAATGCAATCATGTTCATATTCAGAAACTCTATTGTGATAATGTGAGAAGTTTGTTGGAGTTCGGACTTAATCGTGTAGGTCTATTTTTGGAAATTCGTACACACGAGCGTTTTCTGCAGTGGTAAGAAATGGCATCCAAAGAAAAGTTGTTAATGCTCTTAAAATTTCCATTTTACATGATATACTTCTATCTAGAAGCTTTGTTGAGGACGATTTTTCTTCGACCATCACCCAAAGATGTGAGAGGAGAAGTTGTGTTAGTGACGGGGGCGGGGCATGGAATTGGACGGGAAATCGCCCTGGAGTTTGGCCGGATGGGCTGTAGAGTTGTTTTGTGGGATGTCAATAAGGTGATTTTCTACTGAAATACCTTGATATTTGTTTTTCATTACACAGGGAAATAACGGTGCGATGATTGACCCCAAAACACACACACAAAAATACCTCTAAACACCTAAAACCACTTAACAAACATCCACAAGCACCTTGCCCAAGAACACTAAATAAGAACGAGTCATATATTAGAACTAACAAATATGGCACTTTATTTATGTTTAATGAACTTTCGATTGTATATCTGTTTAAAGATGAATTGGCCCCCAGTAATATTGTTGTTTTACTAGGATGTGTTTTTGTTACTTAGGATTGTTACTAGGATGTGTTTTTGTTACTAGGGCATGTTTTTGTTACTTAGGATTGTTACTAGGACGTGTTTTTGTTACTAGCATTGTTACTAGGATATGTTTTTGTTACTAGGACATGTTTTTGTTACTAGGACGTGTTTTTGTTACTAGGACATGTTTTTGTTACTAGCATTGTTACTATGACATGTTTTTGTTACAAGGACGTGTTTTTGTTACTAGGACGTGTTTTTGTTACTAGGACATGTTTTTGTTACTAGGACGTGTTTTTGTTACTAGCATTGTTACTAGGATATGTTTTTGTTACTAGGACATGTTTTTGTTACTAGGACGTGTTTTTGTTACTAGCATTGTTACTAGGACATGTTTTTGTTACAAGGACGTGTTTTTGTTACTAGGACGTGTTTTTGTACCTCTCTTGCCTTATCTGCCTTAACAGTAGTTTCTGTAATTTTTCTGACACAACATTATATTTACTACTGAAATAAGTTCTTGATGATTTCCTGATTTTTTTTTTACCAAAAATCAATTTCAAGATTATTCAATTCTTTGATTAAAATTTAATTTTGTAATTTCATTAAGCAATAGTATATCGTAGTTGTGCTTTGTACCATTAACTCGCTGTGATAACTATTATGTTGATTCCCTGTATATTACATTATGTATGTAGTGTTGAATTTTATATCAATATTCCTTCTGTGACTTTTGTTCTCTGTATAATATTATTTATGTGTTTGCTGTAATAATAGATTTTCTAAGCTAACAATACATGTTTCATTGTATAGGACAGAAATAAGACTTCTTGTATCCTGAAATGGCTTGACAATTTACCCTAAAACACCTAAAAATATAGCTACATAGTAATTTGACAAGTGTAGCTCGAAACAACTTGGCAGGTGTAAAAACATAGTAATTTGGCAGGTGTAGCTACATAGTAATTTGACAAGTGTAGCGAAGCAGGTGTAGCTACACAGTAGTTTGACAAGTATAACTACATAATAATTTGACAGGTGTAGCTATATAGTGATTTGGCAGGTGTAGCTAGGCAAGTGTAGCTATATAGTAATTTGACAAGTGTAGCTATATAGTGATTTGGCAGGTGTAGCTATATAGTGATTTGGCAGGTGTAGCTAGGCAAGTGTAGCTATATAGTGATTTGGCAGGTGTAGCTAGGCAAGTGTAGCTACATAATAATTTGACAGGTGTAGCTAGGCAAGTGTAGCTATATAGTGATTTGGCAGGTGTAGCTAGTTAAGTGTAGCTAAATAGTAATTTGACAAGTGTAGCTATATAGTGATTTGGCAGGTGTAGCTAGGCAAGTGTAGCTATATAGTGATTTGGCAGGTGTAGCTATATAGTGATTTGGCAGGTGTAGCTAGGCAAGTGTAGCTAGGCAAGTGTAGCTATACAGTGATTTGGTAGGTGTAGCTAGGCAAATGTAGCTATATAGTAATTTGACAAGTGTAGCTATATAGTGATTTGGCAGGTGTAGCTAGGCAAGTGTAGCTATATAGTGATTTGGCAGGTGTAGCTAGGCAAGTGTAGCTACATAATAATTTGACAAGTGTAGCTATATAGTGATTTGGCAGGTGTAGCTAGGCAAGTGTAGCTATATAGTAATTTGACAAGTGTAGCTATATAGTGATTTGGCAGGTGTAGCTATATAGTGATTTGGCAGGTGTAGCTAGGCAAGTGTAGCTATATAGTGATTTGGCAGGTGTAGCTAGGCAAGTGTAGCTACATAATAATTTGACAGGTGTAGCTAGGCAAGTGTAGCTATATAGTGATTTGGCAGGTGTAGCTAGTTAAGTGTAGCTAAATAGTAATTTGACAAGTGTAGCTATATAGTGATTTGGCAGGTGTAGCTAGGCAAGTGTAGCTATATAGTGATTTGGCAGGTGTAGCTATATAGTGATTTGGCAGGTGTAGCTAGGCAAGTGTAGCTAGGCAAGTGTAGCTATACAGTGATTTGGTAGGTGTAGCTAGGCAAATGTAGCTATATAGTAATTTGACAAGTGTAGCTATATAGTGATTTGGCAGGTGTAGCTAGGCAAGTGTAGCTATATAGTGATTTGGCAGGTGTAGCTAGGCAAGTGTAGCTACATAATAATTTGACAAGTGTAGCTACATAGTGATTTGGCAGGTGTAGCTACACAGTAATTTGGCAGGTGTAGCTACACAGTAATTTGACAAGTGTAGCTACACAGTAATTTGGCAGGTGTAGCTACACAGTAATTTGACAGGTGTAGCTAGGCAGGTGTAGCTATATAGTAATTTGACAAGTGTAGCTAGGCAGGTGTAACTACACAGTAATTTGACAGGTGTAACTACATAGTAATTTGACAGGTATAGCTACATAGTTATTTTGGCAGGTGTAGCTACACAGTAATTTGACAGGTATAGCTACATAGTAATTTGGCAGGTGTAGCTACATAATTATTCGGCAGGTGTTGCTACATAGTAATTTGGCAGGTGTAGCCAGGCAGATGTAGCAACATAGTAATTTGGCAGGTGTAGCTACACAGTAAATTGGCAGGCGTAGCTACATAATTATTTCGCAGGTGTAACTACACAGTAATTTGGCAGGTGTAGCCAGGCAGGTGTAGCAACATAGTAATTTGGCAGGTGTAGCTACACAGTAATTTGGCAGGCGTAGCTACATAATTATTTCGCAGGAGTAACTACACAGTAATTTGGCAAAGTAATTTGGTAGGTGTAGCTACACAGTAGTTTGACAGGTGTAGCTAGGCAGGTGTAGCTATACATTAATTTGACAAGTATAGCTACACAGTAGTTTGACAGGTGTAGCTACACAGTAATTTGGCAGGTGTAGCTACATAGCAATTTGGCAGGTGTAGCTACATAGTAGTTTGACAGGTGTAGCTAGGCAGGTGTAGGTATACAGTAATTTGACAAGTATAGCTACACAGTAGTTTGACAGGTGTAGCTACACAGTAATTTGGCAGGTGTAGCTACACAGCAGTTTGGCAGGTGTAGCTACATAGCAATTTGGCAAGTGTAGCTACATAGCGATTTGGCAGGTGTAGCTACACAGTAATTTGGCAGGTGTAGCTACACAGCAATTTGGCAGGTGTAGCTACACAGTAATTTGGCAGGTGTAGCTACACAGCAATTTGGCAGGTGTAGCTACACAGTAATTTGGCAGGTGTAGCTACACAGCAATTTGGCAGGTGTAGCTACACAGTAATTTGGCAGGTGTAGCTACATAGTTAATTTGGCAGGTGTAGCTACATAGTAATTTGGCAGGTGTAGCTACACAGTAGTTTGGCAGGTGTAGCTACACAGTAATTTGGCAGGTGTAGCTACATAGCAATTTGGCAGGTGTAGCTACACAGTAGTTTGACAGGTGTAGCTACACAGTAATTTGGCAGGTGTAGCTACACAGTAGTTTGGCAGGTGTAGCTACATAGCAATTTGGCAAGTGTAGCTACACAGCAATTTGGCAGGTGTAGCTACACAGCAATTTGGCAGGTGTAGCTACACAGCAATTTGGCAGGTGTAGCTACACAGCAATTTGGCAGGTGTAGCTACACAGTAATTTGGCAGGTGTAGCTACACAGTAATTTGGCAGGTGTAGCTACACAGTAATTTGGCAGGTGTAGCTACATAGTTAATTTGGCAGGTGTAGCTACACAGTAATTTGGCAGGTGTAGCTACACAGTAGTTTGGCAGGTGTAGCTACACAGCAATTTGGCAGGTGTAGCTACACAGCAATTCGGCAGGTGTAGCTACACAGTAATTTGGCAGGTGTAGCTACACAGTAATTTGGCAGGTGTAGCTACACAGTAATTTGGCAGGTGTAGCTACATAGCAATTTGGCAGGTGTAGCTACATAGTTAATTTGGCAGGTGTAGCTACATAGTGATTTGGCAGGTGTAGCTACACAGTAATTTGGCAGGTGTAGCTACACAGTAATTTGGCAGGTGTAGCTACATAGTTAATTTGGCAGGTGTAGCTACATAGTAATTTGGCAGGTGTAGCTACACAGTAGTTTGGCAGGTGTAGCTACACAGTAATTTGGCAGGTGTAGCTACATAGCAATTTGGCAGGTGTAGCTACATAGTTAATTTGCCAGGTGTAGCTACATAGTGATTTGGCAGGTGTAGCTACACAGTAATTTGGCAGGTGTAGCTACACAGTAATTTGGCAGGTGTAGCTACACAGTAATTTGGCAGGTGTAGCTACATAGTTAATTTGGCAGGTGTAGCTACATAGTAATTTGGCAGGTGTAGCTACACAGTAGTTTGGCAGGTGTAGCTACACAGTAATTTGGCAGGTGTAGCTACATAGCAATTTGGCAGGTGTAGCCAGGCAAGTGTAGCTGCGTAATATCATTTACCTCACACTGACATTTTCAACATAAATCACATTTTCCCTTGTGTTGGTGAAATGTAAGGCTCTTTTTCAAAATAAAGTAAAATAGAAATAATCTTTTTTAGATCCAGCAGAGAGAGAAAGGATATATAAAAATATGGATTGGAATTTCTAAACAAATTATTCAGAAAATGTGAAAGATATATTTTTTTTCACAACTTATTTTTGGTTGGAAGATAAACATCAAAACAAAATCACATGCCTTTTGAAATTTAATGTTTGTTGATTCTATGTGATCTTTCTTTGTCCTAAAGAGTTTGCATTCTTATATGTTTGCTAAACCAGCAATCAACGTTTGTATTGACAGAGTGGAAATGACTCTGTGGCTGCCGAGATAAAAGCTGCAGGAGGTGAAGCCCATCCATTTGTCTGTGACCTCTGTAAAACTGAAGACATTAAGACAGTATCGGCTCAGGTGAAAAAGAACATTGGAGATGTTGACATCCTTGTAAACAATGCTGGAATTTTGTATGGAGGAGAAATGCTGAAAATGAGAGAGGAGCACATCCGGCGGACATTTGAAGTCAACACTCTGTCACATTTCTGGGTAACTAACTCTTGTACCATGGTATACTTTTTTATATGATAAATATATCTCCAATGTTTTGAACACAAAAGTTTTAGTATTTCTTAGTCTATCAAATGATATCAGCATCACATGTTGTGTAAGGAACATCAATCTCATGAGATTTTACAGAGTTATTGCCCTTCAGTTGTTATAACATTCTAACATGTAGTGTTGCTTAATTTTTTGCTCACCTGGCTGGAACATTACACTAAAACATTTAAATGACTTCTTCTTGTGAACTGAACGGCCAAGAGGCATGATATTTGGCTGGTATTTATTTATCATATAAGTGCTTCAGGCCCATTGGACCTCTTGTTATTTTTATCCTTTTGTGAATCTGGGTTGTACATACAGTGACAAGTTATGTGTTTACCAGTAATATTTTTGATACCTTGTATTTTACAGTGTTATCATCATTTCATAATCCGGGCATTACATTTGTGAAAACATTAGATGACCATTCCATCACTCTCCATTTCTAAAGTGTTATTAACTTGATAGGATTTCTCGATGTCATTAAAGTTTAACATAGGTGTTCTATTTTGACAAAAATATAAACAGAAAATTGAAGTCATTCTTAATATTAACAGAATATTCATAGATATGCTCGACATTAATGTTTAGATATTGCAAGAATTTAAAAGAAGGTTTCATGCAGTGACGAGGGATGTCCTGCCATTCAGTTGTTCATTGTTTCTAACAATTTCAATCAGCCATACATAATATAGGCAATATTATATTTTTTGATAGTGGATATGATAAGGTCCTGATGCCTTTCGGGGCACTCTTCCTACACATTGAGTTATACCATTGATCAACGAAGGAATTATGAACCAGCAGTATCTCAATGAGACTTTTTCTGAATATTGAGTTAATTTTGAGTTAGTCATTTTGTGTTACTCAATATTTGTCTTTTTCTTTTTTAGGTCATCTGACCCGAAGGGTCATGTTGACCTATAGCTATTGTGCTTCATTTGTTATCGTCCACTGTCAGCCATGCACTGTGCTGTCCTCAGCTGCATGCTATGTGTAAACTTTTGACATTTTCAACTTCTTTCCAAGTTCCACTAGTGGGGTTGAGCTCGCATGAAATGATCCTGAGATGGTCCTGACCAAGTGTTGTTATTTTTAAGGTCGCTCTGAAATCCAAGATGGCCACCATGGCTACCATCTTGAAAAACATATTTTAAACTTCTGCTCCAGTTCTACTGATGTCATTGAGCTAAAATTGGTGGAAATATTAAGGAAAGGTAGCCAACAAGGTGTCGTTATTTTTTTTATTTCATTCAGAGTAGGAAAAGTAACCCTTCTTCCTGCTTAAAGTTTTTGTAGTCAGATGACTGTTAAGGCCTGTGGGCCTCTTGTTTATATTTCCCATGTATAAGGTATTTATTACATGTAAATGTTTTATGATCACTTTGTTTTATTGTTTCCCACTTTTGTTTAGACCACCAAAGAGTTTTTGCCAGCCATGATTAAGAAAAAGAAAGGCCACATTGTTACAATTTCTTCAATGTCCGCAAAGTCTGGTACTGCCCTACTGGTGGATTACAGGTAATAGATGTAAAAAAAAAACTCATTATCTTGTCGTATTTAATCAGAGAAATAAATCCATGAATACGACACATTTGTAGTGTTATTTCTTTATCTTAGGCTGTTTATTTTAAATGTTGATCTTTTTGAGACATAGTAAATAAAAATGTAAATGATATTACAACAGACTAGATAATGCTTACAGCAATTCTACTAGGAATCCATCCTAAGAAAACTGCCAATATTACTGAATCTACCTGACCGGATGTTGGATCGTGTTTTCTTTGTAAATAAGGTTTAGATATTTATTTTCTGTTAACTGCAAAATTCATAAAACATAATGCACAAAAAATTAAATTCTTGCATGATTGTACAAAAGACAAACAAGGGAATGGCAATTTTCTATACAAATACATGATAAGACACATTAGAGCTGTCCTTGTAGGATTTGTCATTGATTACATTAGTGTCTGAAGTTTGAAACTTAGGAGGCAACTCAAGAAAATCAACATTGATTGAAAAAATGTCGAAATATAGATGAAGAGCAAAGATGTTCTTTCCCCATAATTCAGTACAGGTTTTGCTGATATTCTTATGTCTGATAAAAAATTTTCACAAAAACATGAGGTACATAAGTATATTCAGTTACACTATAAGAATGAATCAACACCAGCAAGTCAGTTCTGACACTAGCACCATACAAAACGCTTTCAACATTAAGTAGCTATAGTTGTTTCATACTCTGTGTCACTTATAGGACTGTAACTGCTATTTCAGCTCCTCTAAGTATGCTGCCTTCGGATTTGCAGAGGCTATGGAGGAAGAGATGGACAGACTTGGCCACAGCTATATCAAGTTTACCACTGTTTGTCCAATGTTTGTAAGCAGTGGATTAGTGAAAGCTACTACCGATGTGTAAGTAATATATGATGTTCTCATCGAAGGTCATGACTTTATATATTGTAAATCAAGTGTGGTGCTTGGAAAATGATTCCTGATAAGTCTAGCCAAATGAATCCAACTGAAGACATTAGTCTTGATGTTTGGAAAATGCAAATTTCTGAATATTTTGGTTTTTTTTCTCTTGTAAATAAAGGCCTTATTTTACAGACATTTTCTTCTGTTTCAGAGATGAGCCATTGTTGACCCCAAAACGAGTTGCCTTGGCAACTGTAAATGGGACATTGTTGAACAGAGCAGTGGTTATGATTCCAGAAACTTTGGCCTTCTCGCTTCGCATAGCAGCGTAAGTTTGCGTAATCAACCTTGTTGATGGTTGCTGAATGATAATAATGATTTTTTTAAAAAATGATTTATGACACATACAGGTAAACTTTAAAATGTGTTTTTTTACCAAAGTGTACAAATATCACTGATACAAACCTCATTTATATACATCACTCTTTATGGAAGTCCACATTTATGTGCTTTCACACAAGCAGTTGAAAAGGTTAGAAAAGGTTGAATATGCTAGAAAAACGCATGGTACAGACCTGGACTGAGGTTTGACTGTAGAATATTTGGAACATGCAGTTTGAGGGGTCCTGCAGTACCTGTCCGAAATTAGCTTCCTGAACATCGTTAGCTTTCAGATTTCAGCATAAAAAGTAGGGTCAGTGCACTCACATAATTCTGGGGGCATTGTGCTATAAAATCTGAGTAAAATGGATGGTATCCTAATTTTAGTTAATTGATTGATGCTTGACAGGAAATTCCGAAACTGTACATATTAAGCTTTGCATACATCTGGTCCAACATCTGGTAGAAGTGCGTTGGTGTATAGAAGAATAATTCCAGACAACCTTAATTTTTTCAACCGTGTTATGCGAATGAAGCCTATTTGAACAAAATTGAACTCTCTATTTCACAAATATGCAAATGTATATGTATGCTTCATGGAATGAAGGGTGCTGAGAAGTAAGGAATATGTGCCTCTAGAGTTTGTCATCATTATATAAAGATACATACTCATTGAAGATTAGTGAATCTATTGAATAATGATAATATATTTCTGTAATTGACAAAGTAGAATTAACAAATTTTGTAATTCTGTTGTAGATGGTTTCCACGGAAACTCAATTTGTGGCTGAAGAAAGCGGGAAATCTAGGAATTCAGCCTCAGTATAATTCATCAAAACATGACTAAAGGATACTTTGTGATAAAGTAGACGAATGTGTGACGTGTCAACACAGAGTACATTTTGGTTGTTCAATTTGTCTACATACATATCTTTCTAGAGTGATATAAATTATTTTTGATGAATAATAAGTCAATGTTGCCAACCTCTTGTCATCTAGTGTCTATTCATAGCACTTCATAATCAAGGATGATGCTGTGAATGAAAGGATCATCAAAGAGCATGGCCTTATAAACCAATTATATTGTATCGTTATCACATTTCTATATTTGAATATCATTTTAACTTAATCAGGTGCAAAAATTAATTTTGATTTTTTTAAAAATTACTTATGAAAATTAAAAAAAGTATCAAATAACTATAGAACTTGTGATTGAGCAGATTATGATAAAACCGGTATCAGGTTGACTTGATGAAACCCAGTGTAGCTGGTGATACTTAGATTCCATAACATTATTGAAATCGATGAGGAAGTAATATATTCCATGTGTCATGTGTAACATTTGTGTACATGTGTAACATTTGTGTACATGTGTAACATTTGTGTACATGTGTAACACATGTGTAAGATTTGTGTATATGTGTAAGATTTGTGTACATGTGTAACACATGTGTAAGATTTGTGTACATGTGTAAGATTTGTGTACATGTGTACCATTTGTGTACATGTGTCATGTGTAACATTTGTGTACATGTGTAAGATTTGTGTACATGTGTAACATTTGTGTACATGTGTAACACATGTGTAAGATTTGTGTATATGTGTAAGATTTGTGTACATGTGTAACACATGTGTAAGATTTGTGTACATGTGTAAGATTTGTGTACATGTGTAACATTTGTGTACATGTGTAACACATGTGTAAAATTTGTGTATATGTGTAAGATTTGTTTACATGTGTAACACATGTGTAAGATTTGTGTACATGTGTAACATTTGTGTACATGTGTAAGATTTGTGTACATGTGTAACACATGTGTAAGATTTGTAAGATTTGTGTACATGTGTAACACATGTGTAAGATTTGTGTACATGTGTAACACATGTGTAAGATTTGTGTACATCTGTAACATTTGTGTACATGTATACCATTTCACATACAGAATATTTTGCAGAATTGATTTGAGGAATTTGTTTCAGTACCTGTCATGTACTTACATAAAATGCTAGATTACGTTTATGTTACACATCCGTCTGTAGGCTGGAATTCAATTCATGGAAGAGCTCTTCGATATGAAATAGAGGTTGTGTAGTAGTTGCCTCCCTTAGTCCCCAATCTGGATCTTCACCTCATTGTCTTAACTAACCATTGATGAGGTTTGGTAGTGGAGTTTGGTTGGTTACATGGGTGTGGTCGATAAAATATTGATATAGATGTATTAAATCACGGACTTATATACGCTGTGTATATAAGTCCGTGATTAAATAAATGATTTAATGCATACACGTATGTCTTTGGTTGAATACAGAATGATTTACAAATGAAGTGTATATTTTGAAGTGTTATGGTAATGTTTTACTGTTAAGGAGCCTGATATTAAATGCTTGCCACAAATGCCGCAGATGCGAAGATTTTATCGATCAATTGTTTTAGTGTAAGTTCCAGTTACCACTGGGTTTTATGTATAACGTTTAAATTCTCCAGGCATGTACCGTTCCCTTGTCAAACGTTGTTGGGGGTGTAGAATATGCATGCGCATCTACATGTACGTATGGCTTGTATCATTTCCCTGTAGTTTCATTTAATTCAGTTCACAACCGGCGAGGGTAAAGGTAGCAATTTGGAAAAGATTTTGTCCAATCAATGTGTTTTTTGGTAACTATGACAACCAAAGGGAAGGCAAGGTTTTTGATATAGTTCCAATTTATTTGCCATCCAATAAACAAGTTTTAAGCTCAACGGACAATACCTCAATTTTGACCAATCAAGAGCCTCCATTACGTATCCGTGACAACAATTCTGGAGACAAATGGTAGTCATTGATAAGTGAAATCAACCAACTTAGAGTGATATTAATCTATAGCCTTGTGAGTTATTGGACATAGCACAGATACATATGAAATGTGACCCGGTTACCAAGGCAACTAAAATTATCGCCAAAAAATGCAAGCACACTTACAGAATGCCCATAACATTTCTATGGTTTCATTGAAATTGGTATCCAACTCACATTGGATGAATTACAATTTAAATTTCGACCAAACAGAAGCCACCATCATGTTTTCTTAGTCCATAGTAAAGGTTCTGGAAATACCTGACACTTCAAGTTACACCATTTGGTTGAGTTTTATTAAAATTAATCTAAGGACCTATGAGTCGAGCCATGACCCTTGCACAAATATACGTGTATGTAGTGAGTGACTTGGTTACCACGGCAACCTAAGTTTCAGCAGAAAGGAGGAGAGACGTGACTTCATCCATGAAATCTATAAATGACCCCTAATATTCCTGTGTAGTCTCATTGAAATTGTTTCACAAGTTTACGAGGAGCTGTCCGCAAAAAACGTTTTGCACAAAAACCCATGTTTGGTGAACTGGTAAACATGTCAACAAAAATTCTATTGAAAAAATCGTGCATACGCATCCACACACAATCCGTCGTATTTCAATGTAGTTCATTGAAGCCCGTTCACAAGGAGGAGTTGATAACTATACTGAAACGTATTTAGTGTAAAAAAAATCGAAATCAAAGAAGAAATATATTGAGGACGAAATCATAAAAATGATCGCGTTTCTTTTTGACAATATCTTTGTCGGGTTTTCTGGTAAGATCTTTAACAGACAATTGGTACACTGATGGAAACCACCTGCCCCTCTGTTGGCGGACTTTTTTGTTTTTATACGATGTTGAATTTATCGAAGAGCCTACCAAAGCAGGTCCTGACAACGACCTTGTTGCCGTTTAATTTCTCTTTCAAATATATTGATGACGTCATGTCTTTATACAACAAGAAATGTATTGACCACGTCTATCATATACAGCGACTAGAATTGGAAATCAAACTCTTCTACATCAGCCGGTTATCTCGATCCCTTCCAACAACGAAACCAACATTAACAACTTTCCACCAAATTGTATGAAAAGCATGATGATTTCAATTTCCCTATCGTGAATTTTCCATTCTGAATAGCAAGAAGCTTGCGCACGCAACAAATGGTGTTTACATGCCCCAGTGGATTCGATACCCAAGGACCTGTTCCCACAGTTTTCGTTCAAGGAGTCGTCAGTTAAATGACAAACTCGTAACACAGGGTTTCAAAAGATTCAGGTTGATACAAAATATGGGGAAGTGTTACGGTCGTCATAGTGATCTCATTGAGAAATATTCCATTTCTTTCTGCGATATGACGCTGTCTGACAGTGGTGTAGCAACAATGTATACTTAAGCATACACTCGAAAGGGAGATTATTGTTAATAAAAATCACTGTTTTTTAATTTTTTTTAATGAAATGTGTTGGTGTAAATGGAAAAGATGAAATCCGACAGCTTCAGGGGGACATACAACCCTTAAAACCTTCGCAATGCCACTGTTTGATGCTCGTTATCTTTATTGTGTGTTCCGTTCTTGTATACCTCATTCGCATTTCAGAACGTGACATTACTTACTTGGATCCACCCAGGTTTTACATGGCGGGTGTCGTCGATGAAACACAAGACTCTTACTCTTCTGGAACACCCTTCTTATTCTCCTTGTACTTTTTCAGGGGTGTCCGTGAAAATCTTTCTTTTGTTTCCATTTTGCCCGAACTCGACTGAATTTGAGTTTGGATTATGATTATGTTGGCATTTTCTTGTTTTTTTGTTTGTTTTGTTTTGTATTTTTTTGTTTTTTGTTTCTTGTATTTTCATGTCTACTAGGTGGGCTATTAATATACTGAAATTTCTTCTATTGTTCAATCACGAACGTTGAAAGCTAACAGAAGTAATTTGCAATATATTAAAACAGTTTAAGCAAAAATGAATTATTATTTGCCTTGGTGTTCCACTTGAATATATGTAAAGATGACAAATTCATATTAATATAATTATGTTTTATTAACATACAACTGACATATATCAGTCAGAATGCCATAGTACGGATGTACTTGTACATGTATATACATGTATGTACACATGCATAGCTAATTGTTTTCTATTAGGGAAAGATTTTTTTTCTGTTGTACAATGAAATCTGATCTTTTTCTTGATTGATTTAATGAGTATAAATCGCCCACTTCATACCGAAACCTGCAATAACAATCACACATTCTTAAATAACGGTCGATTATAGTACAATTTAAAAGTTTCCAATTACATTCTCGGATATTTCCGGAAATTATTCAAGTCTTTACGGAATCCGCCGAGAAGTTGCTGGATCTCGGAAATACTGATAATAATTGCTGATGTGGCAATGGATGGCAAAAATTAACAAAAGTTTAATTTAAAATGGTAATGGTAATATGATTGATTTTAAAAAAAGCTATAATTCATAACGCTATAAACCATTACTATAAACAAATGAATAAATTCGACTTGATCAAAATTGCGGGAGTCAACATGACTCGTAGTGCTAGCAACATCTGTCAGTCATTATATTGAAACAAGTGTAGAGACAGATGAAGCTAGCACCTGTGGAAGTCCGTTTATGACTAATTGTTCATTGGTCAGAATAGTCCTCTTCGGTTAACTTCTCAAATACAATATTGATACAAAGTGAATTATACAAAAAAAAAAAAAAAAAAAATAGATAAATTTAATACATGACAAAGCAACAAAATTAATACATCATATGAAATAGACGAAAAGAAGAATGTATATTCTTTAAACAGAATATTCGTCAAATATTTCCTTGAATATTGCAGATAAGTCAGATATTGTGAAAAGATTGGTGATAATTCCATGGATTCTGTTATCTTGATACACTTCGGGTCACACAAATACAAAAAAAGAGCATGCGGACTGTTAAATGCTCGAGTGAATACTTTGAACCAAGTATTATATATATAAATCATTGTCTCGACAAATTACCACGACTAACTCGTGTTGAGAATTTCGGCAGCAGTTCTATACATTAATACTACTTCAATATAAAAAAAAGCTTAAAGTATATAATGATTTTTTTTAAAAAATATGTAACCATATATCAAAACACAACGTCAGCTTTGAATCTAAAACGCGTTTTTTCTTGTTTTTTTTTTTTTAATCAGCAGTATCATGGTCTATTTTTGGCACCTTTCAATGTCTAATAGAATTTATTTCATGTATCCGACAGTCGAAGATGACTGAATTGATTGGTTTATTGCCCTTGGAATATTCTCGGACTTCAGCAAGGCTATATGTTGTACACTTTTACACTAAGAACAAGTAGCCTTGCGTTGGTCTCCATTTCAAACAATTCTTACATAAAATGTAATCCAATATCATAGTACATGATTTTACAATATGACTAGTTTCAATATGTCTGAAGTGAAGACGTATTCCTTTCATTCAGGAACCATTCAAAATTCAGTTTGTCATTTCCACGAAAAACGCCCATATTTCATAATACCTTCCCCCTCAAAAATAAAAGATTTGTCAGTATCTGGTGTTTAGTGCAAAATGATATAGTGACGTAGTAAACAAAATTATTATTTCCACTTTGTTATTGAAAAGGTCGTCTTCTAAATTCAATGTTAAAAGTCTCAAAAGACTAATCTCGGGAGTGTTCGCCATAGCAGTTGCAAATGGTTACGCTGTTTACCAATGATCACTTTGATACAATATTAAGGGATTTGCAAGGCATCAAAGTCTCGCATTGACGTAATGTACCAGGAAACAGTTTGTTTTTTTACAAGTTTAACAAACCTTCACTACTGCAAAGTGTAGATGACCCTATGTTCTTGATTTGAACAATGTGTTCTTCCAGTAAAATGTTCAGTCAACATTGAATACTCGATGTTGTCCAAACATATTCAAAAACTGCAGAAAAGACATAAGTACATTAATGACTAGTCTTAAAGAGTTTGATTATGCGAATATCACATATGTGTTTCAGTAGATGAAACTATGTCTGCTTCGGAAAATGAAACATTCGGTATGGAGCGGAAACTATATCAGTTTTCATTTCTGCAGCCAAACCGATTTCTTTTTTCTTTTTTGTTTTTTGTTTTCACCAAGTTTAATTGTTTTTGTTCCAATCAGCACGAATTATCCCGGCTACTACAATGGTTGTGCCGGTTTGAACGCCTGTTGGTCGGGCGGAAGTGACGGAATACCGTCATCATCTTTCTTGGTTCCGTGTTTAAGCATGCTCGTGAACTCGACGTAATCAAACATGCCGCCAGAGATTGGAGCCCCATGTAGGAGCTCGTCCACCATCTCCTCCGACCATCGGTCACCCATGGTCATCAGACACTCTCGCAAGTAGTCCTCGTTTATGTACCCTGAAAGAGAATTAAAATATCGGGTTTTAAGAAACGAGATTTGGAAATTTTTATGTATGCGATCATTGGCGAGAAAAAAACACTTTAAGAACAGTTTCATCAAAAACATGTATCATATGAAATGAAAATAAATTAAAGCTATGTATCGCAAGACTCAGAAAATTTACTTTTTGACATGTTTTAAAGTAAAAATTGGAGCACAAAATCAAACGGAGGCAGCTATTTTGTTGTCATTACATGACTTCCGGTCATTGCACGTGTCATGGTTTCACAAATTATTCCGGACTGGCATTGTCAGTGTAGAACGCTGCAGAGTACATTACACTAGTGGCATGTTCAAAATAGCATGGCTGATTCACCGGATAACAGGCAGATTATGTGATAAAATTCATTGAATAAAATTAGGAAACTACAGACTAACCTGCATTCCTGTCATCAAAACAAGCAAAAGCGTTCCGAATGACCTCCTCAGGGTCGGTCCCATTTAATTTCTCGCCAAAGAGTGTCAGAAACATCGTGAAGTTGATGGGACCTGGGGCCTCATTTACCATCTTCTCCAGATATTCGTTGGACGGGTCCTTCCCCAGTGACGTCATCAGGTCAAGGAGGTCATCCTTGTCGATGTAACCGTCTCGATTCTGGTCAATCATGTTGAATGCTTCCTGTAGAATAACAACTTGACAGAATTACTAAAAGGACACAAAATTGTCATTGGCAGTTGATGTAGAATATTATAGGGGAAGCGAGTAAAACATAAAATAGAACGTTTCTCTAAAATTAACTCATTCTCTATCTTTACTTTACAAATCATGAAATCATTCATGCGAGCTATCTGTATACCTATGAAGGAAACAGCAATTTTCAGATCGAAGTTTTGATGATTGTTATTATATCTCCTGCTCAAGTTCAACCATGGTACCGATTCAAAAAATAATTCATATCATCAAATAGCAATGCCTCGAATCACAGAGGCTGAAGGGATTCTTAATTCTATGCGTCTTTCTAACTGATTCACGTTGTAAGAGCTTTTGGAAAGAAAAACAAGTCAACGTAATTGTTTAGATATCCGCGTACATGATATATCTGCAACAGTTTTGATATATTCCTTATCGAGAGATATTGACCCCGAGTACTGACCTTGAACTCCTGTATCTGGGCCTGATTAAACATGGCGAACACATTTGATGTGTATCTCTGGGTCCTAGACCTGTGTTTCTTTTTAGACTTCATCGACGACATTTTGTCTTCTTGTTTCTTATCGACTGTGAAAAAAATATTAATAAAATTTAATAAAAACACGATCATGTTTGCTGAAGACAAATACATTTTAGTATTCCACATGCAACATCCGTGAGTAGATATTTTGAGTAGTTCGAAAGGTTCCGATCATGGTTCCGACATAAGACCCCTCGCGCGCTTACATCCGGGCCATCAAGAGTGATTAGTTGAAATAAATTGTTTCGAAATTGTTGTGAAATAAATTACAGGTTTTTCATGATTAAAACATATTTTGTTATCAGTATTAGATAAATGGATCAGAGACAAGCAACTTAAGAACTCTTCTCCATAAATGAAATTACAAATAACTAATATATTGCACGTGACACATATTTATACTATAAATATGAAGATAAGTAATTCGAACAATTGTAAGTTTAAATCATTTTGTCAAAAGGAGGAAAAGATGAGATGATAGGATAGAAAGAAAAGAAGAGAAAAAGAGATAGTATAGATTTTATATCAATTCTATATCAATACATATATATGGAGGGCTTTTATAGGGTTCCGACTGCCTGTTTACGATTTTATTTTGTGTTGGTCGCGGTCCAAAATGAATTGGCGGATATTCAGAAACATTCGGACTAATACTTCGAGATGCTCTATCCAACAATGATGAGATTTCTATCTATATTTTGTAAAATTGTCAATATACGTATTTTAATTTAAAAAGAATCATCTTTACGGACAATGTCCCTGATAACCACAAATTAAAGGTAAGTGGTAACTCGGGTAGTGGTCACAATTAGCTTCCAAACTGACCTCCGTGGTAGTTACATATTGTAGTGGGATGGAGGAAGATTCAATGTACAGTCAGTGACGAACGTTACAGTGATACAGAAGTACTGGGAAACAAATTTTCATCCACACCATGTTCAGTATAACGAATGCGTATTGTGTCATAAAACTAAATTATATTGATTCTTTCAAAATAACGAAACAATTGTTTCGTCTTAGTCTCAAGCACCGGAATACCCTGAGAAACGTTTAATGTTCAGACAGATGACCTTCATACCTTTTTAGGAATCGGTGATCGATAATTGATGTGTGTTATGAATATACTGGCTTTTCAATCACCAAAGAATGAATATTACAATACTATTACTAATTACACGATGTTTAGCAGAGATGAATCTAAAGAATAAATTTTGCGTTGTACTGAAAAGATTTCACATGTACATAACTTCTTGTTAAAAAAGGCAATATGAAATTATATCGGTACCAGAGACAGGGCAGTCGATGTGAAAATTATCACGGTACAAACCCAGGGCAGTTGATGTGAAAATTATCACGGTACCATAGACAGGTCAGTCGATGTGAAATTGTCTCGGTACCAGAGACAGGGCAGTCGATGTGAAAATTATCTCTGTACCAAACCCAGGGCAGTTGATGTGAAAATTGTCTCGGTACCAGAGACAGGGCAGTCGATGTGAAAATTATCACGGTACCATAGACAGGGCAGTCGATGTGAAATTGTCTCGGTACCAGAGACAGGGCAGTCGATGTGAAAATTATCTCGGTACCAAACCCAGGGCAGTTGATGTGAAAATTGTCTCGGTACCAGAGACAGGGCAGTCGATGTGAAAATTATCTCGGTACCAGAGACAGGGCAGTCGATGTGAAAATTATCACGTGAAAATTATCACGGTACCAGAGACAGGGCAGTCGACGTGAACATGTCTCGGTACCAGAGACAGAGCAGTCGATGTGAAAATTATATCGGTACCAGAGACAGGGCAGTCGATGTGAAAATTATCACGGTACCAGAGACAGGGCAGTCGATGTGAAAATTATCTCGGTACCAGAGACAGGGCAGTCGATGTGAAAATTATCTCGGTACCAAACCCAGGGCAGTCGATGTGAAAATGTCTCGGTACCAGAGACAGGGCAGTCGATGTGAAAATTATCTCGGTACCAGAGACAGGGCAGTCGATGTGAAAATTATATCGGTACCAGAGACAGGGCAGTCGATGTGAAAATTATATCGGTACCAGAGACAGGGCAGTCGATGTGAAAATTATCTCGGTACCAGAGACAGGGCAGTCGATGTGAAAATTATCTCGGTACCAAACCCAGGGCAGTTGATGTGAAAATTGTCTCGGTACCAGAGACAGGGCAGTCGATGTGAAAATGTCTCGGTACCAGAGACAGGGCAGTCGATGTGAAAATTATCTCGGTACCAGAGACAGGGCAGTCGATGTGAAAATTATCACGGTACCAGAGACAGGGCAGTCGATGTGAAAATTATCTCGGTACCAAACCCAGGGCAGTCGATGTGAAAATTATCACGGTACCAGAGACAGGGCAGTCGATGTGAAAATTATCTCGGTACCAAACCCAGGGCAGTCGATGTGAAAATTATCACGGTACCAGAGACAGGGCAGTCGATGTGAAAATGTCTCGGTACCAGAGACAGGGCAGTCGATGTGAAAATTATCTCGGTACCAGAGACAGGGCAGTCGATGTGAAAATTATCTCGGTACTAGAGACAGGGCAGTCGATGTGAAAATTATCTCGGCACCAGAGACAGGGCAGATGATATGGAAATTATGTTGGTACAAAATTAACGCTGTGCTTTAATATCTTCTGGATTTCACGAATTGTAATATTCACAACGCATCTATATTAATTTAGCCATTTTAAGGTATATACGACATTTGCGGATGGTCGTTACCAGATTGTCTATGACCAATCTCTGATTACTCGAATGCCCTGTATTCTTCGAGCTATTGACGTGGTCCCGAGAAGTTCGACTTAGCGGGATTTTTCCCTCCGGGTTTGAGACACCATAAATAACAAATACGAAACACGTACGTAACGACTCTCGACCCTCAGTCCGTGTATTATCCTGACAGTGGCGAGGCAAGTCCCTGTATCTTATTTTGTCTTATACAGAAAGAGATAGAGAGATAATAAAATTATTCAAACATAAGTAATCTGTCTAGCAGAATGACTCAACTAATTACTTTTAAACGAACGAGTGTATTTTGAAAATGCGAGTTGGTTCAAATTCACAAAAACATCACGAGAGATAGGGCTGCACGTCCGACTTGGAATGCAGAGATAAAAGCCTTGAAATAAACAGGAGCGTCACCTTACGTACAACCTATGGTATTAGTCATCCCGCCTACAACAAGATAGGAACCTGTAGACATTTTATATAATGTATGAAATCATGCCAATCGCAGTTTTTAGGTCTTAAGCGGTGCTCTTAATCATTTTTACATTCTATAACGTTTTGAAGAATTAGTCCTCTTTTAAAGATGAAAACAGCGATTTCATAACTCGATGGCAATATCATTATGAAGAGTCACAGTATAGAAAGTAGTCTTATCATACATGTATAGGCAATATTACCAGACGGCCCATGAGGATTAAATTCTTAAGAATGCTGAGGTCATTTGCTGTGTGTTTTATACCGAATAACTACATATCACTCATATTACCAAAACTCACCTTTGTGTAGGAATACCACTGTCCAAAATGTCTGACACAAACTCTGTTTCTGACTCTACCGGAAACACGTAATTTGGATACGACGGGGAAAGGCTCGAGAAAATGTGCGATTGGCTCCAGATGCTGGAAATTTATCTCTTTCGGTTACCATGACGACCACCAGAGAGGCCTCCGTTGGGGAACCCGTATCATCAAGCACTATCGATTTGTTGTTATTGTAGGCTAACAACTGTCGAATCGTCACGCATGATTACGGGTTGTAATGAGTAAATGAAAATGTGACCTTTTTCTTCTGATCATTGAAAAAGGATTTTTTGACATTTCATTAAAAGAAAATGAACATAAAGTTAGGCTCAATTTGTGGTAGAATTTTATTTCCTGTGGATCCAAGGAAAAGAAAGCAGCACACAGACGTTGATGGTCCATCTGTAAGTTTGATATAAAAATATCCGTATCTGATGTAGATGTTTGGGAAATTGATGTCGACATGGTTACTGCATAACATTCATATCACTGCTTTTTCCAAGGTCAGCACGTGTGACTATCATCCATGGGCATCGTATCCATATATATGTTAGTATTGTACAAGAAACACAAGTGGATAACCCTATCCTTTCTACAGAAAAACAGGATTAAATAGTGACGAGCCAAAACAATGAAACAAACTACATCGTATATTACAGTTGTTTCATTAATTATAAAATTAATCAATTATAGGGCGTAAAGGCTAGAAAACAACGACTAAGGCAAAGCAATATTGGAGATGTATATATACATGTATCAACTAGATGGGGTTGTGCATTGGGGAGGGGGCTGTGTGAAAAATACCGACAGTTTCTACCATCTGTAATCTAAAAGGATTATATCAAAATAATCCGTTTGGTCTGACATAACGGACTAAATTAAACGTGTATTAGAAAAGAAAAAGAAAAATAACAAGTCATATGCGCCCGGAATGAGGTGCCGTCTCAAAACCAACAATATTCGATTTTACTGATCAGTAAATACAGGTACCTAATAATGTATACCTTCAAATCATAGAGATAATTACGTCCATTGTTCATTGAAAACATGCACGTGACTGAAATGCGTTATTTCGTACAGTCTGTCATGTCAACTTAATCCGTAATTAAAAATTTTGATTATTAGTTTTGTAGAACATATAATTTTACATCCGAACCCTGATCAGTAATCCGTACATTCTACACTGTCTTACTGTCTGTAAGGTAACACCTCTACATCCGAACCCTGATCAGTAATCCTACATTCTACACTGTCTTACTGTCTGTAAGGCAACACCTCTACATCCGAACCCTGATCAGGAATCTGTACATTCTACACTGTCTTACTGTCTGTAAGGTAACACCTCTACATCCGAACCCTGATCAGTAATCTGTACATTCTACACTGTCTTACTGTCTGTAAGGTCACACCTCTACATCCGAACCCTGATCAGTAATCCTACATTCTACACTGTCTTACTGTCTGTAAGGCAACACCTCTACATCCGAACCCTGATCAGGAATCCGTACATTCTACACTGTCTGTAAGGTAACACCTCTACATCCGAACCCTGATCAGTAATCCTACATTCTACACTGTCTGTAAAGTAGTTCCTCTACATCCGAACCCTGATCAGTAATCTGTACATTCTACACTGTCTTACTGTCTGTAAGGTAACACCTCTACATCCGAACCCTGATCAGTAATCCTACATTCTACACTGTCTTACTGTCTGTAAGGTAACACCTCTACATCCGAACCCTGATCAGTAATCTGTACATTCTACACTGTCTTACTGTCTGTAAGGTAACACCTCTACATCCGAACCCTGATCAGTAATCCGTACATTCTACACTGTCTTACTGTCTGTAATGTAACACCTCTACATCCGAACCCTGATCAGTAATCCTACATTCTACACTGTCTTACTGTCTGTAAGGTAACACCTCTACATCCGAACCCTGATCAGTAATCTGTACATTCTACACTGTCTTACTGTCTGTAAGGTAACACCTCTACATCCGAACCCTGATCAGTAATCCTACATTCTACACTGTCTTACTGTCTGTAAGGTCACACCTCTACATCCGAACCCTGATCAGTAATCCTACATTCTACACTGTCTTACTGTCTGTAAGGTAACACCTCTACATCCGAACCCTGATCAGTAATCTGTACATTCTACACTGTCTTACTGTCTGTAAGGTAACACCTCTACATCCGAACCCTGATCAGTAATCCTACATTCTACACTGTCTTACTGTCTGTAAGGTAACACCTCTACATCCGAACCCTGATCAGTAATCTGTACATTCTACACTGTCTTACTGTCTGTAAGGTAACACCTCTACATCCGAACCCTGATCAGTAATCCTACATTCTACACTGTCTGTAAGGTAACTCCTCTACATCCGAACCCTGATCAGTAATCTGTACATTCTACACTGTCTTACTGTCTGTAAGGTAACACCTCTACATCCGAACCCTGATCAGTAATCCTACATTCTACACTGTCTTACTGTCTGTAAGGCAACACCTCTACATCCGAACCCTGATCAGGAATCCGTACATTCTACACTGTCTGTAAGGTAACACCTCTACATCCAAACCCTGATCAGTAATCTGTACATTCTACACTGTCTTACTGTCTGTAAGGTAACACCTCTACATCCAAACCCTGATCAGTAATCCTACATTCTACACTGTCTTACTGTCTGTAAGGTAACACCTCTGTACATCCTACCCTGATCAGTAATCGAACAGTAATCTGTACATTCTACACTGTCTTACTGTCTGTAAGGTAACACCTCTACATCCAAACCCTGATCAGTAATCCTACATTCTACACTGTCTGTAAAGTAGTTCCTCTACATCCGAACCCTGATCAGTAATCTGTACATTCTACACTGTCTTACTGTCTGTAAGGTAACACCTCTACATCCGAACCCTGATCAGTAATCTGTACATTCTACACTGTCTTACTGTCTGTAAGGCAACACCTCTACATCCGAACCCTGATCAGTAGTCTGTATATTCTGCACTACATTCAACACTTGTTCCCTATAGTTTAAAGTATAATATGTACACAAGTTCGGTTATGTATCACAGTTTGAGATGCATTGATGTCTGAACCTTGATTGGTTCAAGGTCGACTGTAGATGAAGAGAAGAACATTTTTAAGGAGGACCCCATTTTATTTACCTATGTGGCCCCGCCCCTGAGGGCCGCATAAGTTTCACAAATTCAGATGCACATGTCCTACTTATGATCCATGACAAGTTCGATCAAAACTGGCCTTATACTTTTGGAGAAAAAAAGGAAAAGCTTATGGATGGATGATGGATGGATGGATGACAGACTCTAGACCATGCTGTAAACTTTAGGCCAGGGGAGCTAAAATTAAATTTTTGTAAAGAACAATCACTTGTGTCGATCCTTTCTTGCTTGAAAAACATCTGCCTGAACTTTGAATGCTGCCAATTATCTACCTGGAAAGTCCCACTGTTAAACCAGTAAGTGCATATATAACACAAATACTACATCAATAACATATTTTACATCCTTTTATTGGAGATTCCATAATTTAGAGAAATTATCATGATTTTATGAAGGTGTAAGAAAATCTCTGAAATGAACACCTTTACAACTAAATCATTCTTTAAAGAATGTACATAACCAGAGACTTCTTGTTCGAAGCCTGACAATTGAACAATAAAAATTGAACTGATATGACTTTCAACAAACTGTAAAAGAATGAAAGAGTATAAATCTAAGTGTATCACATTTTTATTAATTGTTTGTCTCAAGACAATCTGTTCCAATGTTTCACTGGTAATAGATATTAAATTTTCATATTTTTTTTTTCAATCATACGGTAGTCCTACAGTGTATTTCTGTTGATGCTGAACCTGTGTATTCTGGCATCCTGTCTAACGTAACTAATAAATTTTGACTACCACAGTATCGGATTGAAATATTTAAATCAATTTGATATTACAGTGATAGGTTAAACAGCTGATGGGGATGAGGATGTGACAAACAAACAAGGGGAAGTTCATATTCATGAGCTTCTTTTTGAACTTCATTGTTGTATGTTTTCTCTGTTTATTTTCTTCAAAGTTTGAGAAAACAATGTACAGCTTTGGGAGTAGATAAAATAACTCTTTATTATTACCACTAGCCCGGATCAGGAAATGTAAAGGACTGACTGTATTTAAAACAAGAACATAATGTTAGTGAACTACAGCAGTAAAAAGAAGAACAACAGAACAGTTATGTTGATGAATTCTGTACATGTATCAAATATTCTGTGTCCGACAATGTAGCATCATAAAATCCTTCCACTTACATCCAGACATCATGAATGTTTTAACAACTGAAAAGTTTTATTATCCAAATTTTGAAGAACACAAACTCTGGTTTACGATTTATACAAATATGTACATAAGGATCATATTTTCATCGAATGCACCATTCATTTCAACAAATATGAAAATTGCAACACTCTCTGAGTACCTTTTATAATGGTAGACACGTAATCACTCTTCATTCTACTGCACCAGATCAGACACTAGTAACAAATGTACAACAGTTACAGAAAATCACTATCTATCTAGTAATAAACCCATGGCTGGTAATAATTATCATTGTTTAATCAAATAACGCTAAAATTCTAATTACAATCCTATGATAAGCCCACCCCCTTCTTCAAATCTGAGCTCGTGTACTTACACTATATCAACCTACTAAGAAATTCTCCAGGAATCAAGCTAAGCTCATGTGTGTAATAATTCATCTGCTAGGTTTCAGAAGGAGTAAGTATTGTACCAACTCAGGATATCAATTGACAAAGAGTTATCTTAATATTGAAATACAACATTATTTTATCATGAGTACAACACTTAATCAGCTTACAGGACAATGTTCAAACTGTATTGAACTCTTCTACTATAACATATTGATTTTATGATAAAGAAATTTGGATACGACCATTTACTGAACAAAATCTCTAAAATTTACATTCAAAACTTGATCAACTCAATGGGAGACAACTCAATTCATCCATATTTTCACTGTTTAAAGTCTTAAAGATGAAGGAGATTGTTATAACCAGGCAAACATTTATTTTTTTGACTCAGATATTGGAGTCCTTGACTTGTGCTTTTCCAGTAGGACTCACTCACATTTTGAGAACCTGCTGTATCTCTTTGTCACAGGACACATCAAAATTTTAGAAATGATGCTCAAAAGTTACTGGGCACAAGACAGTAGTCTTTACATTTTTTGCAGTTTTACTTTCTTTTAAACAACACAAACATACCTGGTATATGATTTTGCAACTGATTTTTAAAAAAAAAATGGTGTATAAAACATGGATATACAAATTACAGAAGCATATCAGGGCCATTCCGCATTAACTCAAGTGATAAGCTGATTTTTTTTTGCTGAAAATACCATATGGTCTGAGGCTTCATATACTAATATATTATGCTATTTAAAGCATCAGGCTTTGTGTCCAGTTGTAGAAAATTTGTGAAAATTAGGGAAGGGAGGGGAAGTAAGAAAGTTCAAAAGGAGGTGAAATTACATTACCATTGAATTTAAATATATATTCTGCTGATGTTGAGAATTACCTTAAATCACAATTTCCATAAAATCCCATCCCATGATATTCTTCAAAATCAGGCATAGTTGGTGAAGTAATTTGGTTTCACATATTCCTAATCATACTGAACAATTGCAGATACTGCAAGCAATGAACTAGAAACGGTATCTCCATTTCTTTACTATAAATATCAACATCACATTGTCATTTCCTATTGCATGTTGAGTCAGTATACTGTAGACGTGTGAAATTATTAAAATGAAAATGACTGAATGTTCTGAACAAATGATAACAATATAAACTTTATACAATAAAAATCCCACTTATTTTCTTAAATTAACATTCACTCTGTCAAGAAAGCCTCACAGCTGAAAATGTTGCATCTCGTTTAGAAAATTCTTTTTCTTGTTTGCGTCTCTGTTGTTCCAAATTTCGCTTCTGGCGCTCAGATCGCTTCTGTTCCTTTATGGCCGCCTCTGCTTGCCATGATAAATCCTCCTCCGCTTCATCATCCCATCCAGTCTCTCGGTCATCCCAAGTACCTAACTCTGGACCCTGAAATAATCGTGAAAATAAATCATTGTAGCGGTTATCTTGTAAGTACTTCACTTGCTCCCTTATTGATGTCCTGGTGTGTATTCCATGAAAACATTTACCCCACACAAGGAATAATGTACATTTCTCAATTATTTGCATAAAAAATTAGACAGAAAACCAGAACAATGAAGAAGAGAGACTAAAACTGGAGTTTGGGGGAAAGGCAGATTTTTCTGTCCTAATTAAAATTTCAAAAACATTGTAGATTCTGTTTTACAGGTTCCTTGGGTACATTCATAGTTTAAGTTAGTATTTTGTCAACATCTATGTTATTTACTGATAATTATTCCTGGAAACATTTTACATGACTTATAATTCACTAAAAACCAATCCATAAATTACTGGTACATGTGTACTTTGCTAAACTGGAGAACTGACACTGATTTCCAGGTGAAAAATTGTCCTTGAAAACTGACTTTTACTTACAGCAGATAAAGGCACATCAGCAGTAGACATAGCAAACTTATTAGACTGGCTTCTCATCTCTTCTTTCTGTTTAATCAGTACCTGTAAGTAATCCAACATGTCATCAAATTAAAGTATACTGATATCCACCTTTCCCTCCCTACCTCCTCAAGAAAAGATAACTCTACTCATCCACAGATATTCATGTTTAACCTCCCTTCAGTATACATTCACACATGTCTTTTTTGACTTGTAACAACCTCCTCCAAATGTACCTTATGTCAATTAAGTAAGAAATGAATTCAGATCTTATTTTGTTTTTGATGCATGCAGTATTATAATATCCTATTACATGTAGTAGCTGGTGACTGTTTCACTAAAGAACATTAAGAAGCCAAGCACATGTTATCCACAACCATTAAGCTAAAGTGTCTTATCCAAAGACACCATCCATACAGCCGTTCCAAAGTGTCTTACCCAAAAACACAATCCATACAGCAGTTCTAAAGTGTCTTACCCAAAGACACCATCCATACAGGAGTTCTAAAGTGTCTTACCCAAAGACACCATCCATACAGCAGTTCTAAAATGTCTTACCCAAAGACACAATCCATACAGCAGTTCTAAAGTATCCTACACAGACACAATTCATACAGCAGTTCTTAAGTGTCTTACCCAAAGACACAATCCATACAGCAGTTCTAAAATGTCTTACCCAAAGACACAATCAATACATCAGTTCATAAGTGTCTTACCCAAAGACACAATCCCTACAACAGTTCTAAAGTGTCATACCCAAAGACACAATCCATACAGCAGTTCTAAAATGTCTTACCCAAAGACACAATCCATACATCAGTTCTTAAGTGTCTTACCCAAAGACACAATCCCTACAACAGTTCTAAAGTGTCTTACCCAAAGACACCATCCATACAGCAGTTCTAAAGTGTCATACCCAAAGACATAATCCATACAGCAGTTCTAAAGTGTCCTACCCAAAGACACAATCCATACAGCAGTTCTAAAGTGTCTTACCCAAAGACAAAATCCATACAGCACTTGGCAGTCTAGATCTAGGATCTCACTTTCCAAAAAACAGCTAACTGACAAAAGTAGGGATCAAACCAAGAACATTATATGTAAATCTTGAGGTTTAAATGTTGTTGGCTCTACTGACTGAGGTATTGGAGTCTCCTGGTACAGCTGGTAAAGACATAATTAGTACACTGAAATATCATTGTATTAAAATGTGCAAGAATAATAAGCCCTATTTACCTTCTTTTGTTTCTTTATGGTTGGTGTCATGTCTTGAAAATAATCTGGTTCAGGTTCTGATGATTCTTCCTGAGACAGTGACCTTGACCTTGAATAATTATGATTCACTAATCTCGAATTGTTACTTTGTTCTTGATCCCAACTCTCCCACGACTGCAATTCGGGCTGAGACAGAAAAAATTGCAAAACATTCTGAACATATATGTGACTTGACAATATTTTTACCCTAATAATGTCAGTGATACAAGTCGTCTTTGATGCTTTGACCTTCTGAGATGACTTTGTCCAAATATACATAAAAAAAAAAAATCATAAAAGATATCAACCTGATTTATATGATAGAGAATTTGTTTTTTCCTGGCTCTTGAAAACCTTCATTTTGACTTCTTAAATTGACAAAGGACAATCAAAATTAGTAAAATATTATTCTATTTCATAAATGACAAAAGTCCCAGGACTATTACAATTTATAAATTTATAAGTCCCAGGGAAAATCTGTCAATATTGTTTATTTTTCATGTGTACAAAAACAGAGTAAATTAGTAAATTGGAAAATAATTGAAGCAGCACTTCTCGAAATCTACCTTCATGGTAAAACTTCATATTTTTATAAAATAATTACTACAATTCCTGTAGCACAATCTACATCTACTCTAAACCATTTATCTTTGTCTAAATTGGAGTTGTACATCTTCTGATCTAAATATTATCATGCATGCTTATGCCAATGAAAATAACATTTTTATCGTTTCCTCTCTGTTGTCACAGAGAGAAATGAATAACATAGCTAACTAATCAATGTCAGTCTCCAACCTGTTTTGGTGTGCTTGGTGTTTGTGTGAAATCCTGAGGAATGCTGTAGTGATTTGTTAATGGCAAAACGGTGTCGGATGTCCGCCTCTTCCTTCTACAGAAAAGACGTTTGAACGGTGAACATATCAGCAGCACAAAACCGAAAGTCTTCTTGATGATATTCCACACAACTTTAATCATCTTGACAGGAAATCGGTGTGCTGGAAAATAAAATGATAAACTCCTTTTAATTTTTTTTTATTTCTTACCGATACTTGCTATCATGTCACAACCTATAGAAATGTCACACAAATGTTACAGCCAGGTTAAGCGTAATTGCTTTGTTGCTATCTAATTCTGATAAAAAATATATAACTAAATCATTGGTCAGTATATATGTTAAATTATTTGTTTGCATTGTTTATCATCCTACGATCTGCCAGGAACATTTTGAGGCACCGTCTTTTAGTAGTAGCTGTTGGCAATATGTAGCTACCTCACAGAGCAACACATGGGAGGCCCGTCACATTCCAAACAGAGCAATATTGGCAATTTTGGAAAAAGTGTCTCAACCAAAGACACAGCCATGTGAGCACAGAGAGGCCTAGCCATTTTCAGTTTCCTGAGAAACACAAACTGTTGTGGGTAAAGAGCATTGAACCACACACCTATGATTTTCACCTGATCTTTCGATGGCCATTGTTTAAAATGACTTTGATATTTGCTGTATGACTTATCTCTGTTAGACATATTGAGCATTTGTCACTGTTATGAGCAGAAATTCAGGATTTGTATTTGTGGCTGGTCACAGGCAGATCTAACCAGGCGGAAACACTTATTGACATCCTTAATACTTCACTGAATCTGGAATTGTGATCTCCCTGCATCAAATCATATACATTCAAGAAAAAAGTCATACTAGACTTATATAAGCTCTTGGGAACCAGCATCTCACATTGCCAAATATAATTATGAAACAATTTCAAATGTAACTACAGACTATATACATTTAGCCTTTATGTACACTCACTGTTTCAAATGTGTTTATTAAAAAATTTGAAAGAAATGTAAGGGTTCTAAAAAGAGTAAGCAAGCCCTAACTTTAATTGGGATATGTAGACCATGTACAATCTAATATTTTTTTTTTGCAGATTTGTAATTTTTAAGGACAGATAAGTTGTACTTAAATATACTCTATACATATGCAATGACATAAGGAAATAAAAAAAAAAGAAGATTTTGAGTTTGTTTTCTGGAATCAGAAATGTAACCAGAGCGACCAGCCTGCTCCCCTCCACCCCATCTGTTTTATATGTAGGTAAGAAGAAATATTCATTTTAATAACTGAGCTTTACTACTATACATGTAAGCCTGGACTAGGCTTAAACCCTTTTGAGATTCCTCCGTTAGATATAAATGAGTGCCAAGGAGGAATCTCAAAAGGGATAAGGCTATGGTCATGCACGTGTCTACACCGCTAAACAGGTACTGGGGCACCGGTAAATCTGGCTATTTATTCAGATATGGCTATATGTTTATAGTGCAAATGTAAACAACTTTACCATACTTGGCATACATGATGTGCACATCGAAAAAACTGGCGGTGATTTTAAGGAGCGAGTAAAACAATAGCTTTCTGTCATAAGACACCATTTTCCGTGAATTGGTTGAATTTCGTCATTGCAATTTTTGATACTTGCATCCCTTTGTCCACATATTCCAATGGTGATACATGGAATTTCCTAAATACGTGATTAAAACACCCCCATATTTCACTTGCTTCCACCACACAATTCACAATCATTGCAGACTTTATTTTTTGCACAGAAACATCATGCTGAAAGCACACCTTTAGCCTGTATCTGCATCAAAGAGATGCTTATCTGCAGATGACACAATGGGTGAATGACGTCATATTGGATAGACTTTATAAATATACAGTTTGTTTCTAGATAGTGAGATACTAGAAATAGGTAACAATGAAATTAAAAAAAAAATAAAACGCCTTAAATCGACCAAATATGCCAAAATCATTCATTTTCACTGACTTACACGATTCGTTATCCATTTTTTTATCTGCGCGAAAATAATGTGACCGGACATCACCTCGGTGTTTACATATAAGCCCTGTATACATGAACGTATAGTCAGATTTGACTGTATAGCAAAATCTGCATATAGAGCCAGATTTACCGTAATCCCGTTTGGGATTCCTCATTGGGACTCATTTATATCCCACAAGGGACGTTACCAAACGTCCGATATAAATGAGTCCCAAGGACTTAGGAGAGGAATCCCAAAAGGCATTAGATCTGTCGGTGCTCCAGTAGGCAGTACCCACTAAACATCACGTGTCATGCAATATTTTACAATGATTATTAAGAATCATAACCGATCTCCTGAATTTCTACAAACATATACGACCGGACATACTTCGAATATGTACCTGTCTATAACACAAGATGTTAATTTTGTTATCGTAACTACACTGAATATTGCATTACATCCTCATGGATTTCTGCTGCCATCTGTGAGTTTTGGGTTTCCTCAAGGTCAATTTCATGTTTACTTTATCGGTGTAGAACCTCGTAACAAACAAACCTCTTAGCGACGAGGATTTATAGTTTCAGTTCTTGCCGACAGATGTCGCCAAAGTTGCTAGACAACAATAAACAGTATGGCGACTACCATGTAGGAATAATATAATTCAACACGGTGTTTATATTAATTTCAACTGGTTAGCGAGACTTATTTATATGTTTGACCTTTAAAACTGAAACATGCCGGTAAGTTGTAACACTGGTTGTTTAAACGAAAACTAAATTGTGGGTAAGGGAGCTTCTTTGAACTGTTCAAGGATACCCCAATTTTCCGGATTAAAAAAAAAGATTGCCTGTAATCCGTCACACACTTAAACAATGTCCAGCTCCACACCCTCTCCGCTTCCTCCAGGCATATCTGCCTAGTGTTGAGTCCCATACATCTAGCATATGTTCAATGAATGACATGTACCAATTTAGGCTTCAAATATACCATATATAAACTATGTAAGTCGGACAGACAATATTTTGGCTACTTTACAGAGAATTTGTTTAATAGTGGCAATGTCAGGACCAAATAACAGTGATACTGAAGAAGAATTTTGATACAGCATACTGTATTTCTGTATTCTTAATCCAAATGTGTAATTCACGGGGGTGCAATAATTATGTTGCAAAACAGAAATGTAAAAACAAACGAAGATGAGCAATGTGTTTGACAGAGACTATGTAATATATAGATTACTGAATGTGTGCTTGATTTTTGTACAGGAAAAACTCCCACCTATAGATCGTGATAATGGCGATCCTAATGAGAAATTCAAGGCAAGGAATTGGAAGAAAAAGGATATCAGAAAAATGAATCCCCAACAAAGGAGTAGATACATGGCTGTGAGTAGTTGATATAAAGAAGATTGATATGAATCAAATATTTCATTGTTTTGCAGTATTTTTAACCATTTTTCTTTTACTATACTATTTATATTGATTGCCATGTAGATTAAAGAACAGTCACTTTTAACTTTTGTACTTTGAACATCATGACATGAAAATTTTAGTAGTTTTTTGTTTTTATCTAGAAGTACTGCAGTGCATTTGGTTAAATAAAAGATAGCACCACCAGAAAATTTTGATAATCATTTAAAAAGAAAAAGGATAAGATATGAATTAGAAATGGTTTTTAGAAATAAATTATGAAGTGATATATGCAAGGAGACATGAAAAACAATATGATTTTACATATAATGATCAACTTCTGTTGTGATCATGACCAGTATGAAGAGCCATCCAAGGAGGCAGTGGAAGCTCAGAGTGTATCAAACAAACGTCTGCTTGACAGGAAACGTAATGAAATGAGGTAAGTTTACAATGCACCTTAAACTTCAAGAGATTCATCCTCAAAAATGATTACTTTCAGTACTTCAATGGAATATTGTTATTAAAATTAAATTTCAGTATTAGTCATTAGACAAAAAGACCTGACAGATTGTTCCGGCTGAGTATTGTCATATCAAGTTCACAAAAGATCACCAACAAAACCTTTATGTTGCCTCTCTTATAACCGCTGTCAGAAAAATCACAGATGGAAATGCATCTTTCCAAACAAAAATATAACTTCCGTGGTTGTGGATTATGAGGAGATTTGCATTTTGAAAAAAACATTCTATATTTTACCATATAAAATATTGTTTGCTTGTTTATATTTATCTATTTAGTTTTCCCTTTTTTTCATAATAAAGCAAATGTTCATAATATTTTGATTATCAGGGAGTATTGCCAATAAAGCATATACATTTTTTGTGGTCTTAACTGCTGTTAAAAAGATATACCTGATAAAGATAGTAATGTACCAATGATTGAAATGAATAGAAAATTATGATAGAAAAGTTAGTGAAACCAATTAAACAATGCCAATGTTGAAAAGAATTAATTTTCAGAGTTCAGGTATTATACAATATTTCTGAAATGAAAAACTTAAGCATTCTGGCACTGGTTTACTAAAATTGTAGGAACTTACAATCAGCAGACTACACTGGTTAATTGTGTTTATACAGTCACACCAGACTTAAACGTCACCAGTATATACCTGTTTGTAAAGTCCACAGTCCTACCTATCTATAAAGGTCACTGGGGTTCAAATGCAATACAAACCATAGTTTAACCTCTATTTGGGGTTCATCTGCCTAAAAAGGCCATGTTTCCCCTCTGGGTGGCCTTTATAGACAGGTTTGCCAGTATTCAATAACAAGAAACTACACATAAATAGAATCAAAATTTCTATGTAGTTTTGATGGATTGATGGATTTAATTAACTTTCAGATTTATCAATATTTGAATTTTAAAGACAAATAGATAACCTGTTAAATCAGTTAAAATGATAATTGACTGGATATGAGGATTTAATTGACGATTATGAAAAGGGAACAACATCCCATATGTATTGAAAGAATATTTAACAATTGACTTATTATTTAGATTTATTAATTAAGCTGATTTTAAAAGGCCATTTATACTTCATTTCAATTTGTTGCCAATTTTAAACAGTTTCAACATTAATCTTAGTTGTAAATTATAATTATTCTAAGATGTTAAAATTTCAGTTGAACAATTTTAATTGATATGACACATTGTTTTACCAGGATAAATGCTCCACTGCCAGCCGAGGAGTATGATGAAAGAGAAAAACATGCCAAGTTAATAGGACAGTTGAAGTAAGTCTGTAGAACTGTTTAGGTACACAAGGTATTGTGTTAAAATATGATTGTGCTAAGTGAAGTTTCTATATTGCATTTTTTATATAACAATTATTGATAAGGACAAATTCATCTTTGTGGTAATATTTTTAAAAGTATTAATGTGCTAAAATGTGATTGTTTACAGTATGTAGATAATAGATGAACACTGAAAATCTATGTTACTTAATTAAGGTTGTAAACATTGAGATGTTACTGAAAATAAATTGTGAAAGAAAGAACATTAATACATGTATCTCTATACAAATATTTTTAAGAATTATTGAAGGAGGATGGTGTGGTAAAACATAAAGGATATTCTCAGTGTCAAATTGAAATTTCAATAATAAATTTTGTTTTAGAGCTGCTGAATCAAGAAATAGATTAAGAATAATGAGGTTACGCTACCAATCAAACAAGGTAAGATGTGACATCCACCTTATTGTAGGAATAAGTCACAGGGCCAATGTATATAAATGTATTACCAGTTATAGTAAAGAAATGCTGATACAACAGATTATTAATTTTGTTAGTCTTTGATAACCTTAACCACCCCCCACCCCTCCATCCCCCCACACACTTTAAGGAATTTGTATGATTGCCTTTTGGGTTCAGAGTGCTATGAAGATGTTAAACAACACAAAACGAAACATCGTTGATGCTTTGTATAAGGAGCCAAGTATAATTTCCTAAACATACTTCCGAGCCTTCCAACATTTTTATGGGGGGGTCATATAGTTTTATATCCCTTTGCCTCTCATCCTGAATTAATGTCATATCCAGCTAAACTCATATTAAACCTATAGTGATGTAACATCAAGTTCTCCAGCTTTTCATATTTAGGTAGATATCAGACAAGGTTCAAGGGTCGCCTTTGAAAACGTCTATATATTCATCCAACACTTTGTAATGATATCTGGATTCCTTATAGTGAGGGAGTTGATGTCTTTCAGAGATTTTCTACTTATCCCTAAGTTACATATTAATTTACCCATAAAAGTTTTTTAATTGTTACTTCAAAAATCCAAATATTTATGTAAGTGTTCATCAGCATCCCCGTCCTGTGTGGACACAATCTCCATATGACCTGGCTGGTGATAGGGTGTAATAACAAACAAAAAATAAACAAACCGTAACCTCTTTCTGCATAAATAATAACAGAATCCTAATTCAAACTCAAGTTCAAAAGCAAAATATTATCAAAAAAAGAAGAAGATTTACAGAGACCCTAAAAGAGGAAGAAAATTTCTAGAAGCAAATTGATATTCTTATTCAATGTTTGGACAACAACCTCAAAATTTTATGGATTTTGATAATTGACAATTTGTTTTTATTTATTTTTACTAATTTTCTTCCTCAGGTGAAATTATTGTTTGCAGTGTACATATTAATTTTAGTAGAGAAAATCATTGATTTTTTCAATATGTTCTTTTATGACAGAGTCAAGAAATAAGTCATTTGATTGCCTGCCAACCGACTGCTGCCAAAGCTGTAAGGCTACAGGCATTGGTACCATCCAATCCAGAACGCAGAACCAGAAAGGACACTCTAGATAAACTATCGGTGAGTATATACGACAAAGTCTAAACAATGTGGAATCATATTCTGGATAATTGAAATGCTAGAAAATAAAAGATCTAAGTCATCATGTTTTGTTTTGTGAATTTGGAAAAATGATTTAATGAAAACTGTTCAAATAAACTGTCCAGGTCATTATCATTTTAATTGACTAAAGAAAAAGGTAAGATTTTGTCATTTAGGTACTTTCATATTTTAAGATTAATTAGAGAAATTGCAGAGATGAAAGTAAATAAAAAACAAAAGAAAATTAAAAAATCCAAGCAAATGAAAAAAATAGATAAAACGAGATGTGTTAAAGAAACACAATGCCCCCTGTTGCGACAAAATTCATGAAGCGAGACATTAAAACTGTACCGTGTAAAGCATGTGCTAATTGCATGCACACTTTGTGAAACACTTGTGTCTTCATTAAGGTAATGATTTGACAGTTTTAGTTCAAAAGTTTCGGCCAGTGTGAAGTTAAAGGTCATGGCCAAGGTCACATGATCAAAAATTTTGGGTTGCAACAGAAAGGTCTGGTCACAAGAAATTCACATGCCATATATAAAAGCACTAACTCTTATGGTGCAATAGTTATTCAAGGTTAAAGTAGACAACAGACAAACAGGCAGACAAACAGACAGACAAACAAACAGACAAACAAACAGACAAACAAACCGACAGCACTAAAACAACATGCCCCTAATCTTTTGACCTTGGAACATAGAAATAGAACGATAAGAGAATGGATATGAATAAAGTTGTTGGAAAATAGATCACTATTTAAAAATAGTTGTAATTAAACAGGCTAATGAGTTGTAGAATTTGAAAAAAAATAATTTAATGAAATACATGGGTCTTATTTTGCAGAGGGAACGATGTGAACGATTACTTGAAGATTCACAAGGACTATTAGTGAACAGGGTCCATTAAACTCAGTCTTTGTTGTCATGTCGCATTACCATCATTTTATGTATATAGTGTACACTTAACAATGTGGATCATATTTCCATTATTTGTGGATCAGTTACCGACCACAGATACTGATGTGGATTCTAACACAGAACAATGTTGTGCTGTATGTGGCTTTTTGTCTTTCTATGGAAAACATCATAAATTTACTTGTAATCAAATTTAGTTTGTTCAATCATGAAATCATGATTTTTGTGATATACTTGGCATGTAATCAATGAAATACTGTCTTTAGTTTTAAAATAGACTTTTCAATCCTTAGGCCAGACGTTTTATAAAAATTTGTAGTTTAAGATGCAAAAGGGTGAGAATGGCTTTGATACTAGTTTACTATAATATTACTGAGCATATTTAGATATAGTTTTTTAAATGTATATACATACACTTGTATGTCGTTCACAATAAATCTTACACAATGTTTGTCATATGAAATATTTTAGATTAGTATCGTCTAGGAATATATTTGCTATTCTTTTTTTAATGTTTCTCAGTGTATGTAATATTTTGTAGATACCTTTTAGGATATGTGAATGATGTACATATGTAAATGTAGTGTTGATGTTTATTTTTTTGAGTATTTATTCATAAGCTTCATATCATTGGTAATCATTATCACATTGTTCTGTTTCTTTTTTTGATTAATTAATTGATTAATTTTAATCTACCAATATTTTATCTTGCGTATCTACCATATTTTTGTTTTTATTTTTCAACGTGTTAAATGTGATTCAGTATATATACATGGATGCATCTAATTTGCAGTCTTTGAATTTCCTACTAAATTCTCGCTCAAGTCACATGAAATGAATAAGTTGCTCTTTATTATTTAAAAGTTAGCATTTTCAATTATTTCACCTTTTAAAAATGTGTTTATCAAGATGTCCAATGAATTACAGAATTGAAATTTAAATGTGTTTTTCCTTGATTCAAAACAAAGAAACGAAATCTGTTAGAGTGTTTATTTAAATTCAAAATTCTTTTTATTGAATTATTATTGTGTACTTGTTTGATGGCCTCACTGAAGTTGTCTCCCTTCTCATGCTTTCAAACCGTTCATATTAGGATTAGACATTTAAGTACATATACCATACAAAATTCTTACTTTAAGTCATTATTCTATTGTATATAAATACTGAAGTATGTAGAAACCGTCCAGGAATGCTGCAATATCAAGGAAAATAATTTCTGAAATTCCGCAAAGAATTGCCATGGCTTGCAGACACCAACAACAATACTGCCTTAGTTTCGTTAGAAACAAAATATTGGAGTAAGTTAACAGAGAAAAAAAAACACATTTCATAGCTAATTTGCATTCAAGCAGTTCAAGGTGACAATGATTAAAACATACCCTGTCATGTACATTTGAATGGTGTTGGTAGAAAATTTAATTGATTTTAATTGGTTTTCTGAAACTAAATAATATCTTACTTACAATTAGTTTTATTTAAGCTGGTTTTAAATTATCTTGTGTAGTGATCTGTATTTTCAATTAAATTTTCATGGTTTCACATATACCAGCTGAAGTCATGTAGAGATGACATCCATGGTTGGCCATAGATCATTTTAAAGTGACAGAATTTACCAGCGCATGGGACCATGATACTAAAAAAGGAAAAAAGAAAAAGTGTTGTTGTAGGAGCAGTAAGTAAATTTTGGTTTATCTCTCTTAGCAGAAACAGAAGAAAAAAATGATGGAACACACAGTTTTGTCATCAGGTACATTTAAACATGAGAACAATTTCAAAATATAATCATCACATTATATATTTGATGTGAAACTTGATTTAAGCAAGTTTAAATAAAGTGAAAGAAAAAGCTTTGATATAAGTAAAATTTTCAGAATTAGGTACATTGTATAAACTTGAATGTATGTTTAAAACAACACATTTATCCCAAAAGCAAAGATATATGTTCAACAAATTTTCCTTCACAGGAGAGAAATTACTTATGAGGAATTTCTGAAATTATTTTCACTTTGGGGGGCTTGTGCAAAGACTGCAGGCCGTGGTGCATATAGGCAAATTTGTACATAGCTCAATAACACAGATGTCTCTTCAATTTTTTTGTGTAGACAGTAGTAAAAATATCTGTAGCTAGAATTATTTATCTTCCAAACAGTAACATTGTATCACTTCATTTCAAAATATTACATGTGTAGGTGTCTCTTTAACACAAAACTTTAACCCAGCGGTTGGTCAGCAGATGTTTAGATTCACAAAATCCCCATTAATGCACCCTGTATGGTATATATCAAAGAAGGGTGTCGTTTTTACTGAATATTGACCTAACCCTCCCAAAAACATCAAAAATATATATACTGATAAGATATATATGTACTGACTGTAGGACTAAGATATAATAATAATTATTGTATACTGACTGTAGGACTAAGATATGATAATATTGTATATGACTGTACTAAGATAATAATATTGTATACTGACTGTAGGACTAAGATATGATAATAATTATTGTATACTGACTGTAGGACTAAGATATGATAATATAATGACTGTGATATAATAATAATTATTGTATACTGACTGTAGGACTAAGATATGATAATATTGTATACTGACTGATATGATAATATTGTATACTAAGATATGATAATATTGTATACTGACTGATATGATATATTGGACTGTACTAAGATATAATAATAATTATTGTATACTGACTGTAGGACTAAGATATGATAATAATAATATTGTATACTGACTGTAGGACTAAGATATAATAATAATTATTGTATACTGACTGTAGGACTAAGATATGATAATAATTATTGTATACTGACTGTAGGACTAAGATATGATAATATTGTGTACTGACTGTAGGACTAAGATATAATAATACTAAGATATAATAATACTTACTGACTGTAGGACTAAGATATAATAATAATTATTGTATACTGACTGTAGGACTAAGATATGATAGATAATAATATTGTATACTGACTGTAGGACTAAGATATGATAATATTGTATACTGACTGTAGGACTAAGATATGATAATATTGTATACTGACTGTAGGACTAAGATATAATAATAATATTGTATACTGACTGTAGGACTAAGATATGATAATATTGTATACTGACTGTAGGACTAAGATATGATAATATTGTATACTGACTGTAGGACTAAGATATGATAATATTGTATACTGACTGTATAAGATATGATAATATTGTATACTGACTGTAGGACTAAGATATGATAATATTGTATACTGACTGTAGGACTAAGATATGATAATATTGTATACTGACTCCTAGTTATCTGTCCTTGTGAAGAATAAATTGGCTGTTAAAGAGTCAGAACCCTTCAATTTAGACTTAAAACCACATCAAGATGAAGGTTCTATGTTACTTCTGAAAATACAGATATCCCCTATGATATAAGTTTACTGCAGTTTAAAATATAGTTGTTTTGCTGTTTTAATTGTCTGTAAAAATATTACCATAGAAACTGTGTAAATATTGTCAGTTTTAATAGGGTATAAACCTATCAATTTAACAGAGTTGTTGGTAGAATGTAAAGAAGTAGAACTAATTGTATATATATATTGTGTTTTATTTTTATCAAAAATAATGTTTAGGTTAGAAGACACACTGGTCTGTATCGTCATACATATATATTAGGTTCTTTCTTTTGATGGAAAACTTCACTCTGTTATATATAAAAAACATATTTTCTTTGTATGAATACGATATAGGAAAGAAAAGAAATTTACGGTGACTGTAGATTGAAAGAAGAATATAGGATTTCTCCTAAGCACGATATTTTTTATGCATTTACACAATTCACTTTCATGTTGGTACTGTAATACAGCCACTTTTCTTAACTATTTTTCTTAATGTTTAATCTTCACCTGATCACGGAGATTCGCATTTTTTTATTGGTTGTATTGCACAAGGATGTGTATTTTAATATATTAGAAAACATCTCTATTTCACTCATCGTGGGCGTCCCTGTATCATTATATACCGTATATATAGACATTATTTACATGTGTAATTATCGTGGTATGTCAACCATTATAAACCTGTGTCGACTTCCCATGTATATGATAACAATTCTTTAACAAATTAAATAAATATGATTATGTATAGATGAAATTATGATGATATAATTAGCTCCCTCGTGTGTTTTTACTGATTCATAACAGGATTGAAGAATTTTATAACGCCAGACATGAAAGAATCATATGAATTAGTTTTATGTACAGATTTTGTATGTGGTGTATATTGTATGTTGAAAGATGCATGTATGAATGAATTTTTTAAAAAAATATTTTATGTGTGCAGACTCATCTTTGCGTGAATAGTGCTGCCGTTTAAATGTACTACATTTCATATGTATTTTTATTTTATTCATATTCAATGATAATATTGTACTTAATTACTGAATTTTATGATTTGTCCACCGTCTTCTATACTATACTTATTGAGAGCATTTTTGTGATAAGTTGGCTTTCATAAAGTTAATGGCATGGTATAGGTCTCGGTAGGTCATAGAAGATACATACTATATTTGTACATGTGATTTTAGTTTTTAGAATTTTTGTGGTAAGTTGTCCCAAATATCAAGATTGCACACTGCCTTCACAGACCATTCAGACCTCACTCATATCACAAGACAGGTTATGTTTTTCCCCGTGAAAATCCATTGTTTTTGGGACAGAAAATAAGTTTTCTTAAACAAAAGCTGAGGTCTGTATCGAATGTAAAGGCAAGGATACGTATGTGTAGGAATTTTTATACAGTATTCACTATTCAAAGTTTTCACATCTACTTATAGAACTGGAGATATAAATCTCTAATTTGCTTGAAATTTAATATCTGTTTATGATTTGACTTTGAATCACAAGGAATAGAGTTTCTGAATTATCTGTGACAGTATGGCGGTGTTGAACACTATGACGTGAGACTAGTGAGAGAAAGTCTTTGGTTATTGTTATGAAGGTTGTGATATTTTGTGCGACACAAAATTAAAAAAAATCACATCTATTAGTTTTCCTGCGTTTTCTGTCATTTTACTATTTGGAAACTTTTTAATGGAAGCTGACCGGACTTTGACTTCTAGCAGCTGTTAAGAATGAATCTAGTGTTGATATATTCCTCATACACTTGTCATATCGAATTAATGGTTTATAAATTGATTGATCAAATGAATTTTGACTACTTCTCATATGAATTATCGTCGTTATACCTAAGTATCTATTTCTTTATACCAGTCAGATCCATTGTAAATACAGCTCTTATTTTGAAAACATGACATTACTTAGACTTGACCGAAATTGGTCAGCATTAATGCAGAACATCGATTAGTTGACATATAAATTACAATAGATTATTTCAAACGGAAGAAGAAACAGTTTTCACTTGTGATATTTTATAACATTCCATTAAACACTAAAACGATCTGGAAATTATTTTGTTGCACATCTTGGGTGATTACATATTACATTTTCATCAAATTTAAATAAATGTCAATAATTTCTTAAATGTGTTACATGTAAAGAAAAAATGAACAAATCCACGTATATTATCAGGAATTCTTTTCCGTGCTTTACATTTTAAAAGAAAAAAAAAGAATCCGGACGGATTTGAACTAAAACTCACAAGGCGGATTGCAGATACGCGACGTGGAAGCCACTACTGAAAGCATTTCGCTTTCACTAAGCTATCAACACAGTTGGTTAAAGTATTGGCAGATGTCTCAATTTTAAAGTATTACAATGATGTAGCCCATACAGACAAGTAAATGTGTATATTACATAGGCCGGAGCAGATATACATGGTATTGGAAATTTATGTATATCTTCCGAATAAAGCCTTAATTAAGCATGAGAAACAATATATTTTCTCCAGGAAGTCATCACCCTGACAGGAGACAATTTTAAAGCATTTGTTATCATAGATTGGTTTGGCTTTTATAATATAACTTTCTATCGACAGTTTTGGTTATTTAAGAATCATCCCTATGTATGGTATCAATGTCAGAGGAGTAAGTGTGTTTGTGGGAGATGACGATATGTTCCGGAAGTCGCAATGTGAAGTGTGTGATCCGGATTTATAGTGCCATCACACTGAAGTATACCCGCCGACAACAGACAGATCAGGCGTTACACTGCCACAAGGCTGAGTGTTAAGTGGTAATAGGTAACTACCATTCATATTTATTGTGGTATGTCTCGACCGGGAACATAATCCAAAGCTTTCTTCACTAGAGCGAATGCTCAACTCAAAGTCATCAAACGGGACGAAGTGTGAAGGGAGATATTAAGGAAAGGAGTTATTTAGAAAGAAGATATTAGATAATGCATTGGATGCAACAGGTACAAATTTTACAGCCTACCTACAGATCAGGCTGCTATTGGGACATAACACAGTATTTTCTCGTACGTCACTACAGGTATCTACCTAGATCTCCATAGGTCTATATAATCTAACACAATAGTTTGTCATGTTCCCCTATCATTATCGTAATAATGACAGGTCGGTCGATCTATACTGTGGAGAAAACCAACCGCTTTAAGAGATCACAATGTTATGACAGATGAATTGGATGTCGTGTCTTCGAGCTGTAGTCTGTTTAGTAATAAGTATCAAACAGTCTGTTTCCTAATTAGTATCAAACAGTCTGTTTCCTAATTAGTATCAAATAGTCTGTTTCCTAATTATTATCAAACGGTCTGTTTCCTAATTAGTATCAAACGGTCTGTTTCCTAATTAGTATCAAACGGTCTGTTTCCTAATTAGTATCAAACGGTCTGTTTCCTAATTATTATCAAACGGTCTGTTTCCTAATTAGTATCAAACGGTCTGTTTCCTAATTAGTATCAAACGGTCTGTTTCCTAATTAGTACCAAACGGTCTGTTTCCTAATTAGTACCAAACGGTCTGTTTCCTAATTAGTACCAAACGGTCTGTTTCCTAATTAGTATCAAACGGTCTGTTTCATAATTAGTACCAAACGGCCTGTTTCCTAATTAGTATCAAACGGTCTGTTTCCTAATTAGTATCAAACGGTCTGTTTCCTAATTAGTATCAAACGGTCTGTTTCCTAATTAGTATCAAACGGTCTGTTTCCTAATTAGTATCAAACGGTCTGTTTCCTAATTAGTATCAAACAGTCTGTTTCCTAATTAGTATCAAACGGTCTGTTTCCTAATTAGTATCAAACAGTCTGTTTCCTAATTAGTATCAAACGGTCGGTTTCCCAATTAGTATCAAACAGTCTGTTTCCTAATTAGTATCAAACGGTCTGTTTCCTAATTATTATCAAACAGTCTGTTTCCTAATTAGTATCAAACAGTCTGTTTCCTAATTATTATCAAACAGTATGTTTCCTAATTAGTATCAAACAGTCTGTTTCCTAATTAGTATCAAACAGTCTGTTTCCTAATTAGTATCAAACGGTCTGTTTCCTAATTAGTATCAAACGGTCTGTTTCCTAATTAGTATCAAACGGTATGTTTCCTAATTAATATCAAACGGTCTGTTTCCTAATTAGTATCAAACGGTCTGTTTCCTAATTAGTATCAAACGGTCTGTTTCCTAATTAGTATCAAACGGTCTGTTTCCTAATTAGTATCAAATAGTCTGTTTCCTAATTAGTACCAAACGGTCTGTTTCCTAATTAGTATCAAACAGTCTGTTTCCTAATTAGTATCAAACGGTCTGTTTCCTAATTAGTATCAAATAGTCTGTTTCCTAATGAGTATCAAATAGTCTGTTTCCTAATTAGTATCATTAGTATCAAACGGTCTGTTTCCTAATTATTATCAAACAGTCTGTTTCCTAATTAGTATCAAACGGTCTGTTGCCTAATTAGTATCAAACAGTCTGTTTCCTAATTAGTATCAAACAGTCTGTTTCCTAATTAGTATCAAAGTCTGTTTCCTAATTAGTATCAAACGGTCTGTTTCCTAATTATTATCAAATAGTCTGTTTCCTAATTAGTATCAAACAGTCTGTTTCCTAATTAGTATCAAACGGTCTGTTTCCTAATTATTATCAAATAGTCTGTTTCCTAATTAGTATCAAACAGTATGTTTCCTAATTAGTATCAAACGGTCTGTTTCCTAATTAGTATCAAATAGTCTGTTGCCTAATTAGTATCAAACAGTCTGTTTCCTAATTAGTATCAAACAGTCTGTTTCCTAATTAGTATCAAACAGTCTGTTTCCTAATTAGTATCAAACGGTCTGTTTCCTAATTAGTATCAAAGTCTGTTTCCTAATTAGTATCAAACAGTCTGTTTCCTAATTAGTATCAAACAGTCTGTTTCCTAATTAGTATCAAACAGTCTGTTTCCTAATTATTATCAAACAGTCTGTTTCCTAATTAGTATCAAACAGTCTGTTTCCTAATTAGTATCAAATGGTCTGTTTCCTAATTAGTATCAAATAGTCTGTTTCCTAATTAGTATCAAACGGTCTGTTTCCTAATTAGTACCAAACGGTCTGTTTCCTAATTAGTATCAAATGGTCTGTTTCCTAATTAGTATCAAATAGTCTGTTTCCTAATTAGTATCAAATAGTCTGTTTCCTAATTAGTATCAAATAGTCTGTTTCCTAATTAGTATCAAATAGTCTGTTTCCTAATGAGTACCAAACAGTCTGTTTCCTAATGAGTACCAAACGGTCTGTTTCCTAATTAGTATCAAATAGTCTGTTTCCTAATGAGTACCAAACAGTCTGTTTCCTAATTAGTATCAAATAGTCTGTTTCCTAATGAGTACCAAACAGTCTGTTTCCTAATTAGTATCAAATAGTCTGTTTCCTAATTAGTATCAAATAGTCTGTTTCCTAATGAGTACCAAACAGTCTGTTTCCTAATTAGTATCAAACAGTACACACGAGTATAAATAAAATTGTCCGTGTTTTAATAAGTGATATTCAAAATCGCAGATCTTTCCAGATGGCTTTCATCTACCTATCAATCTATTCTTATTCTCCATTTCTCACCTGATGGTTTGGTAAATTTCAGTCTCGATTTTGCAAAATCCTCAAATCTTTTAAACGTATAAAGGTTAGTGGGCTTTTCGTTTTAAACTGATAAAGTTTGTGTAATAATTGCAATATTGATATTGCTTCAGATTTAAAGAACAAGCTTTCCTCGAACTAGATGTTATGTGTACTTACATGTACGACACGTGTACCCAGCATAATTAGACATATGGAAATCATTATTTAATTTTTAACACAGAACCTAAATAAATGTTTGTAAAAGATATATACCCGTACCGAACAGATAAGTGACTAACATACACATACTCTATGTGTTTTTCTCCTCACTGTGCTGTCAGTTGCGATATCTATTTCAGAACTGCATTATTAATTGGAAACAAATCTGTGACAAGCTGTATTATTGTAATCAATAGACTATCGCGCATGCGTGCTTAACGGTGTACACGTGTTCAAGGTGTTTTTTCTGTACTTGGTATAACGGATGTGACAGGTAAGTTAAGATCTTCATTCTTTTATAATTTCAGATTATAATTTCATTTTGTAACAAATGAAACACCAAGAAAACGCTTGTGAAGAGAAATGAACTGGACATCAATTGTCAATATAAAATGTGAAAGTTTATACACTGCACAGCAATTACCAGCAATGGCTATTACCCAACTTGTTAAATAAGATCCCTGCTCGAGATTCTTTAACTTATTGCCAGTTATTTGCATTTTCTAGATGTTGGATTATTAAGACTTTGTAGTCGTGAGCTTCGTCATTTAGTTCTTCGATCTTTTACGTAAGTTGTATATAAAAAAAAAAGTCAGGTTATGGTGAGTTCCAGACACTTGGCGCCTGCTATCAGCTTCATTTTAGTAAATGAAATCTATTTTCATTAAAATGGTTTTATCTTATAAATGATTCGATACTAGTGACGCTATAAACAATTATACAATCACGTTTAATATGATAGAAATATTATCAATCATTTAAAGAAGGTAACTTCCTTGAGATACAACATACTATGTAAGGCAGATTTCTGTATACCTATGCATTTATTGACATAAAGGTAACTTTTCGCTTGATATGTTTACACTTTTACAAGTGAAATGATTTTACTTAAGTGAATAGCATTGTTCTCGTGTCACTAAGTAACGTGTCATTGCGTTGCTAAGATGATTATTTTGTTCCTGTGAATCAGCGAAATAAGACTTGCGGTATTGACCACCGTGTTATTGTGTGTAATGATGTAAAAATTTTAGATATCACCAAATATTGATCATCATGTAAACTCCAGCTGGTGTATCATACAATAAAATACACGAGTCTTATCGTTGGTTAACAATACCTAAAGCAAAATTGATATAGATCCTCCACTATATTCAATCTTTCTCAGTGCTTCAGGTTATTTTTTTATTTTGCATCTACGAAAGTGTCTGTTTGAACTACACATCAAGCATTCCAGAAATATTGTAACACAAATTGTTTATCTAAAGCAGTTTAACACAGTTCTTTGTAAAATTTATGTTTTTTGTTTCAGAAGACAGAGAAATGAACTGAAGCAACAGGTGAACATGTCGGATGAAATACCAAACCACAATGTGGAACAAGAAGCTGAATACACTACAACTCGTTCATCAAATCAGGCCGGAGCCTTAGAACCGGACATGGAAGAAGACAGCTTAGACGGGGACTCTGATCACTTCAATTTACAGGAGGTCAATGCTGGCAAAAACGATCAAGTTCTTGGCTCATCTGAATACGACAATACATATCAACAGTCTCCTCGCTCTCATTCTGACTCCATAGATTCCCTTAGCCAATCAAATTCAAGCACAAATGAAAATTCCGAATTAACTGCTCTCTTGCCTTGCGCGGAATATCAAGAATCAGATGTAGAAAGAGGCAACACAGAGACGAAATCACGACTTCCTTTGAAATGTGCCTTGGGATTAAACCGGAAGTCTTCCCTGCCTAAGCAAAAAATACAAAAAGACATCAAAGTGCAAAAGAATTTAACAAAGAGTAAAACGGTTGACTTGGCGAAAGGAGTTTTCTGTCAGGGTGAAAAGAAAAGACTTAACCGTGGAGAATCCCAGACAGGTTTGAGCGAAAGTCGCGCTGTAAGAGAGACCTTAACGAGTCGCTTGCGATTTGAGAAACGGCACATTCCTCATGACCAAGATTGTGAAGGCGAGGACTACATGACGCCTACACAAAGGAAGGACCAGTTGCTGAAGGATCTAAAGATCCAAGTGAAGGATTTAGCGAGTGAGGTAGAAGCACGTGATCTCCAGATAGAGAGATTGAAACAGGATATAGATCAGGAGGCACGAGAGATAATCGACAGGAAGAAAGAAGAGGCTAGACTGCTTCAGTCTAACCTCGACATCTTACAAACTGAACACGATGACCTCAAGATGTCCTATCAAAAATCTCTTTGTAGCATCGTCGATTTGGAAGAATCCATTTCTCAACTAAATGTGAGTAAAGAAATATTGAAAAGGGTTTACCGACATTGTAAAGATTGTAGAAAAGACATAAAATGGAAAAGATCCTTTAGATATATAGATTTAGATACAGTAGAGCAAAAACAGTGAATTAAACTGCATCAACCAGCTGTTTCATCCTTTTAGGATTCGTCAATGATAAGGGCCTAGATTCTAAAGCCCAGCAGGCGTCTGAAGAAAATTCAAAATCTAGATTTTACGGTGCACTAATCTCCCATTATTTAAATATCAATATAACATTATCAGATTAAGCTATATCAATGTCCGTTTGTGTAGTTATCGTTATAATTTTTTAATGGGCCGAAACGTGTCAACGCAATATGAAGTTAAATTGTCATCATTCAAACCACAATGCTGGTCTTATGTTGTAATGTGTTCATGCCTTGATTTTTAAAACAAGTGTCTATTATGTTCCAGGAACGTATAGTGATCCAGGAGAAAAGAAACGAGCGAATCTACTTGGAAATGTATAAGAAGGGGCAAGAATCAGCTCAATTTGAACGAAATGTTGAGGTCTGTATACATAATTAGAGCTATGTGTAAAATATTTTGGGGTAATTACATATTCATTTATTTACCTATACATTTTCCTCGCACAAATTGTACTCGTGTAACATTTTATGATATTTTTTAATAACTGGTTAAAATTTGCTATTCTAGCAGTTTAGACAATCTGTGTGCTATACTTGTTCGTATTGATTTGGGAATGTCTGTTAAATAACATCAACATTTTTTTTCGTTTCAACTATTGTAAACTTACTGATTACTTAACACAGATAATCAATTAATTAATAAAAATCTGCAATCGAACGTAGGCGAATATTGATTGAATTGGCTATTCACGAGATTCTGTTTATTAGGCTATTTTCTAAAATAGCCTTGTGAAAATAACTTTGACTTATCAAGCTGACAAAACTTTGATCAACAGGTGACAAGGTAACATGTGTTTGATTTATTGACTGACCAAACAGCACGCGATGTGCACGCAATGTGCATGCAATGATATCATTACTTCTCAATTTACACCCGACTCAGTAAACGGTCCAAACGTGTTAGAACAAGAAAATACTTTTGCTGAGATTGTTGTGAGGAAAACATTTTATATGATTATATGACATTTTTGTGCAAAAGCATCAGTGACTAAAGGGTGACATTATTTTGCAATTTTTTGTTTGTTCGTTTTTTGTTTTTTGTTGTTTTTTTTTAATTTATTTTTTATTTATTCATCTTAACTACAATTGATAACAATTACTATATTTCCTGTTCAAAGGAACATAAACATATGGTCCATATGTTTAGGTAGTTTACAATAAATGTGAACCCATGTTTGCCGTTAGAATTTGAATATCTCTTCATACAATATTAAAGAAAACCATCTCCGGAAGGTAGAAACATGTATGTGTGTCGGAGTAATGCATTCTGACGAACCAGACAATAGGTGTATACTTTCAAAGTTGACGTGTTTATTTCTAATGCGCATTTTGTAGGGATATCAATACTCTGTTCTCAATGGCATGAAATACAATATACGTCCGTCCGTCCGTCCGTCCGCCGTCCGCACTCATTCAGGAGTAGTGGTGAGGAGAAAAAGCAGTTCATCCCGAAAAAAAAATCCATCATTAGACTTTGCATTGTAATTTCACTAAAGTACACAGGAATGCGTTTTGCAAAATCATTATGTTATTTCTTTTTGCTCTCTGAGGTTGGAGATATTTAAAGTCATCGATGAAGCGGAAGACGCTTATTCTTTCTGAACACTCGGTCTTATTCTCCTTGTACTTTTTCAGAAGTCTCCATGTAAATTATTCTTTTGTTTATATTTTTGGTATAGTTTTATTGAATTTGAATTAAGATATAAATATTTCCTTCTGTCGTAGTTGGAGCTGCTTGCAGTAAATTCTGAAAGTTCAAGTATGACGATGAAAGAACTCATAAGAAAGCTGGTTGTGACAGAATCCGAACTGGCAAAGTGGCAATCTTTTCGTCGGCAGGAGTCATACGAATCAGCAGAGAAACCGGAAACACAGGCGGATGTGACGTTACGATTTCTCAAGGACTCTTTCTTTCATTACCTAACAGACATGAAAGACTCAGACCGCCATCTTAGAGCCATGATCAGAATTTTTAATTATACTGATGTTCAGAAAAAGAGAATATCAAAATGCGTCACTGAAAAACAGAACAAAAGTGCATAACCTTAAATCAAATCTGGTCGAATTTTCTACAAATTTCTTTTTCTGTTTTGTTGAATTCGATTTACGAGTGTTTATTTTAATCTGTAGCTATACTCGAGAACACATAAATGAGTAATTATTATAGATTGTTGCTGTGTAACTAGCTTTCAAAATTGCTGCATTTCATGGATGTTTAGACATCAGACAAAGGGATAGTTGATATAAGAACTATGAATAAACATGAGATATGAGTGTGTTGCCGTGTTGGTATTTTCTTGATGTTTATTATATATTTCATTAACCATAACAAAATTGCTATGTGATAATTTGACATGGTATGGAGGAAAATCTAAAACAGTGGACCAGGCTTCGGATTTTATCTTTAGCGTACACATAACAGATTCCAAACTTTTACATCCAAGTACATTATTGTTTCATGATATCATATTTTCCCTCAATTTATTTCTTTTCTTTTGTAAGCTTGTATGTTTAGATGACACGACCATGTAATCTTTTATACTGTCGGTTTTCCGTGATACTGAGAGATACAACATGATTCAAACTCAGTTATTTTGACTGTTGTATGGTGAAACGCAGGACGTGACGTTGATTGTTTAACTTTTAAACAATATTTGGCATCGTTTAATTTGTGGTATGTATAACATGGAATGTTTATGTAATGTACACTATTGTAATTTGTAAATAGTATACATTTAAATCAATGGTAGAGTATGCATTGCTTGTTTCCATATATAGGATAATATAGATTTCATCCACTTGTGACACGCTTCAAAATCCTGTATAATCAGTGTTGTACAGCTATTTAACTGTGTATATGATTAATCTACAATCAAATGTTTTCTAAATGTTCACTTTTCTGTATTTAGCGGTATTTACTGAACATTGATTAACACCTGTAACAATTGTTATCTTTTGTTTTGAATTGTATGTTCTTTTTAGATATGTTTGTATAAAGTCCTGTTAAAAAGTGTTTGTTATCACACATTTTAGATTATTAATATAAGTATTATCTATTTATTTATTCATCAATACCAAATTTATGAATTTTTTTAAAATTGTTATTATTACAGGTAATTCGAGTTCACCTGTTGTACGTACAGAAATATATATTCTCTTTACAAACATTTGTGTTAAACAAGGTTTATTATCATACATTTTAGATTTCCAGAGTATTATCAATTTATTTATTTATCAAAATCAAAATGCTGAAAATGACGTGCATTTACAAACTATAATACCGATGATAAATTGGGCCCCTTTTACAAGACGTATTTCTGTTTTTTGATATAAACTTTATTCATTTTACAACAATTGCGAAACAAGTAATGTCAACTTATACTAATCATTCTTGTTGGCCCGGATGTAAGCGCGCGAGGGGTCTTATTGTGGGAGGAAACCGGAGTACCCGGGGAAAACCCACGTGGTCGGGCAGGTGACCCCTTACCTTTTCACGTCCGTTCCGGGAATCGAACCCCGGTCGGCTAGGTGAAAGGCGAGTGCGTTACCACTGCGCCATCCGACCATTTTTGTACGAACTTGAATTACCTGTAATATTAACAAACTCTTAAAAAGCCAAAACGTGAAGAATATGTAGTATATGTATTATCAAAATAAGTCGAATTACTTTTACTAAGTCATAACTGGTTATCTACATCAGTGAATTACGTCATACTTAACTAGGTTATTTTCCTAAGTACCTAAGTTTTTTCATGGTAATGTACAAACAATACAAGTTTCATGTTTTCGTAATGTCTTCTCTTCCACTTGATCATATTTCATACCTGCTTTGCGTTTTCGATTAGCAATTGAAGTGGAAAAAAATGCCAGGTCATTACAGTGTTTTGTGAAATGTCATTTTCTCCTGCAAGCTTGAAAACTGTCATTCATTCTCATAAGCTATGCTAATTTTACATTTTCGTTACAAATTGATTACAATTTTTCGTACTTTGTTAACGTTTTTTTAGTTGACTGTTGGTCCGTGTGGTGGTCCTGCTGCTTATAGACATTAAAGTATGGTATTAGACTGTTGTTGTTCTGTAGTACTATGTCGTTGTCTAGCTTATCATACGATTCGTTTGCTAATGTACCATTATATATGCCTCTAGAAAAAGAAATAGCATTTCCAGGCAGTGTTGTTCATTTACATTTTCTATAACCAATTTCTGCCTGGTCTGAATCACACTCTCAAGTTAAGGTTTCTTTATCTATAAATCCGGTGATGTTCCTCAGTGTCTCTATCAGTCCATGTCAGATTTAGAAGTCATGCAATTTATCACACTTTATGAAGTGCTGTTCGCGAAAACAAACAAATACGGGGTGTATATGTATTTATGGTGGAAAAATATCGAGAAAATACAAACACGGCAACCGAATGATAACCCAAACTCGAATTCCATAAACTAGAGGAGCAAAATTTGAACAAAGAAAGATTTACTCCTGGGATAGTACAAGGAGAATAAGACCTGGGACCTTATTCATGAAACCATTCTCATGCTCAAGCCTAGATTTTGTGCTCAAGCAGGCTTTTTTTTTATAATTCGCATAAATCATATAAAATAATACAAATGTCAAATACAAACACTGAATACAACTTTGATTTGAAGTCCTTTCAAAAATTGTTTGAAATCTTTGGCAAAATCAGTTTTATTTATTGATTTTAAACTTAAACAAGACATAAGGCTTGAGCACAAAATTCATGCTGACGTTTGATGTTTTCTGCGATTAAATATATAATTTTGTACGAGTTTTGTTCTATGATCGGGTTCTCCTCAAGCCCGCTGTAGACCAATCCAATTACTACGCTTGTGCCTTTAATTTTGATAGTGACATGTTCCAGGGGTGCACTGAGCGAAAGTGATTGCAACCCCTGGAATATCAAGGATGCCTAAATCTCGGTGAACTGCACAAATTACGATGGCTTGGCTATTATAACAAAATGATATATTTAAAATCCAAAGGTATCATTTTGAGACTCTATACCATGGTCAGTACTTCTGTAATGCCTGAAACAGACATTGACCAATTCCTCACACAAATGATTGGTAAAATAAAATCTCTTTATCCTTTATACATAACCCTTGAATCGAGGGTACCATCAGCGTTTCCCTTTCCAACAGATGATGATGTTGCAGTTTAAACCATCATTTGGGATCAATTGTATCAAATAAAATATGTTTATTAAATGATGCTAGTAATTTGTACAATCTCCTGTTAGAGTTTAGAATTGTACAACCTTAAGATGGCTTCTATAATATCAGTGTTTCAATCTTTAATGCTTAGGATGAAATTAATATCGCCATTTGTCATAAAACATAAGAACACAAAGCAGTGATTTCATAACTTTTTTTATCAGCTAACATTACAATATAGCAATGCAATATACCAACAGCAAATATAATCAAACAACGAAAAACACGTGCTTACTTTAATTAGAACCAATAGACAATGACCATGCACAGTTGACAGAATACTGTATCAACTTTTGTAGTAACTGTCTCATTAAGTCAAAAACCCACGTTATAAAATGTTTTCGGATGAATACTTGCTTCAATAACGAGTCAGTGAGGCACGTGATGACAGGTGCGTCATTGAGCGCTAATTATGGTTATACTAATATCATATACATTTACAGTATGTAATGAACTTACACAATATACCTTACAGGAGAGGTGACAATCTTTTCTAGTATGGAATGAAACATTTCTGTAAAAGTAACTGCAAGTATATAACTAATAGATTTGACAAAACCTGTAACAATATGCATGTCGATAGAGTAGATATGAGAAAATGTCGATTTAGTCGATACGAGAAAATATCGATGCTGGAGATAATACAATTGTGTGCCCTTATCGAGGTTTGTAAAAATACCCCTCAATATTTCACGTTTAATTCATACATCCTGTCCGTATCTCCATCCTATTCTTGTCGTATGAAATTAACTTTTAAGTGTTTCTGTTGTTACAATTTTGGCCACGCCCATAAACACCAACAGAAGCATTTCCCTTACGGACGATAGATGATGGAGTTTTCATTATTCATGTTCCAGGTAGTTAGAAATATATCATAATCCTAACATTTGCTGGTCAAAGTGACTGATTTAATCATTCCATCGAAAGATATTTTTATCAGTACGTAAGTCTGTCACAACGTAACTCCCTTTTAGACGTAAAAGATTTCTAGTTCTTCCTGTCACAACGTAACTCCCTTTTAGCTGTAAAAAGTCTATTTATTTCTAACCGTAGAAACGATTATTTACTGATATTAAAATATAATATTAATATCAAAAAGGTACCAAACGTGTTACCACGGAGAGCGGACACAACTTTAGATACAACATCGTCTTCGTGGTGTTGAATACATAACGACACGTGTTCTCCCTAATATCCACCCTTACGTACAGGGTGAGGACATTGTAGAGGGTTGATATTTCCGGTATTACTACACAGACGATTATCGTTAAGATCAATCACTCATCACACTAGACCTACCCTATCCAGTACCGGTTACACTGGTTCATGACAAGATATCAGTGTCTGACTGAAATATATTGACAAAACAGTTGTACCGTCCGCTAAACTACTAGCCTCAAACTTTCAACTGGTTGCCTTTTTTAACGGGATAACAAATACCAAGGAAGCCTAAATGAGTTTTGAAGCTTCAAAGTTTCCGTGATGAAATGTTACGGCAAAGTTGGGGTAACACTTCATATATCAAATATAATAGTAATTAAATATTGCACATCACAATATAAAATGGTTTACAAAACCCCTGAATCGCTGATTATTTTTTTTTACTTTAAAAATCACTTTTACATCCGACATTTTTTTCTTCTACAAATCCCTCGTATCTCTTAAACACTGTCAATTGTCAATGAATAATGAACTTAAAAAAAAAAAAAATTTTAGTGAGTAAAAATTTTAGGATGCAAATTATATCATCAAAGTTATCTGTATTTACTTATCACCAAAAGACAAATATTCTGAAAATACATGCAAGTCAATGACTATAAATAGACATATCATTCTGTTTCATGTAACATTTCTGTGGTTACAGTATTATAAACGGATTTAGGAAGAAATCCATATTTTAAATACCTTTACTTTTATTTTTCACCTTATTCAGAATATATTATACTGACAAAGTCATTTTAATTTGCTGTCAAATTTCATGATTCTAATTGTCTGCTGTTGCAACGAAATTAATGAAAACAAAATAAGCATGTTTATATGTTTACAAAACGATCCAAATACCATACCAATGGAAATAAAATGAAAAATTGCAAGATATCAATGTGAGTAAACTGGTTACAACATTTTCCAAAAAAATAACATCTATTTAATACAAATAATATCCATACTGTATGCTACATGCCCGTTACTGTGACACTGCAAAAAATTGTACCGCAATCGAATCTGTTTTGTTAACAATATTAAGATAGGAAACAACACCAGGACATGATGTACACTGCACATAATGAAATGAAACATAACCCCACTTTAGCACTACAGGTGCTACATAAACTTAGATACTACAAAGTGCATACATATTTTGTATAAATAAAATTAAAACTAAACATAAATTACTACATAAAACTATTAAAACAAAAATTAATTAACAATATTTTTTTCATAAACTTTGATTTCTATAAAAAAAACTTTTTTCTTTTTCTTTTCAAAATACTTTCCTTTTCCACATGAAAAACAATAAATAAATATTCTTTCGGAAGTTGCAGAAAAAAGAAATCTTGCAAATCATGTTTTTAGAAAAAACACTTCCAAGAATTCACACACTTTCGTGTATAATTAGCAATAATCCAAACGTTCAGTGAAACACAAGTTCTATCTAAAGCTGCTGTTTGGCTTTATGGTAGAATAAAGGCAATATAACACACTGGTTCAGAAAAATACAAACTTTCAAATGCTGAATGTATCTAAGCGATTGATAAACAACATGATAATTTCATGATGTGGAGGAGTTCCGATGACTCTTCGATCAAACAATAGTAAACTTTATGACAATCACAAATGGAGGTTATTGAAGCTTGCAACTGATATCAATTAATAAAGTTATTTTTTTATGCATCCATGGTTTTTCCAAAAATTTCAAATAAAAACAAACATCATGAAACATTCTTATTTTCTAGTAGAACAAATTTTCTGCAAATTTACTCGAAACCTTTTAAAAGGTGAAAATTACAACACTTTGAGTGATAAACCACGAAGCACTGAAAAATAAAAATCCAATTCATTTGCAATAAAAAATAAAGCTTGAAATGAAATCTATTAATATGTACATGAATCTGTTAAATCATATTTAGTTGATCATACATCATGATAAAACAGTCGGTACAAAACAGAAAAATGTTGATTAAATGTAATATAATCTCTTTAATGATAACAAAAGAGGTCAAGGGAACTCATCATAACAAAGGTTTTACATATGCTCCATTCATATTAGAATCAGGTTAAATAATTGTTAAAGTGTGACCCTAACCATCCTAAACACCCTCTCCGAAGTACACCAGACTCATGTGTTTTATAGAAGCAAGTGATGTCCACTTCATTGCAATACTCAATATGTAAGTCAAACCAAAGTAATGACAAGCTCTCAAAGTTTGAGCTGGAGTGGTGTATCCAGTTAAAATTTGTATGTATAGCCAATTTTTCTGTGGACAGATGTGTCACAATATCAAACAATTTACCAATATCATAAACAAATCTGTGTAGTTTGATGTAGAATATTTTATATGCTTTAAACCTTAGCTTCACTGAGTGCACTTGACCTTATCATATAACAATAAATTATGACACCATATATACAACTTATATATATATATATATATAACATCTGACAGCACAACCAGTGCAGTACAACTAAAATCCACAAGAAGACTTATTAATACAAGTTATACATGTCAAGACAAATATCTTAATAACACAAGTTCAGAAGTGTATACGCTCCACATGTGCTATGTGATTTCTAAGTCCATCTTAAGTGGATCCAGAATTTGTATCATGGGTGTCCATCCTGTGACTTCAGCTAAAATTTTGGCAAAATCCAATCGATAGTCCAACAGGATAGGGATTTTAAAGAATTTACTTTATTTCTGGCCCCGCCCCTCTCTCCCAAGGGGGCCGAGATCATTGTTTATACAAAATTTGTTCCCATTCCCTGAAGATGTTTTTGACCAAATTTGGGCAAAATCCGCTCTGTCATTTATGATTAGAAACAATTAGTAGAAAGAATGATGGACAAACAATGGACACCACTGTATCCCTATAGCACACTTGGCCCTTCGGGTCAGATGAGCTAAAATCAAATAGGGGTTCCCCTGGATCCCCAATCACTCAATGCTAACTCCATACTAAGGTATATTACTGTGCTTAGTAAGCCAAAATATTGTTTAGATCAAAAACATGGCCATTATAACTGTCAGTTGACAGGTTGTCATGTCAACCAATGAAATCCATAATCATTAGTGCAGTATTAACCCCAATAAGCTCAGGACAATAAATAAAGTCGGCATCGTGGACGAAAATCAGATTCACTAGTTTTGCTCTAGATAATGTTTGGAAAGATAAAAAACTAGACACATATATAAATTAGGTGTATGCAAACCAGATAAAAATATGAAGAGGTCCATTGAATATCATATAAGAGGCCATGTATTTTAAGACAAATTCAACGATTTTCTACAATTCTCCGTTGATCAACATGTATTAGGGACCCTCCAGTTCCCACCCACATTTATCTCTTTTTGTAAATTGGTATATTTCAGAAATTCCACTATACAAATAATTCTCAGTTCACTGAAATCAACGCTGTAACAGGTTTCAGTTACTTCTTTATAAATTCTACTTAAATGCAAGCACAGCCATTGTGATCTATATCTAACAATCTGCATTTTTCAAAATCAGACTTGTATCAAATTGTGATACACCAACACTTGTTCACATCTACAACTAAACATGCCTCTTATTCATTAAATATTCAAATATATAGTATCAGAGTTGAGTTTCACTGATTCATTTATTTTAATGTATTTTATAAAAGTCCATTTTAGAATTGTTAAATTCAACTTCAGTCCCAATAACCTGGCCATACCTTCGTTCACTCTAGCTTTGTTCTCTGTTAGTTTTCTTTTAATCGTGTTTTTATTTGAAAAATTCCTCTGAAGAATTTGAATTATTCCCAATATTGATGTTGAAAGAATGAAAATACAATTAATGTGTACTGATCCCCTGTAACAATAAATCTTAAAACTGCGGAACCATAAAAATATTAAGAAATTATTCAATTTTTGTTTTGATATAATTTCTACACATTTTCAGAATAAGTTATATTAAATCATTTGACCTGTATACATTCAGAAACCATTAAATTAACATCTAAAAATAATCAGAAAAGTCATGACCAGCTACATGAACAACATGGATGTATTAAATGTATATGTAAATTAAGGGACTTCAACTGATAGATTTCGATAACTTGAGTACACCATGGAAACCAAAATCAAAAACATTTTACATTTCTTTTCCAAATCAGGCTGGGAAGTGGACGAAATATTTCATTCCAAAATACATTTACCATTGTTGGACAAAATAGAACTGACTTATTTTGTTTTTCCCTGTTTTTCTTTTTTCCTAATAAAAATTGTAAAAATTAACATAGAAAAAAATGTAATAAGTTTAAGAAGTTGATGGCAAACAATTTTTTTCTTTTTTTCGTTTGGTCTGATAAATGATACAGGTTGATTTAGAACATTAATGCAAATTAAATGAGCATAGGAATCTATAATAAATATGTAAGAGAGAATCAAGAGATACATACAGATACAACAGTCTGGAAACATAGATATCACGTGTACTATTTCAATAACACAAAGGAATACACTACAGCTATAGAGGTTTTTCATAAATTAAAGAATATCTTATCACAAAGAGAATCACACACTTAGATATTGTTTGAGCAAATAATACTGGACATAAATAAATAATTTAAATATCTTAACACTGAACGTGATTAAATTTTAAAATAATTAACTTTGTGTGCAAGAATACAAACACAACAGACATGTAAGAAATATGAGATTTATATTATCACAAGAAGATAATACACACGATGAATACATATGCACTATTTTTAGGGAAAATAACAGGTAGGGAACTTCTTCCATATAGTTAAAGGGTTGTGTTTTAAAATTCTGTAGAGCAAAATTAATTTTACTGTATAAAATGAAAGTTTCAGTCACTTTAAAACTACTTTTAGCCATTTAGAAGTGTTCTTAACAGTATTATGTTTGTGAAATTAAGTTTACAGAAATATACTGTTAAAACTGACATTCACAATTTCTATCCAACCCGGGAATGATTATAAAGTGTTAGCTCAGATACATTTCATTATACACAGAATTTAAATTAGCAAATAAATTTTGCTTTTTTGAAAAATACTTTTATATATACTGAATTCTTATTGAACTTGAGTATTATTTTTTACCCATCCATGGTAGGTTCTAGATGCCATACTAAATGTGCTGTGAATTCAAGACGATTCCCAAGTTTCTTTAAGCATTTTCTGCAGGTGAACGGATCTGATTCGTCTGCGGAGTGGAGGGAGTTATGCAGTAAACTCATTGCATAATCCTCAAACCATATACAACAATGTTCGCATCGCATCATTTTTTTCACTTGAGTTCCTGCGGGAATTTTGTTGACGGTGCTTGGACCCGCTGAAAGTGTTGTCAAAGTGCTTCCCCAACCCGACTGAGGGGCATTCACCAATTTGGACATATTAGCACTATTTCCTGCAGCGCTGGTTATTCCAGGGCTAGAACTGACTGTTGGGATGGTAGAAATTGGAACATAGGATTTTAATTTGGCTCGTAATTTCTGCTGCATGGCTGCCTTGTAACTTGCTGGTCCAATGACCTTGAATTTCATCTTTTTGACACCAGTAGCTGATCTTGGCCCCACTCGTATTTCCTGAACATTGGGAGTAGTTCCATTATTCTGTGTTTCATTATTTGAACTCTCCTCTTCGCTGGTTTTTGATGCTGAATTTTCTTCATTTTTTTCATCAGTTTTGCCATCATCTTCTTTAGATTTTTCGTCATCATCGGATTCATCATCATCATCGTCATTATCCATGGTCTGGCATTCCTTACTTAAATCATTGGATGTTTCAGCCTCTGCAGCAGCTTCAGCATTTTCCTCCATTTCGTCTGCATCTTTTGGTTCCTGTTTGATTTTTTTCAGGTCTGATGGTAAAATAAACATATTCATATCATCGGTGATGGTAGTTGTAGACTGATAGTTGTTATCACCATCTCCGTTATTTGTTTCATTTGTCTCCCTTCCTTCAAAAGTTTCCATTTCTTTCTTCAATGTATTTGATCCTCCATATGCCATTTCCATCTCATTCTGCACAGCATTTGAAATGGCATCTTTGATGATGCTTTCCATAGCAATGTCTTCGCTGAGTTGGAAATCGGCAGGCAGACCATTTGATTTATTCACTTTGGCTGGGACATGGCTTACTACATTGTTACGAGGCACTGAATCACGTTTTCCAGAGACGTCTTCTGGAACCTGTGGTTGGGGACCTAAACTGAATTTTGCAAGGCCTGTGACAGGATTTTCATCATCCTCTGGTATACTTGGTTCTTTTTTTATGATAACACCATTTTCTGTGACTTCTGTTGTGGGAGGGTATAACGACAGATGGCTTTCCTTGTGGGTATGGAGTTGCGTTATCAAATCGAAAGCCTCGCCACAACGATGACATGTAAACACTGTTGACACCCCATGAATCTGCTGCAAATGAGAATGCAAGGTCTGGCGACGTAAAAATTTCATGTCACAAAGACGACAAACATTTCTCTGTTTCTGCGGCATATGAACTTTTAAATGTTGTTTGACATGGTCAGAGCGCGTAAATCTACGACCACATATATTGCAAGCATACGGACGTTCTCCACTGTGAACTCTCACATGACGTTGTAATTTTGATGGTGTCGAGTAAGTTTTTCCGCAAACATAGCACGAATGTGAGGATGACTTGCCCCTGGAGTGTGTTGCTATGTGGTTTTGCATTTCGACAGGTGTATCAAATTGCCTTGCACAAAATCGGCACATAAACTTTGTGACTACCTGAACCGTATATTTGTCCTTATTAGCTGGAGTGGGCGTTGCAGTAATCATTGACTTTTCTACACTGGACCTTGTCCACACACCGGACCGTGTAGAAACAGGTGGTGTTGATGCCTCCCCATTCATTGACGAATCCAGACCATTGACCTCTTTCCTTGGTTGAAGGTCAAGGTTGCTCTCTGTGGCCTCTCCATTCATTGGTTGGTGCAAATATTAAGCTCTCTGGCTGTTAATTTAAGTTTTCATCTGAAAAAAACACAGAAATGAAATGTCTATTACTGTTTGAACACATAAAAAAACATTTTCCTTATTAAGTGAAATTAAGCAGAGATTCCCCCTCACTGAGAAGACCTTGAAAGCTTATGTAGCCTGCAACAAACCCAGGAAGCCGTTGATAATCCTTATTACTCATTTGATTGGCTTTAATATTTCAGGACAATGCATTAGCACTGTAATATGGGTGGGCTTATTACCAAACTTTATTGCCATTTAAATGGAGAAATGCCTTATAACAGAACGTAATCCATGAACAAGAGGCCCAGAGGGCATGTACTGCTCACCTGGATATTTTAGTCAATAATGTTAAACTTTACATTTCTTTAGAAGAAAAATATTTCCCCTGATGAGAATCAACCCACAGATACAGCTTCAGTGGGGGTCACAACTGCTTCAGATAACCATAGATTCAAATGAATTGTTGATGGTACAAAGCAATGATATGAAAATAAACTAAATCTACTTGGGGGGTTAGATTTCCCCCATTGGGTCCCACCCATCTAGCCCAAGGGGCCTTAAACCCACACTTTATACAACACTTTGGGCCAGGTGAGCTAAAAAAAACCACCACTTTAGAGCTTTCCTGTGTGTTGTCTATACATCATTCTGGATTAATAATTGATGAAGCGAACAGTATGAATTAAGTCATTACTTGTTGAACATATTTCAATATTTGTCTTCTGATTCACTTTTAGTATATTCAATACAGTTATCACCACCTGTTTGTCGTGAATATTTTTTATATATTTTATTAAATTGTCTAAAACAAGCAAAACAAGCTAATATATTACAATATTTTTGTTTATTGAAGTGCTTCAATCAAACTCCCTATAAAACAGCATTTTGTTCTGATAAGTTATTGTATCATTAAATATTTTTGTCCAACGGAAACAAACCAAAGGGTGTGTATTGTGATGTATATCTAATTGGAGCTAACATATTGTAACCCTGATAATGTACATGTGTAATCATTTCATCTCAACGAATGTCAAGTACGGTTTTATTTGTGATTTCAGAAATATGACTAAAAAGATGATTCACTTAAACAAGTCTCTGGCAAAGCCAAGTAAATTAAAACATTAACTGTCACTCTGGATGAAGAAGAGGAATGGTTTCGACCTCCACATACCAGGTAGGTCTTGTGTCTGACTGCAGGTTTCACCTGTCAGTCACCTGGAATCTCTTACCTTTCCGGATCAGGATGGATGTATTTGCTTTGGATAATCACATTCAAAATTCACCTTAAATGATATAGTATGGGACTTTAAAACTGGAGCAGCAGTTCTCAGCAACATCATCCAAAAAATGGATAATCAGAATATTTTAATCTGTAATGTCATTGATGATTATCTTATTCAAAATCTTCAGTTATCAATCGATGAAAAAACGAAAAAATAAAATTAGATTTGGTATATCAGTGTGTGGAAATGTTTTCTTAATTTTTTTCCAAACTACAAGTAACACATCTACAAATTGTGATTTTACAAATCCATAGAACAAATCGAAGTTTTATCTGCATGTTTTTAAAAATTGTTTTTAATTATTTTCAGGGTACAACATGAAAATATCCTAAATTTTACAACAAAATTATATCCTATCAATTGAATTCAATAATTGTTAAAATCATCATTAAAAATCCAAATCCTATTTGCGATGAGGATTTGCGATGAGATAACATATCACTGATTAATTTTATTAATAGATTAATGAAATAATCCTTTACCTTCATGTAAAAAATACATTGTTTTATTTGTGTTTATTTCTATTTTTCACTCTTGTTTCCCCTTTGTGACCCTCTCCTGGACTTTACACAACAATAGGCTTTAAATAGCGACACTGTGTATTGGGGGATTTCTAGCTCGTTACCTCGGCAAATGCAACAGACCCGAGCCGGAAATATAATATCATTTACCTACAGATTGCTATGAAAGATACCACGTGTTTCGTCTAATTTGGATTATTTTTGGTAAAAGCAAGCATATTATTCATTTCAAAGTCCAACCTATTTTCGATATAACTGAGATATAGATCCAATACACATACATGATATGTACACATATACGTACATTACCGGTGACCTCACTTTGCCCTAGGGGCCAAATACACAGCGCCATCTATCGTGGGTCACGGAAATAATTTATGCGCTATGTTTAGCCCTGTAATGACCGTAACATGCTGCCCTTTTTATTCTAGACCACAATAAAACTTTGAGCAAAAAACCGATCAAACATACGTTTAAAGACAAGGTTGATATATATTTGATATAAATCAGCTGTTTGATATTACATGTGTCAGTCAGAAACCGTCAAAATGAAAGCGAACCACAGCCCCTAGTAGACTTGTGTATTGTGTCTGACAGCGCCGTGTCATGGCGGCGAGAAGGGACCCGACCCTTTCTCAACAATTACTCACGTTTTCTATCTAAACAGGAGATTTTTAAAACTAAATGTTCGTGTAAATATCAACAATATATACTCACAATGACGGAGAGGCCGTTTCAGGGGTGAATCCAAACCCGGTGTGAACAAGGACCCTGATTTACCTACAGTAGCCACAGGTCCCTGCCTGTTCGCGAGCCAGCTAGTAAACCTGCGAACAGTGCTCGCTACCAACTAGGGATTAATAAGGGAGAGCAGTCAGCTCGCTCAGCTGGGATCTGATTCCAGGATGAGGTCATGTAGGGGGAAAAGGTAGCGGGATACTTTAGGGGCTAAACAGAATTAACCTAAGTTAACTTAGTAAAAATTCACTTCCAGGCGATGCACATTACTACACAAATAACAGCATAATCGTATTTATAAAAATATTCAGATATAAATATTTCATTTCCAATTTATGTATCTACCACTGAATGTACCGGATGGGCAAGGTAATTGGTTTGCATTTTCTTAAATAGCAATATACAAATAGGACTCGAAGTCTTTTTTTTAAATTTTAATAAACAATAATTTTTATATTTTAAATTTAACACGTGACAATTAGTATAAATGATAATAATAAAAATTATACCTATAGGAAATGTAAAGGATTTCGTCAAAGTGATACAATTTTGATGCATCTTTATTATTGGGAAAATATTCGTGAATACGTAAACCACGTCCACATACGTTTCCATAGCTCATCCTCCCCCTCTCTGTCTCTGTATACACGTCACATGTAGGTTTATGACCAACATATGATAACCAAACCCTACCGCAACCGTGCTTATGATTTTAAAAAATTGTAGTATTCATTTCCGTACTTATAGTATGTCCTTTACTCGTAGGTACACACACCGATTCACATTCACGCTCACATTCCAAGCTTTATATAATATACACGTGCATACCCCATTCACATACACAGAAATGCACGTGTGTGCATAGCGTTCTGTCTAGGCCTATTTCCATCAACATATACTTGAACTTGATTTAAAACAAAGTTTTAAATTGTGGATATGCATGTTGATCAGACATAACGCACGTGTACCCAAAGCACATGCAACGATATTAATTTACTAATAATATAAATAGTATTATATCGGCACACACCTTCTTAACACAGAAACTCTCTCAAATGTATATATATCTCATGCACTCCATGCTCTCATTACACCTCCACACGTGCTCCCAAAAGCGCTCACTTTCTCTGTCCATTGCATACCATAAATCTAGATCTCTCGCAAATATTCCCCCACCTATCGTTTGGACATTGTCCAGCTGGCGTGTGTCCGATAAACCCAGGTCACGTGGTATACAAAATCTGACGTAAGGGTACCTATACTGACCTGTGTGTACTGGCCCTCTGATACGGTCTGCAGAGATTTTTTTTGTGACAGTTAAAACAGCTAAATACACACACCGTGGAAAAGTAGCGATGCACAGGCCCCTCCCCCGTTTAATTTCTTTATTTTGTTTTGTGTCCAAGTGGTATTCTTGTCCCCTTTCATATATTTTTGTTTTATTTAATTTAATTTGCATTTTTTTATTTCTCGTTTTCTCCATTTCCTTTTATTGTTTTTTCTTCAGTCTTTAATTCTTTTAAGAAAGAGCTCTTTTAATATCGCAATATTTCAATATTTCAGTGAAAGGAAAAGGACGTATCTATCACTATCTATTTTCTACTGTTCAATTTCTAAAACATTATGTAAGCGTCTAAAGCAACATATGACTGAAGTACAAGTCGTCACTGGAAACACGAGAGCACAACAAACGGATGAAATATTCACCCGTCTGACCCGATCCCATAATTGTGTTTTTGATTTAGTTATTTTGTTTTGTTATTGTTTGTTTAATATGTATATGAAAATTATCTAGTACCAGTGTCCTGTCTTGATATGTATTAATATGTAAATGTATAAATTAATTTTCTGAAATTGAATCCATACCATCATTGCTAACATTTAGTTAAAAACTTCGGACCATAGAAAGAGTGAAAGTTGAGACCACTGAAGAAACTTGCATAAACACTTTACCCGAAAGATTGCCCCCAAAAGGTTGTCCCAAAACGAGTGAAATTAGATCATTTTCACAAATAAGACTGATTTTACCATTGTTAGTCCCCACAAGTACAACCATGCCGAAAATTAGGCCAACAATACATGTACTTTATTTGAATGAAGTGTCGACCCCTACCCCCCTCCCCGCCTTCCACCCCGACCCCCCCCTCCCAGCAAGCAAATAGTAAAAAAAAAAATTCATGTTGAATATGTACTGTAAATGATAGACACCACAATAACATATAAAAAAAATAAGGCCGTAAGATCTTATCTAATGAACCACAGGCCACTGTGGAAACTTGTACCAATGATTTAATCTAAAAGTTTCCAACAGGTCAAAAGTTTGAAATGCTGTCTACATAGAAGTGGTGGATCCCACTGAAAATCAAAACCGATTCTAAGTTACAAAGGCCACCACGCTTTTTTGACCGCATGATGAATGTAGATGTTGGGTCATTCTGCAACAACCGTATTTATATCAGTGTTATGGTGGGTGTTTTTATCACATTGTGACCTTGTCACTTCGATTTTGTCGCATTTTCGCTTCGATTTTGTCGCATTGTAGCGTTGGCGCTTATGTTTTGTCGCATTGACGCTTCGATATTGTCGCTTAGGTTTTGTCGTATTATCACGTTACGAAACTTTACGGTAGGCTATAATAAAACAATGGTGATGGGAAATAGACCTAAATGTGAATACCTAACTCCGAATATTCACGGGGCCACCCGTCTACAATTTTCTGATATTTTTTTTAACAAATGAGGACTTAATTTAGACACCGTGAATTAGGATACCCTAAGGTACACAAAGATGAACTAACGACAGATGCGTTAGCCAATTAGCGGAGGTTATTTGGGATGTTTTGTTCGATTTCGAACTCTTCTGGCTAACTCATCCCACAAGTATTCCATTGGGACATATCAGGGTTATATGGAGGCCAATCTATACAGAAAATCCCTACAAAATCTTGCGACGTGTGGTTTAGCGTTATCATGCTGAAATGTCAAATAGTGCCTTATAACAAAGGGCCCAATATGAGGCCTCAGAATCTCATCTCGATAGTGTACAACCGTTAGATTCGCTCTAATGACCACTAATGTTGTCCATGGGAAATCCTTCCTAAAACCATAAGTGATTCACCACCGAATCTGTCGTGCTCCATAAGTTTCTGCAAGAAGCTCACCTCAAAGACGGCACCCACGTCGATATTTATCCGTGAAGTGCATGGACCTCCAATGTCTCGAAGGGGACGTCTGTGCACCTTGTGCCGTCACCCATCGCAAACGGCGTGCTCAACGTTGAGGTGTCAGTAGTGAAACAAGGCCTCTCGCAGTCTATTTCTCACAGTTGCTGAGTGGGTCGGATGGTTTCCGTTACCAACGGTATTTCGCGCCGTTTCGGACGTCATTGATATCTTGTCACGCAAGTGGGTAAGGCTAATGTACTGATCTTGACGTCGCGATGTTACACGTGGATGTCCGGGTCTCGGATTTATAGTCGGTTTGTGAACTCCGAAGTGAGTAACTACCTGCTGTTGAGTATTACCTCCTATGAGCATTGCGACAGACCGTCCTCTACTAAGGTAGGATAGCCGTGGCATATTTGTAAAAACAATTCTTGATTGCAAACATAAAGACGGTCACGTGTCTTGGTGATAGGCAGAAACCGACACTAGTTTGAATGGAAAAGAACGCATGCATTTGTACAGTCACGGTACATTGGTAATTTAAACACACCGGATGTGGATGAGTTTTTTGTCACGGTTGACAGATTTTAAACATTTATTGAGGGATTAGGTAAGGTGTCCTAATATTCCTCTTACTTTTTACACAGCTATGTACACTATATCTTAAAAAAGAGATATTTTACAATTAAAAAATCGCGCTTCTTTCCACTTTCAGTATAGAGCAACACAGAAATGGTTTATGATCGTCTCCATGGAGACCACCTTACCTGACCGATGTTCCGTTCAGCTCTGAAATGAATTAAGTTGTCCATTTTTATAAATGACACAATATTATATATCCTTTCACCGTCATTCACTTCGCTAACAGATGCAATATATTCCTTGATATGTTTTACAAAAACTGAATTTTTCGAGTTCTGTAATAAAAATAACATTCTGTGGACGACAAAAACAATTAGGGAGAAAATGTTGGTTGGAGGTCGTAAACACGCTCTCTTCCGGTAAATTACGGTATACCGGAAACATTCCGTTGACCACTTTCCCATTCGTGTCTCACGCGCATTCCTAATCATTTAGGTTAGTAACTTTAGGAACGGAGATAACGTCACCTTCTGGCTGGATTAGAATTCCAATTCTCGAAATCAATTACATCGAAACATATCTTAAAAGTTGTATTTTCCACAAATTGATAGACATAAAAATAGAAAAAGAAACTACCATGATTATAATCCGAACTTAAATAAAATAGAACAAAATATGAACAAAAAGATTTACTCGGAGACTCCAGAAAAAGTACAGAGAGAATAAGACCAGGTCTTCCGGAAGAGTAAGCGTCTTCTGCTTCATTGACGACACCCCTCATGTAAACATTGGTGACTCCAATAAATAATGTCACACTTTCAAACAATAAGGGGGTATGCGACATCGGAATCAACAGGCAAACAAACTATCTAACATCATACACGTCCAGTTACAAAACGTCCCACATCTACGGTCTGTCGAGGAATTTGAACATAAGAAGTAAAGAGTTATTTCCCTTCTGTCCATTCTCAATGTGATTTTTAATCTGCATTTTCTTAAGTATGACAAACATTTATCTGATGTTTTTTTACAAACGATGAAAATAATAGTTATAGTTACAATTATATTTTTTCTCATTTGTCGTTACATATTCCGTACAAGTAAAAATACACACTGATTTTATCAATATACGGACTGTAACAGAATTCAGGCTGTCTTAAGTTGGAATGACTGAACTGTTTATTGACACGTGTTGCTAAGATACATTTCAATTTCAACAGTATTTTATTAACATTCCATATGTTAAACGGATTGGACAACAGGCTGAGCCTATATTAGTCCTTTCCAGAATTAATACATAAATACATTACATTTATCTGCAAGCAAATCTAGTGAGTAAAATATTGTATATATTAAATTAGGATATAACAGGTAAAGGGAGGTAACTCCAATTTATTGTGGAAAGTCCATGTGTATAAACACCTCGACCATCCACCCAAGGATATGCATAATAACTTATCAACAATTCTGCATTTTCTATGTTGATAGGTAATATCATGGTTAAGTTTGAGAGGTGGTGGATCTTTGTTAGAATAAATTGACATTTTGTGACATAATAAGTTCATATATTTTATTTTCTGTATTGGCTGATAAGTATTTAGATAAACACTTCTTGATTTTATTGGCTATCAGTTATAACGCGATTTGTTATATCTTTCCTAGAAAAGATATTGAAAAGATTTAACAAAAGAACACAAAAACCATTAGAATAGCCCAATAAGAATGCATATATACAGGATATTTGTTTGAAAGGGGGCATGATTGCTCAGTTGATTAGATTGTCGGCCTATGTAACTTACGATGAAGATCCAAGGTGCGAGGTTCGTTCCTCCCTACCGCTGTTGGTTTATGTTTCTTAGGAAGCTGATAAACGGGCCATTCATTTTTCAGGTGGTCGTGTCCTTGGGCAAGAAACTTAACACTTATTGCTCTGAATGACAAACGACGCGCCTTCCGTATAGTATTCAGTGGGGTAGCCATTTGCTACTACAGGGAGGTATACATCGCCTCAAAATGACTCTGGTAATGGAGCCATAAAGTCTGCAAACCAGCTAAATTGTTTCAGAAATAATTAACGAGTTTTAAAACCCAGTTGTGTTTTGTGAACTTTGATAAAGTAGTAGCAATTCCGTCAGTAAAATTCACTTTAAATAACTGAGCATATATTGGATATTTGTGCGTTAAGACATTTAGATTTAAAACAATAAATGTTGAACTTGAAATCTATCTATGTACGTACTTTGTAACTCATGTTTATCTAAAAATTATTTTAAACATTTTATCAAAGTGTATTTTGATCAGTGAATCATTAAAAATTAAACCACATAGTTTCTTGTATATATTCTATTTATAAATACACATACCTTGGGAAAACCTATTTTCAAGGTCACTCACTAGACATGTAAACAAATGAATCGGTTCAATACGAGGCACTATTGGATAGGGGGACAGATTGAAACGAATCCATGGTCAATCATGGATTACATTTATATCTAGATAACCTAGGAAGTGTAATGTAGTTTTTCTTACATTTAGGTCGAGATGCTGTGTTCTGTTTATTCACATTCGTGTTACACAAGAGAGGAAGTTTAGAAATCCGGCCACGAGCTTCCTGATAGACTGACGCATTCTTCCTATGTCTATTTTTAGAGACCCGTACAAGTGCGCTCCGGCAGACGATAAACTCCAAGAAGAAAATTGCTGCATTGATAGATAGAGGAGGATGCATGCTCCTCCTGAAAAGGTCCGTAGAGTATGTAAGCCATGTTTAAAGAGAAACCAAAGTTTCTCAAAATTTGAAGAGTACGGAGTAAACATCGGAAGAGCGGAATTTGTCTGCATAAAACTTCGTAAAACAAATTCAGAAAAATCTCCTGAAAATACAAAATCAGAAATCGCGGAATATAGGGACCTAGCGGATAAAATCCAAGACAAAGTGTATAACTGTGAACACTCTGCACCAAACGATGGATGCCTCAGAGACTGCAAAGAATTCATCAGTTACAAACTCCAACCAATCCATTATGGCCTCAGATTCGCTATCTATGAGGGTCAGGCCGATACTATGCGGACATGTGGACATCAGACCGAGGAGTTATACAAACACCCAATTTATCAATGTCTCAAAGTGCTTGCTCCACATACCCCTTTTCCTTCCATAGCCATGATGATATACAGATTCAGGTATGTACATTGTATAGCACGTCTGTTTATTATAGTGTCATTGTCCAGGCTTCAGATATAAACTCTTCTTAAGATGTTTTTGCAATTTTTTATCTCCGACTTTTGAAGACATTTTTTACCCTTACATAAGATTAATATATCTTTTATAATTAAAACACAAATAATTTGAAATTTCAATATTTCAAATACAAAATTATTATGTATATAGATCTACTTAAACATTTATTGTCTCATTGCTAGATTTGAAGACATTTTTTACCCTTACATAAGATTAATATATCTTTTATAATTAAAACACAAATAATTTGAAATTTCAATATTTCAAAAACCAACAGAAAGGTGTTGTCGCAAGGAATACACATGTTAAATATAAAATACCTACCTCATACGATACAATCGTTATGGCAAGGTTAAAATTGACAACAGACAAACAAACAGACAACACTAACACAATATGCAACCGATCCAGGTGAATGATAGACGACTTTTCGACAAATGGACCCTGAGTTTGAAGTTGTAAGAACCTATACATCGAAATGAAATGTTATTTATATCTTTACAGGTATGCAGCAGCACTGACCGTTTCCGGATTTACAGAGGACGCTAAGAAAGAAGCTGACATAGGAAAGAAGAAACTACAAAGCTTCTTAAATGACACAAGTATGGCTCGAATTAACGCAAGTTGTTTGTACGGATATGTCAATGTTCAGTTAGCACGACTTGAAAGAAACCCAACAAAAGAACAGGTTGATTACATACTGGAATGGATTAACAAAGGATTAGAACAAGTGAAAGAAATTCCTAACGGGCTCGTTAGCAATTTATGGGCGAGAATGTTTCTAGTGAAGAAATCGTTTCTTCTGTTGCGGATAGGCTTATCAGGTGAAGATATCTATGATGAAGATAATGAAGTTATCAGCTGTGAAGACAGGGAAGCAGCTAGTCAATGTTTGAAAGAAGCTGATGAACACTGGACAAATACGGATAAAAGAAGAATCATGCTGTACAAGAGGGCAGAAGCAAAAATTCGGTGGCTTGGTGGAGACAAAAAGGCGGCTCTCATCCGTCTTCAAGAAGCAATCGAACTTGCAACACATTTCAAGCGCGAAGAGAAAAACTTTCAGCAAATTCATCAGAAATGGGCTTCATAATGTTTCAAAATATGAATTGAGATGGTGGTTTAAACAGAATGTGAATGGGAAGTGTGCAATTCTATTCTGCGATAATTATATTTATTAACACAGCGTGTGTGCTTCAGGTTTAAAACCGCGGAGGGACTCATAAAAGGTTTTAACACGTTGATTGATTTTCCTTTATGTACGTACTACTGATCTATTGCAGTATGTTATTTTTATACCTTGAACCAGACTCTTTTTTAAAGACCATGTGCATATGTAATTACGATATTATTTATCTGTGTATTTTTGACTATATTCAGTTCACGTAAATTATTTTCTTTGTGTACATATCTCGTTTAATTTTATGCATTGTGTATATATTGTATATATAGACGAAAGTCATAAATCGGAAATATAAGTAACTATTTTTATCAATCCATTCACCGTGGTGATGCAATCATGGACTATAAAACTTCCATTATCGATTTAACTCCTTATGAACATGTTCATACGGAGTCAAATTGAATATTGCACTGTGATTACACTACTTTAGATTTTGTAAATGGTTTAACGAAGTATGACTTTCAAACATTCATGTTTACGATACAGAATGCATTCAATGCCTATCAGATGTTGAAATGGTTTTCATATCATTTTCATTTCCACATTTGTTGATATTTTTATATGTTAAATCATTAATAAAACATGACAAAAATCTGCACTAGTTGTAGTTTCTTTTTCAGTATAGTACACTGAGCACACTTGTGGTTTGTGCTAGGTGTGATGTCATTGTATATAACCTGTCGCCTGCTTCGTAAGTGTAAATCACTCGTTGAATTCAGCAGTCTGGTTAACTAGCTGGAAGTCACATGTATACATTGGACTACAGTATGAAGTCTAATACAACATTAAAACTTTCAAGTAAAGTTAAATAGGAAGGAAAAACTTGTGGAACACTATGACGATCGGAAAAAAATACTCGCTACTCGTTATTATTAGATATTACAGCAATCTTTCACGAGAAACAGAAACATACAAGTACATCAACCGAAAGGATCATTTTAGATACTGGCTATCATAACTGAGTAAGAGATATTTGGCAGTAATTGAAAATGAGGGTGGATATTTAATGATAATTGTCAGAGAAATGATCAAAAGTGGTGCGTTTGTAGTGTTTCCCATCATGAACCGGAGACATTCTGAAGCGGGGTTTCCTTCTAGTAACCTCTGGCCACCTCACTGAACAGGATGCAGGAGGTGCAACGCACGTCAGAACTAACCAGTCTTGTACAAAGACTCCACCACAATAACACAAACCGGTCCAACGCACATCAGAACTGACCAGTCTTGTACAAAAACTCCACCACAATAACACAGACCGGTCCGTTTTTTATGTTCCGAAGAAAAACAAACTACGACTTGTGTCGAACTAACCAAGATTAATGATGGTGTAGGCATTTTTTTCTTTTTATATAAAAGACCTTCTATGAATGGCTTTCGCTGATTGAATTCAACAAATATGATTTACAATTTAATTGAAAGAAATATTTCATATCATTAAATAGTAATAACTTAAAAATCAGCTTAGCTAAACATGGAACTAAAATGACATTACTCGTACTCAATCTAAAATACGCGAAAATCGTGACAATTTAATTTTATTATATATTGTACATTATCTTAATCCCCAAATAAGGAAGTTGTACTGATAGGCAGCTGGTAACTTGATCGTATTAGCAAATGAACTGATCACGTGATATTAACAGATGGATCACAATGTATTGTTTACACATTCTTCTTTGATTCTTTGTGACAAACATAAAGTAAAGTATCATGTTTGATCTTCATGACTCCTGTATGCTTCAGTGTGTTTTATGTTATTTTTGTTGATATTGATGACACTGACGCACGTATTGCATTGTTTGAGATACCAGAATGTACTTTGTGCATTTACCTCTGGCTTAGTCGGTAGATAATAACATACGTCATTGTTAAAGGGAGCTGCACAATATCGTTTTGATTGTAATTAAACATCGCATTCATATATCAATTTATCTAGTAATTTTAACGTAAGAACTTAAAACAATTAAGGTAGGATTTTGTCTTGAATACGATTTTTCATTCTTAGTAACATGATAGCGTGAACTTGTATCTGTATTTGTATTATCATAATGTAGCCTGTTCATATATTTTATTTTCTGTATTGGCTGATAAGTATTTAGATAAACACTTCTTGATTTTATTGGCTATCAGTTATAACGCGATTTGTTATATCTTTCCTAGAAAAGATCTTGAAAAGATTTAACAAAAGAACACAAAAACCATTAGAATAGCCCAATAAGAATGCATATATACAGGATATTTGTTTGAAAGGGGGCATGATTGCTCAGTTGATTAGATTGTCGGCCTATGTAACTTACGATGAAGATCCAAGGTGCGAGGTTCGTTCCTCCCTACCGCTGTTGGTTTATGTTTCTTAGGAAGCTGATAAACGGGCCATTCATTTTTCAGGTGGTCGTGTCCTTGGGCAAGACACTTAACACTTATTGCTCTGAATGACAAACGACGCGCCTTCCGTATAGTATTCAGTGGGGTAGCCATTTGCTACTACAGGGAGGTATACATCGCCTCAAAATGACTCTGGTAATGGAGCCATAAAGTCTGCAAACCAGCTAAACTGTTTCAGAAATAATTAACGAGTTTTAAAACCCAGTTGTGTTTTGTGAACTTTGATAAAGTAGTAGCAATTCCGTCAGTAAAATTCACTTTAAATAACTGAGCATATATTGGATATTTGTGCGTTAAGACATTTAGATTTAAAACAATAAATGTTGAACTTGAAATCTATCTATGTACGTACTTTGTAACTCATGTTTATCTAAAAATTATTTTAAACATTTTATCAAAGTGCATTTTGATCAGTGAATCATTAAAAATTAAACCACATAGTTTCTTGTATATATTCTATTTATAAATACACATACCTTGGGAAAACCTATTTTCAAGGTCACTCACTAGACATGTAAACAAATGAGTTCCATTATTGTCAAGTTGACATCTGTATTCTTATCCTGAAAACAAATGATCGATCGAAACGCGTTTTAGGATTTTCCTTTCTAAAGAATGAGGTTTTTCAGAAAAAGAAATTAGATATTGATATTCTGAAAAATCTCTATCTATATTTCGAAATTTGATATTTACCAATTTTGCATTATTCATTCACTAAGCTAACGATGCTTTAGTCAAGACACACGCGAAATTTCCAACTACGACTGGCTCCATACTAGGCATAGTTTTTTAAACTATGGTTACTGTCCGCTCTTGTTTCCACCAATAAACCACCTTGATTAAAGATATTGCGTGCACCTCACCTCGCTTATACTGAATTATTGGCAGACATTACGAAGTTGTCATATCTTATTTAAAAAATCAGTTTTTGCCAAACGGGTTATTTGTGTGTGTGTGTGTGTCTGTGAGATTGTAGATCTCTAAGGGGAAGAGGTCAATGCAATATATATAGATATATTATAAAGCATTATCGATATTCAGCGAGTACTTAAGGCTAAATATGCATCAGGTACATAACTGACGTATTGAATGCGGTACACTAGTACACGTATTAACGTAAGCAACACACAGAAGTCACTGGTCATTGTTACATAATACCCTCTACCAGGCAATTCCATTCCTTGTTAGCTGATGGACAAGGATATTAAAATCTAATTTCAAGTTAAGGTGCATAATGTCCAACAATTCCAATGTTCGGATTTTCTATCAGTTTTATTGGATCGATTTTCGAAAAAGGGTTCATTATATCTAATACGATAAAACAGATTGGGGTGTTATTGGATGATTCGACTCGGATTATACCTAACGTATGAATAATATGCATGGATGATCGTTACTCTGTATTGTTTCAAAGACAAAGATACGAGCGGATCTTAATACAAAAATAGCAATGGATGGAGCAGACATTGTACAAAAGAACGAAACAACGAACATTACTTATTATAAGTGTATCACGGTGGCGGATACTCAAACTCTCACGACAGATGATGTAAAACAAAGCGAGGAATATCTAGGATATAGAAAACATGCCGACGAAATTCAAAAAGATATTTACGACGCGAACTTCCGCCTTCCTAGAGACAGTTGTCTTAAGGACTGCGAGAAGTGGATAAAATATGATGTAGAGAAGAAAGTCTATAATTTTTTATTTGCTGAGTGTGAAGGAGAGGCTGATACACTTCGAACAACATCAAGGCTAACTGAAGACTTGCCAAAGCATGATATCTACCGGTGTTTGAAGAAATTGGCAGTTGTCACAAGCTTCCCGAAAGTTGCAAATATGATCTACAAATTCAGGTTAGTGTAGTACAATTACAATTTATATAGACCATTTTTTGGTTTCTTCGCCAAAAAAAAAAAAAAAAAAACAATATTAATGTAGAAGTGTTTTACCTTGCAGTTTTCATGGTTTCCATTGACTAGTAAAGGAATGAATACAATTGTATGTAATTGCCCATAAAAATAGTTTTGATATCTTGTGATGAAATTGATTTGGTGCTTAATACAATAACTGCTAACATTAAAAACTGCAGCACTATGATGCTTAATACAAAAGAATTATCGTCCCCATCAGAAATAAACCTTTACACACAATTTCTATCACATTAAAGATAAAAACAGCCAAAATATTACCAGAATTGTTGTAGGTAATGGTTGTGAACGAAATGTACGGTTTTGTCGATATCAAATTTCCATAATGGTGGAAGACATTATTATTACCATCCGTGTTTTGTTGATTAGCAAACACTGCTCCATATTCCATAGGATCTTAAAACTATATTTCATGATCCCTTTCATCACAATGCTCGTAAAAGCTATATTTTTAAACGTTTAAAATCAAACGTGGAAAATAAAAATGGCCATTCTCTTGGTCATCTTTAATTCATGACGTTACTTCATCGTCCATATTATAATATCTATTTCTGACAACAGCTTATATAAAACGTTGAAGGACATATTACGTCACTGACATATTATGATATCTATTTCTGACAACAGCTTATATAAAACGTTGACATATACGTCACTGACATATTATGATATCTATTTCTGACAACAGCTTATATAAAACGTTGAAGGACATATTACGTCACTGACATATTATGATATCTATTTCTGACAACAGCTTATATAAAACGTTGAAGGACATATTACGTCACTGACATATTATGATATCTCTTTCTGACAACAGCTTATATAAAACGTTGAAGGACATATTACGTCACTGACATGTCTGTTATAGTAATACATGAATATAATGGGCGGATTATGTGATAAAAAGTATTAATACCAAAACGTAATTTAATTCAATTACTCCTATACATTCGTAGCGTATCGTTTACATATTTATATATCTAAGTTTCATTTCGCTCTCGGATTACAAACTTTAATTGCTACACTTATATGGATGTGTCTGTATTATAGGAAGGCGGCCGCGTTCGCAGTGGCTGGAGAAACGGAAAAAGCAATAAAGAAATCTGATGATGGCTATGAAACTCTTCAGTTATTTCTTGGAAACAAGAAAATGGCAAAAACCAACGCAAGCTGCTTGTACGGAT